CTTTCCATTTCTTCCCACCGATCGAGCTCAGCGGCGGTTTGCCTGAGAATCCACCAACATACTTCTGCACAAGATCAATCTGAGCACACGGCACATGGAGTCGGCTCTTGCCTTTGAACTCCAATGTCAGAAACTCTTCCTGATCCTCTTTGCGTTTCTTAGCTTTGGGTCCGAGTTGTTGTTTCTGTTTCGCGGTACCTGAGGCATCGAGGATTGTGAGTCCGACGAACTTCGCGATGCCATGGTCCGCGTGGACGACATAATCCCCTTCCTGGATATCGAGGAAGGTGTCCATCGCGCGTCCCGCGCGGATCTTCGTGATGCGTCGGCGCACGCTCGATCGGTGGAGCAGTTCTCCAGAGGGGACCAATACGAATCCGCATGGTGAATCATTGTCCGGATCGTGTACTCTCCATAGGAATCCTCTGCGAATATCGATGATCGATCGCTCAATTTCCGCTTTGGGCGCATGGATGGAGATCAGCTCTCCCAATCGCGCGAACTCCCCTTCCGAGTTGCACGCGAGGATGACCTTCCCGACCTCGCTCGCGAGTTCTCCGAGTTCCTTGATTGCTTCTCCGGTCTCGCGATCAAACGGCGGCACGGGCTCCACTGGAAGCGTCACGAGTGTATCGGCGCCGGACTTCCCAGCCGAGAACTGGTTGAGCTCCGCGAGCGCGTGGAATCGGGATTCGAGCAGTTTCAAAACCGCAGGAGGACCAAAGATCGTGCGTCCATCGTGGACGCGTTCGTAGTACCCTCTCCCCTGCTCAATGACCTCGAAGGTTTCCGCAATGATGACGAGCGCCTCTTGTGGGATGGATTCAAGGAAGGACTGGTCGTCGCTGGATTCTTCGAGGAACTCGGATCCCGAAGCCGCGAATCGGGCTTTGTCGACTTTGCGATCCGATCCCATCGTGTCCAGATCGATCTCCGCGATCGCCTCGAGTTCATCACCAAAGAAGTCCAAACGCACGGGCATCGATGCGGCATCAGGATCTGCACCCCCACCGCTCCCACTCGCTGGGAAGATGTCGATGATCCCGCCTCGCATCGCGAACTGTCCTCCAGATTCGATCGTGTCGGCGCGTTCGTAGCCGTGATCGCTGAGCCACTGGATCAGTTCGCTCGGATCGATGCTCTCTCCGACGCCCACCTCGCGGATCAGTGACGCGCCTCGGCTCAGATCAGGAATCGGCTGCATGAGCGCCGCGATCGGCGCGATGATCACGCCGTTGATATTCCCCGCTTCGATATCACGCGCGATGATCAGGCGCTGAGTGAACAGTTCAGCGGAGATGCTCGATTCGCCGGGAGAGAGCTCCAGCGCTGGGAACAAAGTCGCGGCATCGGGATCAATCGCTCCGATCTCTGCGAGCAGGTCCTCTCCCTCATCGAGGTGGGCGCAGACGATCACGACAGGTCGTTTGGTGCGTTGGTGCAGCGCCAGTGCGGTCACTGAGACTGAACTTCCACAGGATCCAGTCGCAATGACACGATTCCCCTCGTCCATCGCGCGAGCGAGGGCGCGGAACTCTGGGTTACTCTGGATGGGATCGATCAGGTTCATACAGTTCACACGAAATGCGCGCATACTCGTCCCCAGCCGGCTGATCCGCAGTCGGCGGGGTGAGCGTGTTCATTTCATGAAGCATACCCGATGCAACTGACTCAGGGGGTGGAGACCATTGCCCAATCTTGGAGCTTCTCGATGGTCTTGGGTCCGATCCCACTGACGCGGTCGAGGTCACTGACGGATTCGTATCCGCCGTGGGTCTGTCGGTCTTCGATGATCCGTCGAGCGATCTTTGGGCCGATCGATGGGAGCATCTGCAGCTGTGTTTCATTGGCGGTGTTGAGGTCGATGAGTAGCCGGATGTGCGGGCTTTGAATATCTGATTGCTGAGAGAGAAATGTGGATTGATAACTAAACGACCAAACGAGTCCAAAGAAAGAACATATTCCCAGTACGAGCGACCCAACCAGCGCGGCTGGTGTCCTGGACCAATCACTCGAAGACTGATTGGATGGTTGATGTTCTTGGATCATGACTGCTGTGCTACGCCGCCGGAACTGAGCAGATTGTCGGCGGACCATTCATCTGGGAGACGAGATTCTGCGATCGCGGTGCGGAGATCGGTGAGTCGTTCGAGCGATGGTCGTCCGAGTCCCTTGATGTCCATGAGTCCGCCGGAACGCATGTCTGTGGCGCCGCTCGTGTCCGCGAGTTCGTGCCAGCAGATGCTCTCGATATACGGCTTAGATAGTGCAACTGCACCATACGCGGATAACCAATCCGCTTGGACCGCTTCATCCCAAGGATGACGCCAATGTCCAGTGCTCGGCGTGTTGGGAAGCTCCTCGCGAGGGGAGAGTTTGGTGGTTGGGACCCCGATCGATGAGATCGTGATCGGTCGATCCAGCATCGCGTAGTGATCGAGCATGGAACTGAACGCCATGAGATCGCGTGTCTGCAGACCCGATCGGTAGGATCCCATCTGCACACGCAGCGAGAACGCGTCGATCTGGATTCCTGCTTGTGAGAGCATTTCCGCGTACAACAATGGAGGCAGCGATGAACGATCATGCGTGTGGTACTCACCCCAAGGCTGGGTGATCTCGACCTGAATCTTGGCGCGGGGATGGAGCTTGCGTGTGACGAGCACGCAGATTCTGGTCAGGTCCATCATTTGTTCGAAGCTGAGTTTGAAGTGCTCGCCGCAGTGGAGACCTGAGCAGACGGTCCATCGTGTGACCGTTCGGCGATAGCGAGTCACGAGCGTTTTCATGTGCTCGTAGACAAGCTCGCGGAGCGTTTCGTAGTCGTTCTCCCAGATGTACAACCAATCGGGGACGCTCGCGGATCGGAAATCGATCAACGGTCCAGCAACCACTGGGAGTTTCGCGGTGCGGATCGCCCACTCGATCCAGCGATCGGTTTTCGAATAGTCGTATTCACCCTCGGCGGGTTCCATCTCGACCCAGCGCATCGGCACGGTAATGAAATCACACGCACGCGTGATCGCGTCATGGGTGACCGGGGCGAACACATGCGGCGAAACCAGTGATCCCACGGCAGGCTTGAGCGGGAGCACCACTCCCCCTCGTCCAGGATGGAGCATCGCTTTGCGAGATGCGGGGTCAGAGTGCTCCGATTCCAGGTTCTCGTACATGGAGCCGTCACAACGCGGTCCAAAGTCTGATTGAGCCTGTTGGAGCGCTAGACGCTCGGAAGCTTCCAGCGCGATCCAGAGTGCTCGCAACGCGAGTTTGGATGCTTCTGAATCTGGGAGGATCGAGTCGTGCGTGAGGACCAGCGCTCGCATGAAGCACTTGCGTGCTGCTTCGAAGAGCTTCATCGGGAGCGTTCCCTCGGCGGAGTCGATCGCTTGCCAATCCTCGAGTTTGGTGAGGAAGGTCATAATCCGATGACGAGCGAGCTCGAGCACCAAGAGGTACGGCGCTTCTCGCTGTGGGAGTAAGCAGGTCTGGAGCGTCCAAGTCCCGAGGGGCTTCAGTGTTACGCCCTCGATTTCGGTGTCGCCTTCGATCTGATCGAGTCGATCCTGATCCAGATCGATCTGGACCGCGATCGCGACGGCTTCGGTGGTGCCTTTCTCGCAAACGACGATCCCGTCGCGTACGGTGATCTCTCCAGCAATCGCGACATTGTCCTTGCCGATGAGATAAGCGCCCGGGAGTTCATCCGTGGTTGCTGGAGTGGGATCAGGTGAAACAAATCGAAGCATGTTGCGTTGCTGACTCCATCATCCGCGAGACCATTGAGACCGGCACCCAAAGCCGGTCATCTAGAATATGAGCAAAGCCGGGCCATGGCGAGTCCTCAGAGCACGAATCGAGTCTGAAACCGACTCGATTCCGACTCGATAATCCCATTGGATGCTCTCAAGAGCCAAATCGAAACGAATCGAGCCCTAGAGATGTTCGCTCCAGAGCGGAACACAGTTGCGTCGCTTTGCTATCCTTTGGTATGGACGCACACACCGCCGCATCGTCTTCATCGGATTCCGCGCTGACGACTTTCGAGACCTCGCTGAACCTCCCATATCCACGCAAGGGCAAGGTCCGCGATATCTATCGACTCCCGGCTCAGCACGCTCCGGATCTGCTCGATGGGGTCGATGCGCTGGTTATGATCGCTTCGGATCGGATCAGTGCCTTCGATGTCGTAATGCCGACCCCGATTCCAGGAAAGGGACGCCTGCTGACCTCCATCGCTGAGTTTTGGCTCCGATGGATCGAGCATGAGCGGATCTGCAAGACCCACCTCATCTCCACGGATCATCACCTGATCCCAGATTCGGCGCTGACTCCGACCACGCAGCGCGGGAATCTTGAAGGACGCACTACGATCGGACGGCTGTGTAAAGTCATCCCGGTCGAGTGCGTCGTGAGAGGATATCTCGAGGGATCAGGACTCAAGGATTATCAGCGCACAGGAAGTGTCTGCGGCGTTGATCTCCCGGCTGGACTCCAGCAATGTGATCAACTCCCTGAACCGATTTTTACACCGGCGACCAAAGCCGAGAGCGGACACGATGAGAACATTGGATTCGAGCAAGCCGTGGAGCATGTGCGAGATCTGGGCGGCGCCGAGTTGATGAATACCCTCCGAGATCGATCGCTGAAGATCTACACACGCGCCTCGGATTATGCACGCTCACGCGGAATTATCCTCGCAGATACCAAGTTCGAGTTCGGACTACCGATCGACTCCCAAGGCAAAGTGACCTCGAACGATCCGATCCTGATCGATGAGGCGCTCACACCCGATTCATCGCGTTTCTGGCCTGCAGATTCGTACGAACCCGGTCACGCACAAGCGAGCTTCGATAAGCAGTTTGTGCGTGAGTACCTCGAATCGCTTGTCCAAACGGGCGAGTGGGACAAGACTCCTCCAGGACCGGCACTCCCAGATGAAGTGATCAAAGGGACTCTGGGTCGCTATCAGCAAGCATGCAAGATGCTGGGATCTTGATTCAGTTCTTCTTCGCCCCCTCGACGCCGCGATTGGTGCGGGCGTCGATCTTCGCTTGATACGCGATGCGGAACTGTTCCATACCTTCTGGCTCTGGGAACAGGATTTCGAACGGTTCGGATTCACCTTGCGCCACGAGCTCATCGATCGTCGGCTTGAACTGCAACACCAGCGAGTCGTACGCGTAGCGTTTGAGGTCATCTGGTGCGTAACCGAACAACAACTCCGCTTGCTCAGGATGGACAGTCATGATGATGTTCGTAAACAACTGTCCGGCAAGGAAGGTGAAGTCGCGATCCATGAACTCCATACGAGCGGTATTCGTCGAAGCGACGACTTCGTTGAACTGCTGGCTAAAGAAGTATGCGTGCGCCTTGCGAGCGTAATCCCATTGTCCGTTGAAAACATCCAAGTTCCTGACCATCAAGCCGTTGTAGAACGCGCTCTGGAGTGATGCGTAGACCTCTGAAACAGCAACCTGAGGCGATCCCAAAGAGTCGTACAACTGCTGATCCGCAAACTCTTTCAGTGAGAGTCCCATGTCTCTCACAAAGTCCGGGTTATTGACATTCACACCTTCAAAGTTGCGGAGTTTATCGAACCAGAACTGGGCGCTCACATTGTCACCGCGGCGGTAGAAGAAGCGGATCGCATCACGAAGGAAGTTCTCGTATCCGACGGCGTATTGACGATACGGCTTGTGGTCCGCTTCGTAGATTCCCGACGCATTGACAACCTCTTCGAGCATCGCGCCGTACGAAGGCACGAAGTACACATTGGGTACCGCTTGGTAGTATGCGGCGCGTCCCTCATGGACATCGAGGTAGTTGAAGTACATATCGCCGTGGCGCCAGAGGTCCTGTACGGATTGCATGACCATACGGAATGCGTTGAGGAAGTCGAGCGATGTGCGATTGCGTGCCGTGACTTCCATTCGACCGACATCGGTGCCGCGTGATCCCCAGTACAGTGCGTGCGCTGTGGGGAGTCGCCAATCGATGGGACCAAACTTGCGGATTTGCTGAACCATCCGCACTGGTTCCATGTTGTACCCATCGATGAGCACATTCTTGCGGACAAAGTTTGCGAGGTCATTCCACGCTTGCTCGTTGGGGTACTCGCTACGCAGTTGACGCATCAGCATCGTCTTTGGACCCAGTTGTCCTTGCATAGTGACGAAGCGTCCTGCTCTTTGGAGCTCGCGATCCAGCTGGAATCGACGAAGGAACTCTTCTCCAGCGTCGGGGTCGCTCCCGAGTCTACCAACGATATTGAATCGGCTTTCGAACTTGCGAGCGATCTCGTCAGACTCTGGATTGAGCTCTGCGAGCTCTGAGCGTGTCTTTGGAGCGTCGACAATCAGTTGAGTCTGCTGAGCATACAGCTCGATCACCTGATCACGTCGGCGTTGGTCTGGCAGAATGACAGGTGCCGGGCCGAGGATATTCTGCCACTCGTACGCGAACTGCCGCTTGTAGTACTGGTTCGCGTCGTCTGTGTACCCACCCACTTTGTGCAGAAGCATCCACGCGAGTTCCTTGTGGATGTGCATGTCGTTTGGATTGGCAACCAGACCTTCCTTGCGGAGCAGGTCAATCCCAGCGATCACCCATTCCCAGCGTTCTTCTGGGGTATGGGTCGTCACAGAGATGTTGTAGGTCATGTTCCACGCGTGGAAGGTCCATACCTGAGGTAGGCGAGGCTGAAGCTGCGTGATCATCCGCGCCAGCTCGATGGACTCGTAGAATCGCCCTTCTTCTTTCGCGGCGGTCGCCTCGAGCCAGAGGATGTTCACGAAGATTCCGCGGAACGCGCCCATCGCGATCCCAAGCGCGATCTGTGGCGGATCGCCGTCTTCAGCACGATCGGTGTAAACGAGCTCGTGACGGCCTTGTGAGGCGGCAATCTGTGTGGTCAGCACACCCGATCCGATCATGCCGACAAGCATGACCAGGATCGCAATCAGTCGCACTTTCATGTTGTGTGTCATGATGATGCTCCTACTGACCCGAATAGATCGCGAGCTGACGCTTGCGGAAGATGTATACGCTCAAGAAGTAGAACACGCCGGTCGCGAGACTCAGGACGAGCACCCCAGAAGAGACCTGTCCCCACCCCAACAATCGTCCTTCGGCGATTCGCTGCGTTGGTTTGAGCTCGTGATAGATCGAGAAGAATCCCGAGACGGTGTCCGCGAAGTGGTAGATCAATGTCCTGAAGACCCCCACCACTGATTCGGTGTCCATCTGCCAAGCCGGGAGTGCGGACTGGACGAATCCCGCCGATTCACCGATCAGGAACACGGCGATCGACATCAGACATGCGACTGGGAATGACGCAAACGATGCGGCCCAAACGGAGATCATCGCGAGCAGCGCCAGCTTGATCCACAGAACGGTCATGATGCGGACAAAGTTCCCCGCGTATGACCCAACTTGGTACGAGACTTCCAACCCGTCCGGCGGGATGGTCATCGTTCCTGGATTCGGACGCAGCGAGAATGAATCATCGCGATCGAGACCAAGCTCGCCGTTGTAGATCTGCATATTCAGCTCACCCCGATTGTTGATGAGCGCCGAGTCAATCGTAAATGTGTGTGAGAATCCGAGTCCGGTTTGCTTGCGTGGGAAGATGGCGCCGGATTCAAATACAAAGGTCACCGCATAGAAAATATCTGGACGATTGCCCTCCGCGTTGATCTTGTATCGCAAAGTGAGTGGCTGACCAAGACGCTTCGCTTCCTCGAGTCCAGTAAATGAAAAGGTTGCATACCCCTCATAACGCGGATCGATTGAGCGGTAATCGCTGACCGCTTCTTCGAAGATCTTCATCCGCATCCCGGCTTTCATGCCCGGAGTGGGATTGAAGTCTGTCTGGAGCTGCCGCTCCTGAGCGATCTCCGCTTCGAGTGCTGCATCAAACTCCGCATCCATCGGATGGAATGGAAGCACAGGATTGACAGACTTACGAGCCGAGAGGACTTGCGTTTCGAGGATCATCCGATCCTCGGTCATCATGCGCCCCTCGCTCGCTTGGTACGGCGCCACCTCACCCAGTGCTTTTTGGGATCGCAGGTACTCAGTAAACTGGAAAGTCCCGAGTCCTGCAACGGCGAGGAGCATCCCAGAGAGAAGCGTGACGCCGAGCCATTTACCGAGGATGTACTGCCAAGCCGCGACTGGTTTGGTCATGGTCTGCCAGATGACCTTCTCGCGCTGCTCATATGAGACGGTTGCGGCGCTGAAGAAGACCACCAAGAGCGCGATCAACCAGAACGACATCCCTGTGGACCATTGCAAGAAACCCTGCACTCGATAGCGCAACGGCTGATCCGCATCGAGCATGATCGGCATGATCGAGAGCATCACCGCAAGCAGCAGGATAAACACGAGCGAGATTTTCATCCGGATCGCTTCAGCAAGGACATTGCGTGCGATCGTCGTGATTGGGTGAGCATTGCTCAACGCCAGACGCAATCCACGCAAGAGCACGGTGAAGGTCAGCATGAGCAGCGTCACGCCGATGATCACGAATCCGAGCCCTGACCAGCCAGGGCCGCCGAGTGAATACAAGGGCCAGCCGATCAAAGCGACCAATGTGATGGTTCCGACATAGGTCAGTCCGAGCCCCAACCAGATGATGATGATCAAGAATGCCGTAATCAGCGAGACACTGATCACGCCGTTAATTGGTGATTGAGAGACATCGAGGATCGAGCGGAGCTGCTCATTACGCTGCGCGATTGGGTTGGGTATGAGATTTCCGTTCTGGTCCTCGAGCATCTCTGGGATGTCCGAAACCCAATCAGCATTCTCAGCGGTGGTCGAGCTAACGATCGAGAATCCCGCGTAAGTCAGCAGGCCCAGCAGAACGACCACAGTCGCGACGATTTTGAAGGGTCGCCCGCGTTGGTGCCGATCAATCGCACTGATTCGATTGCTCAGACTCACCCTTTGTTCTCCGGCTCCTCGTCGCTCCCATCGAGCAACGAATCAATCACGCTCTCGTCATACTCTGCTGACTTGTGCTCTGGTTCAGTCGGAGCACTCGCTTCAGGAGTATGCGTCACAGGCTCATCAACAACCTCGTCCGAGTCGTTGAGCAGCTCACTGATCAATTCGGAATCCGTTTCTTCAGTGGACTCGACCATTGGGGCTGGTTCACCAACAGACTCAGATTGTGGAGCTTCTTGTTCTGGAGTATCCGTCGTTTCGTCTGAGTTGGACAGCAGGCTTTCGATGAGTTCGTCCCCAACAACTGGAGCCGCTGCGGCAGCGGATTTGAGGAACGACGCGGTCTCTCCGCCTTTGGTCACACCAGAGGTGCTCATGCGATCCGCTTGTGCTTTCTCAACGATGCCGAGGAAGAGTTCTTCGAGTCTTTGTCGTGGAGAGCTGACAGAAAGGATGGACTTGCCTCCTGATGACCTTCTGCGGATCACTTCGTCGATCTCCGCGATCGTCGCATCGTCGAGCTCATCGGTCTCGATCGTCGTGCGTTCTTTAGACGAGAGCAGTTCTTCGCAGGTCCCTTCGCCACGGATCTTGCCGCCGTAGAGGATAACCATTCGATCGACAACATCTTCAACATCAGTGAGCAGGTGACTCGAAAGGATGATCGATTTGCCTCTTCGTCCCAGTTCGAGGATGAGGTCTTTCACTTGCCGAGTCCCGATCGGATCAAGACCCGTGGTCGGTTCGTCGAGGATCAGCAGGTCTGGATCATTGATGAGCGCCTGCGCGATCCCGATGCGCCGCTGCATCCCTTTGGAATATTCGCGGACTGGACGGAACTGCGCGTGTGTCAATCCGACCATCTCGAGGAGCTCGTCGATGCGATTGGAGCGTGTTTTGGCATCAAGTCGGAAGAGCTTGCCGTAGTAATCGAGCGTCTCTCGTGCATTCAGAAACGGGTAGAGGTAGCTTTCTTCTGGGAGGTATCCGATCCTGGATTTGGTCTCGACATGTGTGGTTGGTTTATCGAACACCATCACACGCCCGCTTGTTGGTTTGAGCAAGCCAAGGATCAGTTTGATGGTCGTGCTCTTTCCCGAGCCGTTGGGACCTAGGAGTCCAAAGATTTCCTTCTCGCGCACAACCAAGTCCAGCTTGTCCACGGCACGCGCGCGATCGCGCATCCAGAAGTCCTTGAATGTCTTGGTCAGCTGTTGACACGCGACGACAGGTCTGCGTGTATCGGTCGAAGCATTCTGTGCAGTGCTGGATTGTTCAGGCGTCGCGACGCTCATGCTTACTCCTCTGGTTCCTTGAGACCACGCTGGGTCTGGAAGAAGGAACGGCGCATCTCTTCACGCCTGCGATCGACAGTTTCCTGTGCTTCTCGTCGTTTCTTCTCGCGATCGATTTCTCGCAGAATGTCTGGGTCACGATTGATCAACAGTTCGGCGCTGACTCCCTCAGGGAGCACCATCGTGGAGACGAAGTCCTTGTCGAGGAACTCAGCCATCGCGCTGGACCAGTCGCGAGCGACCATCAGCTTGGGGTTCGCTTCGTACTGCGCGAGCTTGGAACGGAAGTTCTCCAGCTGCGCAATCGCTTGACTGACTCGGTTCGATGAGAGCGTCTGCGCGAGCGTGAGCATCTCGGAGATTTCTCCGGAGACGAGCGATTCCAAGACCTCGCCGTCGATCTCTACTGGACGACCTTCGAGGATCGCATCGATCTTCGCAAGCTGCTCTTCCGCGGCTTGCGTCTGACCCAACTCGATCAAGCGCTCGAACTCATTGATCTGAGCAATCAGCACATCGCTGCCGCGTCCCGCGACCTCGTTGAGCATCTGGTCACGCAGTAGCAGCGCGTCTTCGCGTGCCTTACCTGCAGTCTGTGCGGCAGTCTGGACCGAGCTGAACTTCGAGCGGAGCGAGAGCGCCGCGTTCTTGCGTGTGAGCACAACACGATCGATCGAGATACCCGATTCGAGCTCGTCGAGCGAGTCCTGCGCCATCGCTCGGACTCTTCCCGAGATGGTCTCTGAGGAGTTCTTGAGCAGATCGTCGATGTTGACCTCCGCGATGACATGAACGACCGCACGCTGGATGATCGCTTTCATCATCGCGCGTTCCTGTTCAGGGATCATGTTGGAGACATACAACGCGTGGTTGGATCGACGATAGTTCACGCTCCATTGGGTGTGCGCGATGTTGAAGTCTGAAGTGATGTTCGAGCCGTCCTGAGCGGGGTTGAGCGTGGACGAGTCGTTGAAGCGATCGATGTCGATCGCGAGTGCTTCTTCATCGGACTGCTCACCAGGGATGTTGGGCATGAACTCTTTGGCAACCGCCATCTCCACGGCACCTTCACCCACTCGAACGATCTCACCGATCGGGTACGGGAAAGACCACTGGAATCCAGGTTCGAGATTCGTCCGAACCTGCTTCCCGAAACGGACACTGATGCCTCGCTCGCCTTCTTTGATGGACTGCACACCCGAAACTGCAAACAGCACGATGAGTACGACCATCGCGAACTTGAGCAAGCCGTAGGTGATCTTGAGTGCATCCGCGAGTGACTGGTTCGCGGAATCCATCCGCGCCAAATCTGCAGCATCCTGAGCGGATTCAGCGCCACGCAAACGAACTGATGCTTCTCTGCTCGGAGCTTCGTGTTGTTGATCCTGATCGTCAGGGGACTGACCATTGATCAGATCATCAAGATGTTGATCGTTGTCTGACATCGATCAATCCTCCGAACCTGCCGAGGCGCTTGGGTTGCTTTGTGGGACTGGGAGTTCTCCTTGCGTTTTTTGCAAGATGTCCGGATCAAAGAGCTGCATACCGTAGTCCGATGTCGAGAAGATCAGTGTGAACTTCTTGGCCATGGATTCACGCATGAGTCGGATGTTCTGGATGAACACCGCGAGTTCAGGATTGATATTCTGCTGCGCGAGGTACGGTGCGGCTTCCGCTTCACCCTTCGCGAGGATCTCATCGGCACGACGCTGCGCGAACGCACGAATCTTGTCCGCGTCGGACTTCGCCTTCGCTTCGATCGCGCGAGCTTGGGAGCGTCCCTCAGACTCGTAGCGTTCGGCGAGTCGGTCACGATTGGCGCCCATGCGTGTAATCACCGCATCGGTGGTGTCCTCTGGGAGGATGATGCGATCGATCCCGACGAAGGTTACGGCGATGCCGTAGTCGTCGAGCGGGTTGCCACCCTCGCCGCCTTGTGCGAGTGTGTTGAGGACGCGCTCTTCGAGCTGAGGGAGTGCTGATCCGCCTTGGTCAGGTGAGTAGAGATCGGTGATCGAGAACTTAGAGGTCTCACCAAGCGCCGAGCGGAGCAGGTCCTGGAGAACGGAGTCTTCCGCTTTGATGTAGTGATCGATCGGGCGATCTCCAGCGTTGGAGAAACTGCGGAAGAACTTGAGCGGATCGGTGACCTTGTAGGTCAGGAACGCTTCAACGATGACCTGGAAGTCGTCCGCGGTCTGCTGAGTTTCCGAACGCGCCTGCACGATGCGTGTGCGCGTGTCGTACTTGGTCACCGATTGGATCGGGAACGGCGCTTTGAAGTGCAGTCCCGGCTCGACGATGATCGAGTTCTCCCCGGCCTTTCCGAAGGTCGTCTTGACCGCCGATTCAGTGAAACGAACGGTGTAGAGCATGCTGAAGCTCAGGATCGCGAGCACAAACAGCAGAAGCACAATGAGCGAGATATATCGCACGGTTGATCTCCATCCCCATCATCGGGGGTCGTTTCAGGCGCTTTGGCCTGCGTTCTTCTTAGTCACCAGCCAGCGCTTCACCCGCTTCGGGGTCGAAGACATCTGTCCCGGCTTCTTGATCCATCAGGTCGATGCGTACATGGAGCGATTCCACATCCGCGGGAGTCAGATACACACGAGCGCTCTCGATCGCATCGAGCAGCGCGTTAAAATAAGTCTGTGATCGGTACAAGCTTGGCGACGCTGAGTACGCCTGTTGTTGTCCATCAAGCAGCAACGCCTGTCCACGCTCAGACATATGACGAGTCCAGCGTTGAGCGCCGGCGTCGAGGAGCTTCTCACCCGCTTCGCCGCCTGCGGTCTCGAGCAGTCGCTGGACCTCCAATTCGGTCTCGGAAACCGCGACCTGTTCAGCGTTTTCTCTGCGGAGGATCTCGAGTTGATCGAGCTCTCCAACAATCTGCTCGGCGAGTTCAACCGATCCCGCAACCTCAGTCAGTGTCGCGATCTCCACTCGGCTCGCTTCTTCGATCATGGATTCACGGTTCTGACGAGCCGCGATGACACGCTCAAAGGAAGGAGCGACCTTGATGGGTGGATGCGCCCCTTGCATACCGACGAAGAGGATCTCGATTCCGGGACCTTGCCCCTCGTTGAGCGGTGCGAATGCTTCTTCGAGCAATCTCCGCAGCTCTGGGAGCATCTGGGTCCGATTGTGCGCGAGCACATCATCAATTGACTGCTGTCCGAGATACTGGGTCACCACTCGGCGCCCAATCATCTGAAGCAGATCCTCGCGCTGACCAGGTCCAGCAAACTGATCGAACAGCTTCACATCGCGAACCACGAAGTGCATCGGGACTTCAAGCGCCACGAGCGACAGGTCGCCGCGTGAGTTGGTGCCGTCTTCGTCTTCGTGACCGGCAAGGCTCGGCTGAACGACATTGAGCTTCTCACGGCTTGAGTGTGATTCAGTCCAGATCAACGGCGTGTCTTTGCCCTCGTCTGGAGCATTCGCGGCGAGTTGGAGCACCCGCACCCCAGTCGTTGTGCGGACTTCTTCTTGTTGACCTCCGCTGCGCGAGTACGAGACCGGAGTCTCGTAAGTCGCGAACGGCCAAGGTAGTTTGACATGTAGACCAGGTCCGATGTCGCTCTCGCCTCGCTCTCCGAAGCTGAAGATCGGGCTGCTCACGCGTCCGTTGGTCAGTATCAATCCGCGTTCGTGGGGTTCAACGACGACGAGCATGGTCATCAACCACGCGATCGCGACACCCATTCCAACGAGCCAAAAAACGAGCTTTGAGAGCAGTTGGTAGAGCCAAGTTCCAGTGACATCGACGCCAAACTGGTAGTTGACCGCTTCGCCGATATTCGCGGCTATCCGATCCGGAGCCGCGAGCAATCCGAGCAAACGAGAATCAAAAGCAGGACGCGGATCTTCACCCGGCTTGCGTGGTCGATACACATCGAGGACCAGATTCAGGACCACTTCACATCCGAGCACGATCATCCCGATCGGGATGATCATCGGAGTCAGCGCTTTGAAACCCATCTGTCCGAGCGAGAGCTCAAGGAACGCGGCGACCGCGAGCAGGACCCCCACCATCGAGATCGCGACGGATTGAGCCGCACCTGCTCGCAGGTTGGACCAGACATTGATCTTGCCCATCCCTGAAACGAAGCGTGCAAAGATAAAGCCGACGACGCCGATCGCGAGTCCGATCGCGAGCATCGCGCCGACGATATGAGTGTTGTATATAAAGGTCTCGTCCGAGGAATACGCGTTCCACGAACGAAGACGCGAGATCCCTGCGAGGATATTGATCGCGGCGAACACAACTCCCGCCGCAGGAACGACCCACTTCTGGATGAACACCAAGCGTCGAGCTGCGACACGCAGATCATCTCCTGCATCGGAGAACGCGCTTGCGGATGCTCCTCCTGAGCTTGCGAACTGCTCGGCTTCCATCGATTCGATCCGCTCACGACGATGTTGATCAAAGACAAAGAGCAGTATCGCCCACACGATGACACCGGATCCGAAGAGGATCGAAGCGCTGCGTGCGGCATGATCGCCGGAGTAAGTTGAGTAGATCAGCATGAGCAGCGCGACGAAAGTCTGGACGATGAGTCCGACCACACAGATCAGTGCTGCTCTACGGAATGTTTGATAATCGCCTCGGGCCATGGGTGTGTGCAACCTCTGCATATGGAAGTACTCTTCCACGACGGATATTTCCGGATCCATCGATTGGGAGACCGTGGCTCTATTGTGGGCATCAGGACGCCGGGAATCCACCCTTGACGCCTCAAACCCTCACAAGCACCGTCCCCCAGCCGACTGTCGTGTCCCCTCGGCGGTGTCCAGTACGACAAGGATCTGTTGGGGGTTCTGCGGATCATACCAACTCCATCAAGATTTCTGATCTCGCGTGCTCAGCAGGAGCACACTGGGATAGATGATCTTCTCAGGCGCGAAACATGCGCCCACTCCGTGCGTACACAAGCGGGAACACCCCCTACTATCTCCTCCGAATGATTGCCCACATCCTCCCCATCGCACGAAACTCGTTGATTGAGAGCCTCCGACAGCCGGTGCTCGTCATCATGATGCTCATCGCCGCGTTCCTTCAGCTCCTCAACACCTGGATCATCGGATTCACGATGGGCCGCGCCTCGGTCCCCGGCGAAGTCACGGGCGACAACAAGCTTCTTTACGATGTTTCCATGTCCACAGTCTTCGTACTCGGGATCGTGCTCGCGGCATTCATCGCGACCGCCGCGATCTCTCGCGAGATCGAGAACAAGACCATCCTGACTGTGGTCTCCAAACCAATCAGCAGACCGAGCGTGATCATCGGAAAATACCTCGGGATCGCCGGCGCGATGACCATCGCGATCGGGATCATGGTCGCGATGCTGCTGCTCGCGGTGCGTCACGGCGTGCAAACCACCGCCGCTGATGAACCAGACTCTGTGGTGATCACCTTCGGGCTCACGGCGCTGTTCGGATCGATCTTGATCGCCGCGATCGGAAACTTTATCTACGGCTGGTCGTTCGGACAGACCGCGACGCTGCTCATGCTCCCACTCATGTGGATTGCGTATGTGGGGATGCTGCTGCTCAATGATGAATGGGAGTTCCAGCCGATCGGGACGGATTTCACACCACAGATCGTGATGTCGTGTGTGGCGCTCGGACTGGCGCTCTTGGTGATTTCCGCCGTCGCGACCGCAGTTTCAACGCGTGTCGGACAGGTGCTCACGATTGTCATCTGCGCCTTTGTATTCCTGCTCGGATTGATGTCCAATCACTTCATCGGTCGCCATGTGTACTCCAACGAACGCGTCGCAGAGATCGCGACCACGCGATCTCCAACTAAACTCGATGCGTACGACTTCCGCCGCAACGAGGTCTGGGAGCTCGCGGCACTGCGGAACGGGATGGATGTGCTCGAGTTTGAATCACTCGGATACGACCCACGCAACTTCGTCAGCATCCGCGAGGTGATGGCGATGGGTGATGTCGACGATCCGCAGTGGCGCGAGATCATGCTGCGTGAGCCGGGATCGATGCTGATTATCGATCTGTTAGGTCCTCCCACAGTGCAGCTTGAGCCGGGAGATTCGTTCTACTACGGCTCATCTCCTAACGGTGTTGGTCTCGTTACTCCGACATTCAAGCCATTCGATCCTGAAGACGAGCTCATAGAGAACACACGCGATGAGCCTGGACTGATGATCGTGGAGATCGATCCAAACTCGCTTGGACAATCGATGCTTGTTATGCAGATCGGACGCGAGGTTGTGCCCGTGTCGCGTCCCCCACTCCCGAAGGACTCTGTGTTCCTAACACCAACCAAGACCAACATGGCACCGCTGGTCGCGTGGTCCGTCATCCCGAACATGCAATCGTTCTGGCTCATCGACGCGATCAACAAGAACCAGCCCGTCCCGATGTCGCACCTCGTGCTCGTCGCGATCTACAGCGGATTCCAGATTATCGTCTTCCTCGGTCTTGCCGTGGTGCTGTTCCAAGGTCGGGATGTAGGCTGAATCCAGTTTATTGATCTGCAATCGCGCGAGCGTATGACTTGACCGTCTTCTCGCTTGCCCCGTCCCAAGTCAGTCCACGCAGCTCAAATCGCCCGTGCTCTGTCAGTGTCTTGCTGAGCGGCGGATACTTCATGACGGCGACGATTTTGTTTGCCATCTCGTCAATGTCCCAAAAATCCACTTTCAGCGCGTGCGTGAGAACCTCCGCGACTCCTGATTGATTGGAAACAATCACCGGCGTGTCGTTACGCATCGCTTCAAGCGGCGCGATGCCGAAGGGTTCGGAGACCGAAGGCATGACATAGCAGTCCGCCATCGCATAAACCTTATCGACATCGCGTCCACGAAGGAAGCCGGTAAACAGCACCTTGTGACCGATCCCATGAGCCGCGGCGTCCTCGATCATGCGGACGGCCATATCTCCCGATCCCGCGACGACGAACTTGACCTTGGGATAAACCTCCAGCACACGCTTCGCGGCGCGGATGAAGTACTCAGGTCCCTTCTGCATCGTGATGCGTCCCAAGAACAGGACGATCTTCTCGTCCTTCTCGATCGCGGTGCCACTGCCTGGTTGGACCGTGTCCTGCTCGACGCCGTTGTAGACGACATCAATTTTTTCGTCTGGGACGCCGTATTTGGAATGGACGATCGCTTTGGTCAAACGCGACACAGCAATCACCCGATCCGCGGCGTTCATCCCCATCCGCTCGAGGTCATACACCTGCTGGTTGATGTGCTCTCCGGAGCGATCAAACTCCGTCGCGTGGATGTGACAGACCAAAGGCTTGCCCGTCAACGCACGCACCGCGACCCCGGCGGGATAGGTCAACCAGTCATGCGCGTGGATCACATCGAACTGCTCGTGCAAACACAGCGCGCTTGCGAGCCGAGCGTAGCGATCCGCGTCCGCGAAGAGATCCCCTGAATATCCCTTGGAACCAGTCCCGAGTTCTCCCAGCGAGTCCAGCGCGTCCTGCATCGCATCAGCAAGCGTCGAAGCATCGCTGCTCGCGAGTCCTCTCAGGATTGAGGTCGTTTGCCCTTCATGGAAGGATTCGTTGTGCTGCTCAGTCGTGGAATGCTCGATGGATTCGACGACTCTGCGGAGCACATCGCCCGCATCCACTCCTGGATACGAACTTGGATAGGTAGAAGTGAGCTGCTCAATGACCTCTTGTTTGATCGACGTTTGGTGGTGCTGGGTGGTGGTTGTTGAGCGGATCGCGTGCGTCGAGTGCACCACAGACCCAATTGAATCTACGGAGCGTTCCTTACCTCGAAGGTGATTGATGCGTTCTTTGAGTACGCGTGGACCGATCAAGCGCACATGCGATTGGTGCCCTTCTGGGATGGGCTGTGGGAACACGAAAGTGATCTCGTGTCCCTGCGCGACCATGGATTTGGTCAAGCCGGCACACGCGGTCCCGAGTCCGCCTGCGATGAATGGTGGGAACTCCCACCCGAGCATGAGTATCCGCATGGCTGATCCTTGACGAGCACTTTCACTCGCGTGCGCCCATAAGGCTGGTTTCGATCAATCTTCTTCGCTTTCGTCCATGTCACCAAGCTGACGGAAGCACTGCTCATACGCGAGGAGCCACTGCACACATGCATCGTCGAGGTCCTGTCCCGCGAGCGGGATGACTTTGGAACGGAATACGAATTCCATGTCGTCAGAGCGATAATGCTCGAACTTCACGGCCCCTGTGTCCTCGGCGTATCCGAGATCGACCAGCTCGTCTTCGATGAGTTCGTCGAGTTTATCGCCGGATTCGACGAGTTCCGCTTCGATGGACTCACTGAGCCAGCGGTCTTTGGTCGCAAGCTCAACGATCGCGGAGTCATTTTCCAGATACACGCGATAGAACGCTGGTTCCGCGGCTCCCCACGCTTGGAGCTCAACATGGTTATCCGATGCATTGATGGTGCCGAAGACATTCGCGGCTTTGGCGCGTTCGGAGATGGTGGAGATGATCTGATCAGTGGAGACGGGCATGATAGACCTCGATCGCTCGTATTCTGGAAGGGTTCGGGTGTTACACGGACCTTGGTGTAACCAAAGTCGTCCCAATCATAGAACCGTTCATCCCCGATCTGGGAGAGAAATCGAGGATTTGACACGATCTAGAGTCCGACGCTGTCGACAACGCTCCACAAAGGCGTATACTTCCTCCCCCGTGAAATACGGGGTCCGCGGCCCAGGTGGCGGAATTGGTAGACGCGCCACCTTGAGGTGGTGGTTCTCGTAAAGGGAGTGGAGGTTCGAATCCTCTCCTGGGCATTGATCAAGAAGCACCAATTGCGGGTGCTTCTTGTCATTTTTGGCCATTCCCTCACGGCTTCGTGAAGTTCCACGCCGAACCGCTCGATCTCCCCATCATCTCAGTCTTTTGAGAGGAGATCGGTAGTGCGTGTACTAATTGTGGACGATTCCGCGTTCATGCGAAAGGTCATTGGAGAGATGATCAACGCTGATCCTGCGATGGAGGTTGTCGGGATCGCACGCGATGGTGCCGAGGGGGTTACCAAAGCAGAGCAGCTCAAGCCTGACCTCATCACACTCGATATCGAGATGCCTCGATTGAACGGCATCGATGCACTCAAACAGATTATGAAGATCTGCAAAGAGAATCCGCCTGCGGTTTTGATGTGCTCTTCACTCACTGTTGATGGCAGCACAGAAGCACTCAAGGCGCTCAAGCTCGGTGCTTCGGACTTCATTGCCAAAGACCCACAGGTGGTTGGCCGTCATGATAAGCAGTTCAATACCCAACTCCTCGAAAAACTCAAAGCGATCGGGACGCATCGCAAGAATCTTCACGCCACCAGATCGAATGACAGCAGTTCCGCGGCGTCTGCGAATCAGGAAACAGATTCACACAGTATCTCAGGGGTGTGCACCAAGTTCGATGATTGGGTGATGCCTGAGGGAATCAAGGTGATTGTTATTGGATCATCCACTGGCGGACCACCGGTACTCGAAGATCTGTTCGACCAACTCCCATCGACGCTGCCAGTCCCAATCATCGTTGCTCAGCACATGCCGGAACTCTTTACACGATCGCTCGCGAATCGGATCGATGCACAGAGTGGATGTGGTGCTACCCTCGCTGAGCATGGGACAGCGATGATCGAACCTCGGATCTATATCGCGCAAGGCGGGAAGCATCTCAAACCAACGATGGTCGCCGGCAAGAAGCTCATCGCTCGCACGGTTGATGAATACCACAACGCGCTATACAAGCCGTCTGTTGATTTACTCTTTTCCAGTGCCGCGGAGTTCTATGGATCCGGCGTGCTCGCAATTCAACTCACTGGTATGGGCGAAGACGGCGCTGAGGGCGCACGCAAAATCCGACAAGCCGGCGGACATGTAATCGCACAAGACCAACGCAGTTGTGTTGTCTACGGCATGCCTCGCGCAGTGGTTGAGGATGGATCCGCAAACACAATTCTGTGTCCGAAAGACATCAAATCTGTGCTCCATCGCGTTTGCAGCACCACACAAACAGGTGGTCAGTCTGACTCATCGCTCCAACGCAAGATAGCTTGAACGAAATTCTCACTGACCATTGACTTGTCCCGCTCGATTGACGATACCAACCGACTCCACTTCTAAGGACCCTGACATGAATGATCAAACATCAACAAACTCCGTCGACCCCTCACTCGGGAATGAACTGATCCGTCTAGTGAGTTTCAAAGTGGGATCGGAGCAGTTCGCTGTAGACATCCTTCGTGTTCAAGAAATCAATCGGATGATGGATTTGACGCAGGTGCCCCAATGTCCGGAAGGTGTCCGAGGCGTGATCAACCTTCGCGGACGGATCGTTCCGGTTTTGGATCTGCGAACACGACTGGGAATCGATGCATCGGAAGAGAGCGAGTCATCACGGATCGTCGTTGTCGAGGTCCAAGGTTCAACCGTGGGGTTCATCGTTGATGCGGTGCATCAAGTTCTTCAGATCGATCCACGCATCATCGAGCCGACTCCTCAGATCACAAGCGGACAGAACACAAGCTACATCCAAGGCGTCGCGAAACTCGATGAGACCCTCATGATCCTGCTTGATCTTGACAAGCTCATCTCTACTGAATCATTACAAATGCTCGATTCCGTGCGCTCAAAAGCGGCTTGATCAATAGGTACAGGCACGAGGAAACAAATGACCATCACATCGAACAAAATCGCTATGTCCACCGAGCAGTTCACAACACTCTCGAAGATCATTTACGACCGCTCAGGGATCCATTTCCCAGAATCCAAGCAATACATCCTCGAATCTAGACTTTCGCACAGACTCCGCGAACTGGAGATGGATGACTTCGATCAATACCTCGCGTATCTGACCATGGGACCCTACCAGATGGACGAGTTCCAGGAGATGTTCAATCGGATCACAATCAACGAGACTAGTTTTTTCCGCAACGACGCGCAGCTCTCTGTGTTTGAACATCAGATTCTACCTGAGTTGCTCGAATCGCGTTCGAGCAACAAACGCCTCCGCATCTGGTCCGCGGCATGCTCGACCGGCGAGGAACCATTCACACTCGCGATGTTGATCGATCGCACACTCGGTGTTCGACAGAACGATTGGCACATCGAGATCTTGGGTACTGACATCTCCGAGAAAGCGCTCAAAGTCGCGCAATCAGGAGTATACAACAACTACGCGGTCCGCTCGACGCCTTCCTTGATCAAGGATCGCTACTTCACAGTTGAAGGGCGTGACTACAGACTCAATGACAACATCCGTCAGATGGTCAACTTCGAGCGGCACAACCTGAAGGATCGGATGGCCGCGAAGCGTCACGGGACCTGGGACGTCATCTTCTGCCGAAATGTGTTGATCTACTTTGATGATGATATGAAGAAGAATGTCATCTCGATGTTCGCCAACCAACTTGCAAAGGACGGGACCTTGTTTATTGGTCACTCCGAGCGCATCAAAGACCTCACAAAGGACTTTGTTCAGCTCCCTATCCCACAGGGATTCTGCTACCAAAGACCTCAATACCTCGAAATGAAAGCGTAAGGAGCGAACATGTCCACACACGAGTTTGATCCAGAAATCCTACAGGACTTCATCACCGAATCCGGCGAGTTGCTCGAGCAGCTCGAGGGGGATCTCGTCCACCTTGAATCCACACCAGAGGATCCCGATCTACTGAATCAGATCTTCCGCGCTTTACACACCATCAAGGGAAGCGCTTCATTCCTCGCGATGACCAACCTTGTAGAAATTGCGCATGTCGCTGAGGGCGCTCTCAACACCGCACGCAACGGCGAGATCATCATCGGATCACACGAAATGGACTTGCTTCTTGCAGCCGTTGATGTGCTGAAAATTCAGTTCGACGAGATCACCTCCGGAAGCAGCGATCTCACCAAAGCGGATTCACAACTCATTGATTCCCTCTCTGTGCTCGCGGACGGTTCTTCAGCAGCGTCTGATACTAATGTACCAAGCGTAACGGACACCACTTCTGATGCTGATGTGCAGCAGCACGCCGATGGACGCACGACAAAAAAACTCTCGCTCGATTCTTCAAAGCTCGATCTGATCGATCTGCTTACGAGCGACATTGATGACTCGCTGAAGCAGATCCAGAGCAACCTCGATCAGCTTGAGAATCCTGAAACTCGTGCAGTGGCGATCGATGCGCTTGTTGAAGCAAGCGAAGAACTGATCAAAACAGTCGACTTCTTTGATATCTCTGAGATCACGATCCTCGCGACCCAACTCGGAGTAGCCGTTGGCAAGCTCGATTCGCTCGGCGATGAGATCATCCATCAGTTATCTCCGAGACTCGCTGGTTTGTGTCTGCTCCTCGCAGAACAAACATCACATCTGGAACAGCAGATTTTGATCAGCTGGGACACCTCGCTCATCCTGGAACGTATCAACCATCTTCTCGAGGAAAACATCCCGGAGGACGCTGTGCTTGATATCCACGCGGATGGATTCGCGGCACTCCACGCCGACGGGATTATGTTTGGAGATCTGCAAGAGACACAACCGATCCCATCGGAAACTTCAGAAGCGGCACTCCCGAGCACCGACACTCCCGCTCAAAGCCAATCCACAGATACAAACAACACCACCAAGCGAACCGCGATTGGTCAGATCGAACAGACCATCCGTGTCGAAGTGGGTCGACTCGAATCGCTGATGAACCTGGTCGGCGAACTTGTGCTCCAGAAGAACCGCATCGGTGCGATCGCTGAAGACATCGAAAAATCGAATGTTGACAGTGAACTCATCGAGCAAATCAGCGCAACTACGGGAACGCTGGATCGCGTCACTGGTGACATCCAGATGGCCGTGATGCGTACACGCATGCAGCCGCTTGAAAAACTGTTCGGCAAGTACCCACGACTGATCCGTGACCTCGCGTCGAAGACCGAGAAAAAGATCAATCTCGTCATCGAGGGTGCGGACACCGAGGTTGATAAGTCCGTCATCGAAGAACTTGGTGATCCGCTCGTTCACTTGCTCCGCAACTCGGGAGATCACGGGATTGAGAAGCCGGAAGATCGCATCAAGGCAGGGAAAGAAGAGACCGGTACGATCAAGCTGATCGCAGGACATGCCGGATCGCATGTCCGCGTGCAGATCATCGACGACGGGAAAGGACTTGATCGCGAGGTCATCGGTGCCAAGGCACTCGAGCGTGGATTGGTGACCGAGGAGCAGCTGAGCACCATGCCTGATGAAGAGGTTTTCCGGTTCATCCTCGAAGCCGGATTCTCGACCGCGGCACAAGTCTCCGATTTGTCTGGACGAGGGGTCGGGATGGATGTCGTCCGCACGAACATCGAGTCCAAACTCAAAGGCGAACTCTCCATCGAATCCGAGACGGGCAAAGGCACAACTCTCACCATCACGATCCCACTCACTGTAGCGATCATGCCCGCGATGATGGTCGCGGTCGCTGACGAGGTCTTCGCGATCCCGCTGAGCAACATCACTGAGATCGTTCGCCCTGAAGAGAATCAGATCTCCGAGATCGGATCGGATCCTGTGATCCACCTGCGTGGGCAGGTCTATCCCCTCATTAGTGCTCAGGAAGTCTTCGATACACCTGAATCTGAACGCACAAGCGAAAGCTTTGTCGTGGTCATCAGTCACAATCAACGCATGATCGGAGTCCGAGTATCCTCGGTCATTGGTCAGCAAGAAATCGTTATCAAACCACTCGATGGTGTGCAGCGTGAAGGACCAGTCTCTGGTGCCACGATCCGCAATGACGGTTCGGTCAGTCTGATCTGGGACATCACCAAGCTCATGCAGTACACCAAACCCACTTCACTCAAACGAGAGTACGCAGTTGCGTAATCACACAACCACTGAACCAGCGTGCAAGAGAGTCACTTAAGGAGAAACCAATGGACGCCAGCATGATTAGCCCCTTTGTCAGCGCAATACAGAATGTATTCTCAACGATGTTCCAGCTGCCTGTCGAGGTGGGTGAACCCAAGATCAAATCCGGACACAAGTCCACCCACGATGTCTCTGGAATCATCGGTGTCTCAGGCGAGATGACCGGCACCATCGTGCTCTCGATGCCATCAGATGCCGCGAGCTCTATTGTGACCCTGCTCGCTGGGATGGAGTTCGATGTCGACTCAGCAGACTTTGCAGACGCGGTTGGCGAACTCGTAAACATGATCTCCGGCAACGCGAAAGCCGAGTTCCAGCGCCGTGATGTCTCGATCTCATGCCCATCAGTTGTCATCGGATCTGGTCATACCATCGCTGTCCCAACCGGTACACCTTGCGTGATGATCCCCTGTGCTACTGATTGTGGAGAGGTCGTTCTCGAAGTTGCACTTCGCGAGACTGAAGCACAAGTTACAGAGAACTCGTCCGCCGCTGCATAAGCACTACACACCACGAATGCACCCACACACTCAACCGCAGGAGTTATCCCAATGAAAATCTTGCTCATCGACGATTCCAAGACCATGCGCAATATCCAGAAGTCAGTCCTCAAGCAGCTCGGGTACACCGAAATCGAAGAAGCTTGCGACGGACAGGATGCACTCTCGAAAGTCGGCGCTTTCCAACCTGACCTTTGCTTGGTCGACTGGAACATGCCTGTGATGGACGGCTTGACCTTTGTCAAGAACTTCCGTCAGAACGACAAGACCACTCCGTTGATCATGGTGACTACCGAAGCCGAGAAATCGCGTGTCATCGAAGCGATCAAAGCTGGAGTGAACAACTATGTGGTCAAGCCGTTCACACCAGACTTGCTTTCAGAGCGCATCACAGAAACGCTCGCGAAATGCTCGATCGGTTCTTAACAAGAACCACTGAGGTGTATCGTGGCCGAGGGCTCATGCGATCTTGACCATCTGCTCAGTCTGAGCACAGACGCGGCATCGATCAAATGCACGCTGCATGTCGCGCCTACAGATTCCATCAAGGGTCTGGATGTCGTGGCGCTTGAAGCGTTCCTGACTGGTCGTGATGTGCTCGCGCGATACATCGATCGCGATGCACTGCAGAGGTTGATTGACGAGATCATCGAGACCCCCAAACAAGAACACTCGATGGTTGTCGCGACCGGCGAGAAAGCGATCAACGGCGCAAGCGCAACCTACACGCTTGTGGATTCCGTCCAAGAGCAGTTTGATGCGCTCGCGAAGCGCCAGGATGCTGTGAAAAATGAGGGCTCGAACTCTGCTCCGCCCCCTCCAGATCAGGATGATGCGAACTCAGTCAACTTCTATGACCAGATGGCTTTCGTAGTTGTTCAAAGAGGCGATCCGATCGCGCAAAAAACCGAAGGCTCGATGGGCACGGATGGCTCCGATGTGTTCGGCGCAACCATCACAGCTCAGGACGGCAAAGCAAACGATGATGTCATTGACAACTCGATCATCGTCAATGAGAATGGTTTGTGCACCGCAGCAGTCTCCGGCGTGCTCACTGCGACACCACTGAAGATATCCATCTCTGAAACACTCGAGATCAGGGGTGATGTTGACTTCCAGACTGGCCGGATCACTTTCCCAGGATCAGTGACGGTTAACGGCGGTGTCAAAGACCATTTCAGGATCTGTGCAGATCACGACATCACCATCCATGGATTGGTCGAGTGCGCCAAGATCGAATCACTGAAGAACATCACCCTGACGCGTGGGATGGCCGGGAAAGACACCGGCACACTCCATTGCGCTGGAGATCTTACCGCACGCTATCTTGAGAGCACGATTGGGATCGTCATCGGGAACGCTCATATCCAGAGTGAAATCACCAACTCATCGATCAATGTCCGAGGCAAACTCAATGCCGAGCAAGCGGTCATTCGGGGTGGAAAGGTGCTCGTCTCGAAGGAAGCCGTGGTCAACAGCATCGGGTCTCCGCAAGGCGTTGAGACCACGATCGCGATCGGGGTGCTCGAAGAACTCGAAGTTGAACTCCGCGCCATCGACGAACTCAGCGAAAAACTGCAGTCCCAGATCAAGTCCATGACCACCAAGAAAGAGACCTACTCCGCTTCGATCGCCAAACCGACGGCGAGTCAGATCGAAGAGATGATGGGTATGGACTTCGAACTCCAGGAATACCAATCACGACTCACGCAGTTGAGTGACGCGCGTGTAGTTCATCAGGAACTGCTCTCAAACAACACAACTCAGCGACTGGTCGTCAACAAAGCGATCTACGCGAAGAGTGTCCTCTACCTCCCAGGATACCGCGTCGAGTTCAAGCAAGATCTGGTCGGAGAGTCCATCATCGAGCTCGGCAGCGTCGGTCAACCAAGCATCACCTTCCGCGGACAAACTGTTCCACTCAGCGAACATGCGCGTGTGCTCACTGATGAAACATATCTGCGTGTGATTGAAGACGCACCGGCTCAAAAGGCTGCGGCGTAAGCAAACCAACCTCACCACACACCAGAACCGCTCGTGCCTCCGAGTGGTATATGCTTATCAGCAGACCCATCAGAACATGGGTAGAGGACATCATGCCCGCACGGCAACCAAACAAAGCAAGCAGATTCAAACTCCGCAGCGCCACCAGCGTGATGGGATTGCTCTGCACATGCCTGTTGATCGGCTTTGCGCAGCAACCTGAGCAATCCACCCCGACACAAATCACCGATCCAGAGCATAAGCAAGAATCTGATCCTATCGAAACCACACTCCAAGAGTGCGAGGTCACATTCACCTCAGGTCGCACGCTGACAGGCATCATGATGGAGTCTGACGAGGACGCCATCGTACTCCGAATCAACGGCATCGATACGACCTACCGACGCACACGCATCTCAAGTATCGAGTTCCTTCCTCCCGTCGAGGAGCGCTTCAAGAGATTCAGAGCCGCGATCCCTGACAACGACATCGAGGGTCGTTTGGTGCTGGTCGATTGGTTGCGAGACCGCCGCGCTTATGCGCTCGCGATCGAGGAGCTCGCTTCAATCCTTGAGATCGAACCCAACCACCCCCAAGCAAAGATTCTCAAGACCTGGCTCGAGCAGCATCTTAAACTGATCGAGAATCGCTCGAAAGAATCTGATCCGAGCGACAAAACAAAATCAACTCGCACTATCAAAGAATCAGCGATCCCACTGCTCAGCGAGGAACAAATTAACCTCGTGCGTGTGTATGAACTGGACCTATCGGATCCTCCTGATCTCAAGGTCAAGAATGAGACGATCCGTGCCTTGATGAGTCAAATGCCTGGCGCATTTCCGGTCGGCGAGGAAGAACGCGAAGCGATCTTGGATAGCGATGATCTGGACAAGCTCCGCTTGCTCTTTCGGCACAAGGCACGCGATCTGTACTCCGAGGTCCAAGTGCTCGAAGACCCCCAATCCTTCAAGGACTTCAACAAGCACATCGCCGGACGCACGGGCTGGTTGATCAACGGCTGCGCCACCACGCGTTGTCACGGCGGAGCCGAGGCCGGGGATTTACAACTCGTCGGTCGTCAATCAAACTCCACGCAGGTGCTCTACACCAACTTCGTGATCCTGGATCAATATGAACTCGCCGACGGGACTCCGCTCATTGATTATGTAGATCCGGATCGCTCCCCTTTGGTGCATATGGGATTGGTGCGATCCAGATCGCTCTATCCGCATCCTGAGGTGGACGCCCAGAAGTTCGGACGCGATTGGAGACCCGTGTTCCGATCCACTAAAGCGACCAACTTCAAGCGGACGACGGACTGGATCCGCTCGATTTATACCCCTCGTCCCGATTACGGCTTCCAGTACCCCCCTCCTGATGCTGAGGGTTCCCAATCGGACGAACAATCGGACGAAAACGCTTCACAACCCTGACCTTCCAGCAGACGACTCCCAACCCCCCACCACTGGCGCTGGCGCGCTACCATAGACCTCATCTCCCTGCTCCCAAAACTGACTGAGCGGGGTATCCGAAGGATGCGAGACCAATGACACAGAACTTGATGATTTCGTCCACCACAAGCCGAGTAGCCCTTATTGCCCTTGCCGGATCCGCTCTGATGCTCAGCGGCTGCTCTAAATCGGACGATGCGAAGTCCGCTTCGGCGCAAGCCGGTTCTGAGTTCAGGAATGTTTCGATTGGGGATCCTACCTACGACAATGCTTACAGCAAACAGGCGTACAACAAAGCCGCGGAAGTGACCGCAGAGCACGCCGGCAGTGACGCTCCATACGGCGAAGCCGCCGCGGTCGCTCAGTCACTCGCCAAGCTTGGCCTCGCGACCCTGTCCGCGAACGAAGCATCAGCAGCAGAAACCGAAGCGATGCATCAATCCCGCATCATCCGCGGCCATCTGAGTGAGTGGATCGCGATGAACGCGGTAGCGAAAGCATCGACCAACTTCGATATCAGTGACGATAAAGCCGCACTCGAAGAACTCATCGAACTTCGGAACAACGATGTGGTCCAGTACACCAAGCGGATGGATTCGCTCCACGAAGAAATCGAAGCGTACCGCGCTCAGATCGCGGATCTGGATGCCAAAGCACAGAGTGAACGCAATGAGAGTGCTCGTTTCGAGCTCCAGATGACCAGCGTGAGCGCGACGCAAGCCGCACAGCTCGCCGAACGCGTGCGTGAGCATTCACTACGTGCGGATGGATTCGAACTCGAATCCACACGAATCCAAGGGATCGTGGGTCAGCTCCTCCCAGGCGCTCACGAGGTCGAACTTCAGGTCAAGAAAGCAAAGGATCAGATCGATCTGCTGCAACTCTCGATCGATGAGCTTGAGCAGCGTGTGCGTGATTCCAAAGCCGATTCCGCTCAAGCTCGCGCCAACGCAGAGCAAGCACGATCCGCGATCACTTCCCTCGTCCAAAAACTCGAAGAATACCACGAATCGACCGTGATCCCTGCGAATGAATCGGTCATCTCGGTGATCAGACAGTCAATCCGTGCCGCGGGCGGCGCCACCGACAACGCGAAGACCAGCGGCTCGATTGCGAAAGCTTCTGGTCAAGAGCAGCTCGCTCGCGCCCTGTCTCGTCAAGCACGAGGCGAAGCGGAGATGGCGATGCTCTACCAATCGATCATGGAATCTGGACTCTCCGGATCATGGGAATCGAGCATGCAATCCCACGAGACTCGCCGTGACGAGCTCTACGCAGAATCCCAGCAGTCCTTCCAAGACGCCGCATCATCGCTGCGTCGCGTGCGTGTGCGTGGTGAGAGCGGCGAAGCGCTCGAAGCCGCCGCGGCTCGTTTGGACCTGCTCGGAGGGCTCGAACCCGAGCCAGAATACTCGGAAGAGTACGATTCCGAAGAAACCCAGTACGATGACTCCGAGTCCTACGAGGACAGCGAGTTTGATTCAGAAGCCGAGGATGTTGACGAGGAAGGCTGAGCGTTCACCACCCTGCTCGTTCACTGAACATCTCAACTCGGCATCGCGAGTTGTGCCAACATGAGTGATGCGAATAAATCCTCGACCGCCAAGGGTGCTCCGAAGCTCCCTGAGGTTCAGCAGCATCTCGTGCGCCCCAATGATCCAGTCGTCGGAACCATCGTCTCCACCAAACGCTGCACCGTGTCCGATCGTTCCGCGAGTTATGTCCGGCACATCGAGATCGATGTCGCTGGAACCGCTCTGGAAGGATCCTGGAGAGCAGGACAGTCCTTTGGTGTCATCCCACCCGGCACAACTCAATCTGGCAAGCCCCACAAACTCCGTCTCTACTCCATCTCATGTCCGACAGGAGGCGAAACAGGGGATGGCACGATCATCTCAACCACACTCAAACGACTCATCGACGAGCACTGGGATGACCACACTCTCTATCTCGGAGAGTGCTCCAACTACCTCGCGGATCTGCAGGTCGGCGACAAGGTCGAACTGACCGGTCCAGCCGGGAAACGATTCCTGCTCCCAGAGCATCCAGAAGATCACAACTTCATCTTCTTCGCCGCAGGGACTGGGATCGCGCCATTCCGAGGGATGATCGGGGATCTCGTCAAAGCCGGGATGCCCTCACGCGTGGACCTGTTTATGGGCGTCTCGTACGAGACCGATCTGCTCTACGACAACGAGTTCAAGGAACTCGCGAAGGATTACCCCGATCGCTTCTTCTATCGTCCCGCGATCTCGCGTCATCTGACGCACAACCAGTCCCGATACATGTATGTCCAGCATCGGCTTGAGGAAGATCGAGCCGTGCTCACAGAGATCCTCAAGAGCGAGCGGACGCTGATCTACATCTGCGGCATCGCAAAGATGGAAATGGGGATCTTTCGGATGCTCAAACGCATCCTCGATCCAGAATCGCTCGCACAGTACCTCAAGATCGATCCTTCCATCGGGAATGACCCAGACCAATGGAATAGATCGATGATCCCAAGGAGGATCAAACCGACCAAACGGCTGATGCTTGAGGTGTACTAGCGACGCTGATTCCACTCTGGGCGGATTTGATACCTTCCTGAGACAGAACAACACGCTTCAATGCCATACACTCTGACCAGAGTCCGGAGCGGAAATGAGCCCCGGATCGACGAAATGCACCTGATGGAGGATCCCATGCGGACCGAATCCACACGACGCCGTTCCCTGACCCGCTCGATCATGAACCCGATCCTCGCGATCGCTCTTTTTGGAATGACCAGCACTGCGATGGCGCAAGCGACGCTCCCGCTCTCAACTGTGGAAGCGGCTTCGATCAACAGCTCTCAGCAGTCACAGATCTCCAGCTACGCATCTCAGTGGACTGAACGTGCAAGCGGGACAGATATGCAAGCCGCATCGAGAGCACAGACTAAACTCATTGAACCGCTCATCAACGCACGCGTTTCGATCTCGTTCCGCAGAGCGTACTCCGATGCGTTGGGATCGTACTTCGATGAACTCGAATCCAACGCTGACATCAGTTCAACATTCACAGCGCTCCGCATCGCAGGGGAACTGGGGACCTCACGAGGAACCCAAATCATCCTCGCCGGACTCAACAGCGACGACGCGGGAACGCGCATCTTTGCTGCTGGTCGTGCCGGACGCACCTTCCGAACCACAGCGACCAATGGTCCGGCACTCTCCGCGAGCGATCTGACCTCACTGATCCAGAAACTCGATTCACTCGCGGATTCCAGCGATGACCAATCGCTCGTCAGCGCGTGCATCCAAGCACTCGGATACGGCTGCTCCCTCCCATCCAACGACTTCCTTCAAGCGCGTGCACTGTGCATCAGCGCAATGTGTGACGCAGCCGCAGCTCAACTCACCGGAAACGGCTCGGACCTCGAATCGCGAGTCCGCATCGCCATGCTCGGATCGGGTGCTGCAACCAACTCGCTGCTCCAAGTCGGCGAGGACTCAACCAAAGACGGTATCAAATCTGCTGTCGCGCTTGGCGCTGACATGATCTCCGTCGTACTCTCGCAGGTCATCTCCAACTCGATGCCTGATGTGGACAACCGTGACCTACAAGTCGCGCTCGTGCGTTCGGGAGAATCGCTCCTATACTTTGCGCTGCGAGAATACGCGGAACTCAATCGCAGACCGGTCGGGAATGTCCAGCAGACCCAGTTCGCGCAGCTGCTCGAACAAGATGAAGATCGCAGCTTCCGCAACCAAGCGGCGCTGCTGCTGGGACCTGGATCTCCGATTGTGACCGAGTTCGGATTTGCGGACGACCGATTCGTCAACTAAGCACGCTCCTCAAGCAACATCCGAGCAGATCAACGGGTACAGTGGTCCTATGAGCCGAATGCTGATCCCTGTTGTTGTGCTGGTCGCGTTGGTCGCATTTGCGATCTTTGGGGATCGTCCCCAGCCTCGCGCTGACCTGACCTTCATCAACTCCTCTGAAGTCAATACGCTCGATCCGCAGCGGATGAGCTGGATGCACGATCTGCGGACCGCACGCCTGCTCTACGAGGGACTTGTCAAGAACGATGTCCTGAGCGACGAGTTCACCATCATCCCAGCTGTTGCAGAATCCTGGGAACTCTCAGAAGACGCTCGGACCTACACATTCCATCTACGCGAAAACGCGAAATGGTCCAACGGCGAGCCCGTCACGGCGCACGACTTCGTGTTCTCGTGGCGTCGAGCACTGCTCCCGGATCTGGTCTCAGACTATGTCAAGATGTTCATGAACATTGAAGGCTCAGACAAGTTCTACAACTGGAGACAGGAAGCACTCGATGCCTTTGCTGATCAGGACTTCGAAACAGATGAGCAGCAGCGCCAGGCTGCGTATGCACTCTGGGATGAAACCAAATCCAAGTTCGCTGAGATGGTCGGACTGAAAGCCGTCGATGATCGCACGCTGATCGTGAAGCTCAAAAGACCTACGCCGTACTTCTTGGAGATCTGTGCATTCACTGTGCTCGCTCCAGTTTACCAACCACTCGTCGAGCAGTATGAGCGTCCTGATCCGATGACCGGCCGACTGGTACGCCGTCCGGGATGGACCAAAGGCGGCGTACTCATTTCAAATGGACCATTCGAACTCACCTCATGGCGCTTCAAGCGCGACATGCGGATGGAACAGAACCCCCACTACTGGGATCGCGACAGCATCGCGATCCGCAGCGTGTCGATCCCTTCGATCTCTGATCCAAACGCCGGAGTACTTGCTTACCAGACCGGATCGATTGACTGGATCTCCGATGTGACGAGTCCTTATCGCGGCGATATGGTCGCACAAAAACTCGAGTTCCTCGCAGAACACAAGGAACGCGTCGCGGAGCTTGAATCGTTGGGATATGACCAGTTCTCCATTACACGGATGCTCCCTGACGACCCTCGTGCTCACACGCACGCCGTGTCCTCATTCGGGACCTACTTCTACAACTTCAACACCAAGCCTCGGCTTCCGGACGGACGCGAGAATCCCTTCGCCGATGCGCGTGTCCGCCGTGCGTTTGCGATGTGTATCGACAAACCCGCGATCGCACGCGAGATCCGGCGCCTGGGAGAACCTTCGGCACACACACTGATCCCTCCAGGATCGATTGGCGGATACACCTCCCCCAAGGGACTCCCGAACATCGGAGACGCTACGAGCGAGGAAGAACGCCAATCGATCATCGCACGAGCGAAGGCGCTGCTTGAAGAAGCGAATTTTCCAGATGACTTTGTGGTCGAACTCGCGTTCAACAAAGACGCGGGGCATGATCTGATCGGGCAAGCAATCGCCAAGAGCTGGCAGAAATCACTCGGCGTGCAGACCTCGCTCTCTCAGAAAGAAATCAAAATCTTCCGCGAGGACCTCAAGAACAAGCAGTACATGACCGCACGAGCCGGTTGGTTCGGGGACTACGGCGACCCAACCACCTTCCTGTACATCAATCATTCCAAAGACGGCAACAACGATCGAGCATACAACAATCCGATCTACGACCAGTTGCTCGAGGATGCAAGCAATGAACTCGATCCAGTGAAGCGGATGGAACTCCTGAGTGAAGCGGAGCGGATCATCGTGGAAGAGGATTTACCACTCGTTCCGATTTTCCATTACGCAACGATCTACATGTTTGACGCGAAGAAAATTACAGGCCTATCCACCCATCCACGCACGAAGCAGAATGCGTTCCTGATCGATGTGCTCGGAGACGGCATCGGACCTGATCAGCCTCGCCCGATGAATCCTGAGAACATTCAGACATCAACTCGATCTGCATTGGGGGAGTCTCCATGATGACCATGATCCTGCGTCGTCTCGCGGCGTTGCCTTTCATCCTGCTCATCATCTACACAATCACGCTGACGCTCGCGTGGGCCGTCCCTGGAAATCCGCTGGAGAATCCGGAGAAACGACCCAAACCCGAAGTCATCGAGCAGATGAAGAAGCAGTACAACCTCGATTCGTTCCCGAGGTTCTATGTGTCCTATCTCAGTAGTGCGACTGGATTCGAGTACGCGAAAGACTGGATCAGCGGCGATCTGGAGCGTGAACGGATCGCAGCGGAAGAAGCTGGATTCCCTGCTCCGGCGCGTCCTGTGTTTGATCTGGGACCATCGCTCGAGTACGACGACTGGACCGTCAACGAGATCGTGGGTGGTGCACTCCCAGTCTCCATCACGCTCGGTGCCGCGGCGATATTGATCGCTCTCGTCATTGGGGTCGGCGCCGGAGTCATCGGCGCTGTCAAACCCAACTCGATCTCGGATCTATTCACACTCACCATCGCGATGATCGGGATCTCGCTCCCGAGCTTTGTCATCGGGACAGCTTTGCTGCTCGTCTTCGCGGTGCTTGTGCCGTTGTTCCCTGTTGGGGGTTGGGGTGGTCCGACCAAAGCAATCCTCCCAGCCGTCACACTTTCGCTCCCATTCGCGGCGTACATCGCTCGGCTCACTCGCATGGGGATGATCGAAGCGCTCGGAACGGACTATGTGCGGACCGCTCGTGCGAAAGGTGCTTCGGAACGAGCCGTGCTCTATAAGCACGCACTCAAGAACGCGTTCCTTCCTGTGCTCTCGTTCCTCGGACCTGCGACAGCGCTCGCGATGACCGGTTCATTCGTTATCGAGCAAGTCTTCACCATCCCAGGTATGGGACAGCACTTCGTCAACGGCGTGCAGAACAAGGACCTCTTCCTCATCATGGGAGTCGTCCTGATTTTCGCGACGATGCTGATTCTGTTTAATCTGGTCGTGGATGTGCTCTACCGCTGGGTCGATCCGCGGATCACTTGATGGGATTGATCACGCGAGTTCTTTGAAGCGGAACGAAGCGCCTGGGAGCACATCACAAGTCAGGAACTCAGAGCTAGCAAACGAGGACGCTCGCTGTCCCGGAGCGCTGAGCGTGAGCCACATCGACATGTTGGGTCCGACATTCACGACCATGCCGTTGTTGCGATCATCGATCCCGACGATGGTTCCCATCACACGACGAGGGCGGCCAACGCACGGATCGATGCAGCGCCCCCCCGCTCCAGCAGGATCAATGCGACGAGCGGTCGCGTGCATCGTGCCGAGGACCGTCTTCCCAATCATCGAGCGGAGTTGATCGAGATCATCCATCGCGACGAGATGTGTCTTGTAGTTCGTGTTCGAGAAACTGAGCACGACCATCGCGGGATTCGCGTGTGTTTCATCGATGACATCAGAGATGATGGCGCGTGTGAGGGTCGGATCAATCTTGGTCGTTGGGGCTGGATGAAGCATGCGATAAGGATAGCCGAGAATGCACCCAATTGTCAGCGAGCGAGCTCACCCATCTCCGTCCCCATCGCGGGCTTGGGAAGATCCCTCCCGGCGTCTCCCATCCTCAGGAAGTTCCAGAGCATGATCGAACCGGCGGGGGTCATGAACGACTCAGGATGAAACTGAACCCCCTCAAGCGGCGCCTTGGTTGGATCTGTCCAGACCCTCCTCAGTCCCATGACCACCTCGACCTGCTGTCCATCGATGTCGTCTGTGCACGATGCGGAGATTTCCCAGCCATCCTCACCCGGCTTCAGAGCGGGGATCGTCGAAGGTTCCACAATGAGTGAGTGGTAGCGAGCAACAGTCGTCGGCGCTGGGATCGAGTCATAGATCCCTCGTCCATCGTGGTTGATGGCTGAGGTCTTGCCGTGCATCAGGAGCTTGTGACGAGCGACGACCATGCCGTTGTTGTCCGCCATGCACTGGTGTCCCAGACAGACTCCCAGCACAGGGACGCGTCCACCAAAGTGCTTGATAATGTTTCCGGACACCCCCGCTTCTTTGGGAGTGCAGGGACCTGGGGAGATGATGACATGCGTCGGACCGGCTCCAGAGTTCAGAGCCTCGGCTTGCTCTGGAGTGATCTCATCATGGCGTTTGACCACAAGATCACGATCCGGCTCAAGCGTCCGATCGATCTCGCCCAATCGCTGGACGAGGTTCCATGTGAAAGAGTCGTAGTTGTCGATAAGCAAGATCACGCGAGAGTGTAGGTCGATCCGAGCGAATCAAGCAGCGTCCGACGCATCGTTGTGCATCCAGGTCGTTCCCGCGATGCCGTCCTGAGTCACAAGGAACAGGTCCTTGGTGATCGGATACGGCAGACGCGTGAAATCCTCGTTCACACGATCACACAAACGAGTCACAAACGCGTCCGGATCACAGCTCAGCGCGATGAACATATCACGAGCAGGGGTCGCGACATAGAAGTCCGCGCCCAGATGTCCCGCGAGTTTGCTGTGCAGATCACCCATCAACAAGCGTGCGGCGTCGTAGCCGTCTTGCTCAGCGACGATGACCGCTTTGCCTCCCTCGGCGCTCTCGATGACCTGCATCTCAAGCTCCGGAGCGTACAGATCCAGGTTCTCGCGAGCAAGATCATCCAGCTCCTCGATGGTGATCCCCCAACGCACGACCTGATCCATCGTGATGCTCACAGTCATGTGAGGCATATCGAGCACAAACACAATCACGGTGTCATTGACAAAAGGCACATGCGCCACAAGCGATTCGGTCAGATGCTCGAAGATCGAAGTCGGCTGGATGCGAGGCATGATCCGCGCTTTCGCTTGCTCAAGCGGGATGTCGTTGACCTCGACATGGTCCCCCATAAAGAGCTGATCAAGGAAATGCTCAACGATGTCGGTCCCACGATCAGGCTCGTGCGCCACCATGCGATAGAGATTCTCAAGATCCAGACGACGCCCGTTGACATGGAGCTCGTTGGGATTGACCCGATCGATATTGAACTCGGGCTGCATGCGTTTGATCAGCTTGACCACATGCTCGACAAACGCGTCGGGTTCCTTGGGCATTGCTCCCATGACGATCTCCTCCAGCCAGCTTGTGCGGATACGCCGCGTGCTGCTGGGAACTGTTTTCGACGACTTCTTGGGATACATGAACCCTGAGCGGGATCGAGTTAGGCTCTAGGACCTTGTTGAACCGTTTGAGCCGGATGATTCTGGATAGGAGGGGACGATAATCTAGGGGCGCTCTCAAATCCCGAACAAAGTTCTATCGAGCAGATCGATTCAGGGTTTGGCAAATGCTACACTGAGCGGATACAATCGAGGCCAAGATCGGGGACGAGATTCTCGGGCGTTTGGAGCGTCTGAGATAGGGACCCCATCAGTTTGAGCGGAGATACGCTGTGACCGAGACAGAAATTGAATCAAAGGTGATCGAAATCGTGGCCGAGCAGATGGGTGCCGACAAGGACAAAATCACCCGCGAAACCAGCTTCATGGAAGATCTGAACGCAGATAGTCTGGACACTGTCGAACTCGTCATGGAGTTCGAAGATGAGTTCGAGACTTCCATTCCAGACGATCAGGCAGAAAAGATCCTGACCGTCGGCAATGCGATCGACTTCATCAAGCAGGCAAACGGCGCCGAATAATCGACGCACTGTGAAGAAATCATCAAGCCCCCCGATTCATATCGGAGGGGCTTATGCATTGGTCATCTCGCGGATTGATCAACACAAACGCCATACGATGGATCAGTGAACCCTCATTCAGGATCAACAACGCTCATGAGTTCCAACAATCGTCATCGTGTCGTCATCACCGGGATGGGTGCTCTCACCAATGTGGGTCACAACGCCGCGGATACTTGGGACGCGATGAAGTCGGGACGATCGGGGATCAAAACGATCGACTCGCCGGAGTTCGACCAGTACAACGACTGGACAGTCACTATCGGCGGACAAGTCCGCGATTGGACTCCGGATACAATCATGGACAAGCGTGAAGCGAAGCGCGTCGATCGCGTTTCGCTGCTTGGACTCGCCGCCGCACAAGAAGCTGTGGATCACTCTGGGATGGATTTCACAACAGGCGATCCCGAACGACGCGGGATCGTTATGGGATCGGGAATTGGTGGGATCTACACCATCGAAACCAGTGTCCAGATACTGGAAAGCAAGGGCCCATCGCGGATCTCCCCATTCACAGTACCCAAGCTCATGGCCAACGCGGTGACCGGGAATATCTCGATCCGATTTAACCTGCAGGGATACGCATCCACCCACGCGACGGCGTGTGCCTCGTCAGGTCACGCGATCGCGGACGCGATGGAAGCGATTCGATCAGGGAAAGCGGATGTCATGATCGCCGGCGGCGCGGAAGCCGCGCTGACCCCGCTGTGCTTGGGCGCGTTCATGACCATGAAAGCACTCTCGACACGCAACGATGCTCCAGAGAAAGCATCGCGTCCGTTCGATATTGATCGAGACGGATTCATCCTGAGCGAGGGTGCCGCGGTGTATGTGCTCGAATCGCTTGAGCATGCACAAGCTCGCGGCGCAACGATCTACGCCGAGCTCTGCGGCGCTGCGAACTCCTGCGACGCGGGACACATCACGGCTCCGCATCCAGAAGGACGCGGCGCCACCAACGCGATGAAGTGGGCGCTCAAAGACGCGGGCATGGATCCGACCTCGATCAACTACATCAACGCCCACGGCACCTCCACACCGCTCGGAGACAAAGCCGAGATCATCGCCGTTAAGAACGTCTTCGCGAACCACGCGACCAGCGGCGGTCTCGTCATGAACTCCACCAAGTCCATGCACGGCCACTGCTTGGGAGCTTCCGGAGCGGTCGAACTCATCGCGTGCATCCACGCGGTCACAGACGGCATCGTCGCCCCAACGATCAATCTGGACAACATCGATCCGGAATGCTCAGGTGTGGATATCGTCGCGAATACCGCGCGTGAAATGAGCGTTAACTACGCGATGAACAACACCTTCGGATTCGGCGGACACAATGTCAGCTTGATCGTGGGACGCTTCGACGGATAATCTCCCCCCACTGCTCCAAGTTCGATATCAGACACCAGTTATTCTGACCTTGCGTACTGGCACATCGGTTGCGATTATTGCGATAGATCCTTGCTCAGAGCGCGTTTGCTCCAGCGAGGCGCAGTTCGTGCCGATGAGGAGCACATGTCGTCGAATCTCAAGTCAATCATGCGCATCGAAGTCCCACTCGTCGTCGTGCTCGGCGAGCGCAACCTCGATATACACTCTGTGCGTCAGTGGGTCCCAGGGTCGATCATCGAGCTCCCAATCAATGCGGAGGAAGACCTCGAGGTTCGGATCAACAACCGACGCATCGCGTCTGGAGCTGCTGTGAAGATTGGTGAAAACTTTGGGATCCGCATGACCACCACACTCGGCGCGACGGAGCGGATTCAAGCAATGGGTCCGGAGGATTCGTCAAGCGCTGAGCCAGAGATGACCCCAGATGAGATCGCCGCAGCGATGCTCGCGGGGCAGATCTAATCGACTAACCGATTAACGCGAGATGTCACGCCCTTTGATACCGTCTCGAGTAGCCCAGAAATACGCCGGATATTGTCCCGCTCCGAATCCGTCTTGGTTGATCAAGCCGACTTCAAACCAGTCCATATCCATCTGGTAATCTTCCAAGAGTGATCCCGGCATGTTCCATACATCTGTCGGCGTGAACTCGCGTGCCGCACGCTCATTCTCGTCACTTGCGAGTTGACGGATATCAGAGATCTTTGTGGATACAACTGAGCCGTCTGCGGTGAGCACCGCAGGTTCAGCAGCGGGATTGTTCCATTGAGGGTGTTGCCTTTCAATACCGAGCTCAATGACCGGAGCAGTTGGGTCAAACGGATTGGGCTGAGAAGCGTTTCGCTCATTCTTGGTCCAGTCAAAGCGTTCCCAGATAATGACCTTGTTCGAAGGGAATGTTGTGTCCGAGACCTTGTTCCGCTTTGCGAGCGATGCAGGACCGCTATTCCGAACACAGTCGGGTCGGATGTCATTCTCGTAGCGTTTGGGATTGAACCACACTGTTGGAGAGAGCACATACGAGCAATCCCAAATCGAGTTATTGATGGATCTGTTTTGATTCTCAATGAAGTTATCTCTGAATCGATTGATCATTACGACATCGCTTGGAGCGAACTGAATCTCAGATGTGTAGTCCCCTTCATTGAGCCAACCACCCACGAGTGAATACCAGTGGAAAGCATACATCTCGGAGTACCACTGTCCTGGTCCTACGAACTCGTATCGTCCCGCGAGACCTGGCTTGCGAGCGACCGCCCAGCCTTGGGAACCAACGCCACCTCCTGAGGTTTTCGTGGTATTGAATGGATTAATGAAGCTGTCGTTGAAATCGCCGGCGTAGAGGAACTGGACCTGACCATGGGATCGGAGATTTGCTTTGCTTTTGACTGTTTGAGCCGTCTGCCTTGCCTTACCGAGCGCTGGGATCAGAATCCCGAGTAGCAACGCAATAATTGCGATGACGACGAGCAGTTCAATGAGTGTGAAGCCGAGCTTTGAGCGTTCTGTGAACTTCATCCAGTCCTCCATGTGTAGTTCCTTTGAGCATAACACAAACAGCCCCTAAAAACAGGGAAAAACGCTCTTCGGCACCGATTGGAGGCCGATGGGGGTTAAAACCCTCAGGTGATCGGACATTCTGGTAATCTCTGAGCAAAATGATCGGTGTTTGCTGAAGATCGAGCCGATGAATGCGCTAGATTTCAGTTGTTTCATTCCTTGTCAGGACCCACACCATGCCTCGTGATATCCCAGTCGGAAACGGCTCACTCCTGTTCACCTTTGATGACTTCTACCGCATCCGCGATATCTACTCGCCGCGTGTGGGTCGCTACAACCACACTGACGGGCATGTGCAGCGTTTCGGGGTTTGGGCCGACGGCAAGCTCTCCTGGATCGAGGAAGACTCGTGGGAGCGTGAACTCCGCTACAAACCTGATTCGATGACTACTGAGGTCCATCTGACCAATCACGAACTCGGACTCGAACTGACTTGCAATGACCTTGTAGACTACCACAAACCGGTCTACTTCCGAAAGATCAATGTCCGCGACCTCCGCGGCGCGACACGCGATGTGCGGATCTTCATGCACTTCGACCTCTCGATCAACGGCTCCCCTGTGGGTGACACCGCGAACTACGATCCCAATACCAATGCGGTCATCATGTACAAGGATGACTCGTATTTCCTGATCAACGCGAGTAGTGATCCAACCAAATGTGGTATCGAGCATTGGGCGATCGGTGCTAAGCGTGTAGGAGGTGCCGAGGGAACTTGGCGCGATGCAGAAGACGGGCAACTCGGACGCAACGCGATCTCGCAAGGTTCCGTCGACGCAACCGTCGGCGTGCATGTCCAGGTCCCTGAGTTCGGAGAAGCAGACGCAACCCTCTGGGTCGTCTGCGCCGATACCTATGAGCAAGCGAAGCACCACAACCAACGCGTCTGGGAGATCGGTTCTGATCGCTTGATCACACGCACCGAAGCGTTCTGGAAGCTCTGGTCACGCAAGGAGCCTTTGGATGTTTCAGTCTTACCTGAACCTATCCGTGATTTGTATTTCCGTTCGCAGCTCATCTTGCGCACACAGATCGACAACGGCGGCGCGATCATCGCCGCCAATGACAGCGATATCACACACTTCGCGGGTGACCATTACTCGTACTGCTGGATGCGTGACGGCGCTCTGGTCGCTCACTCACTGATCCTCGCCGGACAGAGTGAACTGAGCCGAAACTTCTTCCGTTACGCTGCGGATTGCATCGGGGACAAGCCGTATTTCTTGCATAAGTACACTCCGGAAGGCGATCTCGCAAGCTCCTGGCATCCCTGGATGATCGACGGCAAACCTGTTCTCCCGATCCAGCAAGACGAGACCGCACTGACACTCTGGGCACTGCGCCAGCACTTCAATGAGTTCCGCGATGTCGAGTTCATCAAGCCGTTGTATGTGAATCTGGTGCTCAAGCCCGCGAAATGGATGCTCGAGCATCGCGATCACAATGGACTCCCACTCCCTTCGTGGGATCTCTGGGAAGAGCGACGCGGGATCCATACCTTCACAGTCGCCGCGACCATCGGGGCGCTCAACGCGGCGTCCGAGTTCGCGAGCGAGTTTGGCGAAATGGACCTCTCCGCAGCATTCCGCGAAGGCGCCGAGCGGATGAAAGGTGCACTCCGCAGACACTTCTGGCATGATGAACGCGGACACTTCGCACGAATGGCTGTACCCCTCGAAGATGGGAGCTATCGCCTCGACATGACACGAGACAGCGCGAACTTCGCATTGTTCGCGTTCGATGCGTTCAGTTCAGATGATCCACTCATCCGATCCGAGATGGACACGATGCGCGATCGGCTCTGGGTCAAAACCGATGTCGGCGGATGTGCTCGATACGAACGCGACTATTACCACCAGATCGAGACTGAAAACACCGACGAAGTTCCAGGAAACCCTTGGGTCATCTGCACGCTCTGGCAGGCGCAGTACCAGATCGAGAAAGCGGAGAGTATCGACGAGCTCAAGCCCGCGATGCGATTGCTGGAGTGGACCCACCGCCGAACACGACCATCTGGAGTGCTCGCAGAGCAGTTCGATCCGTACTCTGGGGATCCGATCTCTGTATCGCCGCTGACCTGGTCGCACGCAACCTTTGTGAGCACATGCGTGATGTATGTCAAGAAACTGGAATGGCTCAGAGCGAACAAGAATGCATCGGTGGATTCTGCGATTTAACCGAGACATTCTTCGCAGCCATTCATACCCTTGCCGATGGACTCGGCATTGATCCAATCCACACTCAACGACCGCTTTGGTCTTGATGACCTGCGCCCACTCCAGGCGCAGATCATTGATCAGGTCATGGCAGGGAATGATGCGCTCGTTGTTATGCCTACAGGATCTGGAAAGTCGCTGTGCTTCCAGCTCCCTGCACTCGCGATGCATGAAGAATGTGGAGGCGAGGGGATCGGACTCATCTTTTCGCCGCTGATCGCGCTGATGGAAGACCAGGTCCACGCACTCAAGCAGCGAGGGATCAACGCGGAGTACGTCAACTCCACAGTCCCCAAGAACGAACGCCGAAAGCGATACAAAAAACTCGCTGACGGCGAGTACGAGCTGTTCTACGCGACTCCGGAACGGATGACCAAGGACGACTTCCGCGAAGCGCTCGACCAATGTCCCGGCGGGGTCAACCTCCTCGCAATCGACGAGTGCCACTGCGTCACCAAGTGGGGACACGACCTGCGTCCCGCGTATCAGCGGATCGGTGAGTTCCGCAAGGAGCTCGGGAATCCCGTCACCATCGCGCTGACCGCGACAGCGACCAAAGCGGTGCGCCAGGATGTGCGTGTTGTGGTGGGAACGAGCGAGGACGAGATGCCGTTGTTCGCGGCTCCTGTGGATCGACCGAACCTCAAACTCTCGTGCGTCGAGGTCTGGGACGATGACGACAAGATCGAGAAGCTCCGCGACACGCTCAAGGATGTCCGAGGGACTTCGATCGTCTACTTCACGCTCATCAAGGACCTCGATCGGATGGCGCCGCTGATCAAGCGTGCGATGGATCGTCCCGTCGAGATCTACCACGGGCGTCTCCCTCCGAGCGAGCGACGCCGCGTGTACAAGCAGTTCATCAACGCGACTCCGGATGAGAACCTGCTGCTGTGCGCGACCAACGCGTTCGGGATGGGGGTGGACAAGTCCGACCTGCGAGCCGTGATCCATGCGCAGCTTCCTGGATCGGTCGAGGCGTACCACCAGGAAGTCGGACGCGCCGGACGCGACGGGCTGGATTCGATCTGCAAGATCCTGTACGCCCAGTCCGACCTGACCATCCAGCAGGAGTTCATCCGCTGGCAGAACCCCACCCCCGACCTGATCATGCAGACCATGAGCGCGATCGAGGCGCGATTCGCGCACGACGATTTCGACAGCGACGACCTCCGCATCCACGTGATCGGCAAGGGACACGCCCATGGCTTGGGAGGCGGGATCATGGACTACGTCCTCATCCGACTCGCCGAGCTTGGAGCGATCGAGCTGACCAATATCCAAGGCGAAGAACGGGACCGAGGCCGCTACCGCTATATCCGTACCATCGACGACGACGAGATCGACGCGGATGGGATCGAGGAGAAGCTCAAACGCGATCTCATGCGCCTCCTCGATGTCGTCAAACTCACCAAAGCACCCCATATCCCCACGTACGTGAGCGAGTATTTCGATCTGAGCACGCTCTGAAACAACAGAAGTTCAGTCCCAGCACCAACCCAGAACACACGGCGATCAGTGAATGCCACAGACCACAGCGACACATGATGTTCAATCGCCACGGATCTCGATCATCACGGTCTGTAAGAACGATCGCGACGCGCTGATCGACACCATCGAGTCTGTCCGCGCCCAGCGGTACTCGCGTATCGAGTACATCATCACCGACGGCGCTTCAACCGATGGCACGCAAGACATCATCAAGCAGAACCAAGACGTCGTCAGCACCTTCATCTCCGAAGCAGACTCCGGCATCTTCGAAGCGATGAACAAGGGAGCCAAACTCGCTACCGGAGACTTCCTCCTGTTCCTCAATGCCGGGGACACATTGATTCGTCCAGAGACCATCGACGCGCTGGTCGACGCGGTCCAGCGATCTCAAGGCGCCGACATCTACCACGGCGACATCCTGCTCTTTGATCCAGCGACCGGAAAGAGCATCTACCACAGCGCCAAGAAAGCGAGCAGGGTCTCGCTGTATCGCGGCGCGATGAGTCATCAAGCGATGCTGATCAGCAGGTCCACATTCGAGCGTGTTGGGCCGTATGAACAGTCGTTTTTGATCGGAGGGGATTACGAATGGTCCCTCCGAGCGCTCCACAAACTTGGGGTGCTTTTCTGCGCTGTCCCGATCTGTGTTTCAGTCTTCAAACTCGGCGGCCTCTCCACCAAATCGCAGCACCAGCAGACGATGCACGACGAGTTCAACCTCTGCCGAGATCGGTACTACTCAAGGATCGACAAGCTCAAAATCCGCACAATTGTCCGTTTCCACAAGATCTTTGGGATCTAGCTCAGTGTCCAACATCGCCTCGACTGAGCGGAGACTACCATTGAGCGACACCAACAGAAGGAACCTGAAATGAGCGAACCAATCACCGACATCATCATCGAAGACATCACCACCGGCGACGGTATGGAGTGCCCACAAGGCGCGACGGTTGAGGTCCACTACAAAGGCACGCTCATGGACGGCACCGTCTTCGACTCCTCATACGATCGCGGGCAGTCCATCAACTTCCCGCTCAACAACCTCATCCAAGGATGGCAAGAAGGCATCCCCGGCATGAAAGTCGGCGGCAAGCGCAAGCTCACCATCCCCTACGCGAAGGCCTACGGCGAGTGGGGTTCACCACCAGCGATCCCAGCACGCGCCGACCTGATCTTCGAGATCGAACTCCTCGGACTCAGCTAACCCACCCCAATAATTTACCCAAGCGATGCCGATCCCCACTGTCTCGATCGTTGTGCCTTCGTATAACCAGGCGCGATACCTCGACGAGGCGCTGGCATCGTTGTGCGCTCAACGCGACCAGATCCACGAGCTCATCGTCATGGACGGCGGCTCCGACGACGGATCCAAAGACATCATCGAGCGCTACGCGCCGCACCTGACCCACTGGCAATCCGAGAAGGACGACGGCCAATCCGACGCGATCATCAACGGATTCAAACGCGCCACCGGAGACATCCTCGCGTGGGTCAACTCCGACGATGCGCTCTTTCCCAACGCGGTCAAAGAGATGCGCGACTGGTTCTCGTGCTGCACAAACACCGGACTCTTTGAAGGCAACACGATCGTCGTCAACGAGCGATCCGAAGTCATCCGCTGTGATCGCAGAGCCGGCCCCTCTCACCGCTGGGCGAGGTTCGGATACATGCGCACCCACCAACCCAGCACCTTCTTCCGTAGATCGCTCTACGAAAGCGTCGGCGGGCTCGACCGATCCATGCACTGCACGATGGACACCGATCTCTGGTACCGGATGCTCCCGACCGCAAACGCGCGTCGGATCAACAAGTACATCGGGATCCACCGGATTCACACCGATGCCAAAGGCGAGAACGAACGATGGAGAGCACAGTACGACAAGGAACGCGCCATCCTCGACGAGCGATACCCCCACTACCGCAACAACCCCATCCGTTACCAGCTGGGCCGAATCGCGTACTACGCGGATCGAGCACTCAACGCACGCGGACTCCAAGAACGCATAGACATCGCTCGATTCAGAGGTCAAACTCTTTCAGAACTCATTGCAGAGCACGCTACGGAAGCTTGATCGCAAAGAGCATGTGATCCTTCGCGGGGAGCCACCCCGGAGGGGACGCGTGCTTGTGTATCCCCAGTCGCATCATGAGCCCCCAGATCGCGCCCCTGATATTGTCGCGCACTCTGCGTGATGACTTGAATCGCGCATGGCTTGTCCGCTCGTAGTGCACAACCTCGAAGCCGTGCCTTTGTGCGAGCCGATCGATCGTTGTTCTGTTGTAAAACACCTGATGCTCCGGGAGCGACGCGTACCAGTACCGCGATCCGTGCCACTTCCATGAGCGAGCGTCCGTGTCTCCGGTAAACCCAACGAAGATCCCGCCCTCTGTCAGCAACCCTCGGACGCGCTCGATGAAATCGCTCGGATCGAGCAGATGCTCAAGCACATCAATCGCGAGGATTACATCGAATCGTTCGTCTGTTTCGCACTGCTCGAGCATCGGCGCGATGATCCGCACGCCGCGCTGCTCCGCGTGCTCCGCTGCTTGCTGACCCGGCTCGATCCCGGAGCGTTCCCACGACTGTCCCATGTATCCGAGCAGCGCCCCGTTGGAGCACCCGATATCCAGCACCTTGGGACCGCTCGCATGCGCGTTGATGACGCGCTCGATGTCGTCAAACCTTCGCTTATAGGGGTCGGGCGCGTCTTCCCAGTGATCTCCCGACGCTTGCTCGTAGCACGCGATGAGCTGGTCTTCAGGGATGAATGGGTGCTTGAACTGCAATCCACAGCTCGGACAGCTGTGCATCTCAAACCGAGCATCACCCAGATCGATCTCGACCCCCGCGACCATCGCGGGACTGTTGTGCACAATGCGTCCGCACTTTGCGGACGAGGTTTGACAGATTGGACACGGCACGCCGCTCACTCGGCTGTGGTCTCGTTGATCATTTTATCAAAGAGCACTTTGCTCTGATTGACCGTATCTTCGGGACCCCACATCTTGATGAGCACTCGCGCATCACCCAGATCGAAGATCGCGGCGTGGATCGCGTAGAAAATCTGTTCGTTCGTTCCACCCTTCGCTCCGGGATCGAGGTAGGTCCCAGCCAGATCAACCATTCTGACGCTTTTGCCTTGGACCGTTTTCTCAGAAGTCCTTGCTCTGCTGCGTCCACCCATCGGATCAATGATCTGCTCTTGCATGCTGCGAACCAGTGCATTCACACTCGCGTCTTCATCAGTAAATGAAACAGAAGCGTTCCCGAGTGGATTCGTGATGTACATCTGCGCGAACTGATCACGCGACGGCATCGCCATGCGCCAACTCTCAGGCATCTCCCAGCGGTATCCCGAACTCGACGCGTACTCCTCTTCAAGCAGCGTGTTTGCGAGGCCGTCTTCAGCTGTAGTCCCGCCTCGGATTTGATTCTGGAGGTCTTTCGCTTTATCGCGTGATCGTCCAAAGAGTGACTTTGACCCTTCGTCCTTCACCCACTCGCGTTCCTCTTCGCCATCGCCCTCGTCATCAGACTCCGGCTCATCCTCGCTGCTCGCTGGTTGCGAGGTCACCTGAGGTTTATCCTCCTCAAGATCGATCCCCTGCTCCGCGGCGAGCTGATCAAGATAGCTCGTATCCGCCTTGGGTTCACTCGCTGCCGTGTTCTCAGCAGCAGGCTCCTCGGACTTGGAACAGCCCGCGATGAACACCACGAGCAGGGACACCGATGCGATGAATGCGACGAACGTTGGGTTGGAGGTCTTCATGCCAGAGTGTAGGGACTCAGCCCGCTCCGGTTTCAGAGTCAGGATTTCTGCCGTCCACGCCAGATATCAGCGGTGATCAGCTCCACCGAGTTCCCGTACGGGTCCCGGCAATAGATCGAACGCCCGTGATCGAACCCGTCGTCCTCGCCCCACGTGATCTCCTGCTCGACTCCGATCCCGAAGGAGCTGAGCTGATCCTTCCACGCGTCGTAATCGCTGTCTTCGATCCGCAGCGCGATATGTCCCGCACCACGCGGGCCGTGACTCGGCACATCGCGTCCCGGACGATCCGACATCTGCGGATTAAACACCAGCAGCACGTGATGCTCGTCAATCCGGAAGTGCGTCATCAGCTCCGACTCCCCGCCGGGCTGGTCGAATCCGAGCACGTCTCTATAGAACCACGCGGCTCGTTCAATGTCGTCCGCATAGAGCACCGTTTCGAGAATGGAATGAGGTTTCATGTCCAGAGTATACGGCGCGGTCTACCATCAGTTGTCGTGGATACCGAGGGGGTCGAAAGGACACCATGCAAGTCGCTGATAAATCCAAATGGTCACCCAAATCGTTCCACTCCATCGAAGAACTCCGTGCTGATCTGGACAAGATCGAAGCCGCCCACAACGACGGCACGCTCGACACCAATGGCGGATGGAGCGTCGGACAGAACCTCGCGCACTGCGCCACGTTCATCAAAAGCTCGTTCGACGGCTTCGAAATGAGCGCCCCCTGGTTCGTCCGCATCCCAATCTCGCTGATCCTCAAACCCATTGCGACCAAACCAACTTCGCAGATGAAGCCGGGATTCAAGCTCCCTGAGAAAGCGAAGGAACTCCGACCCGCTGACGAGGTCAGCGTGGAGGAAGGACTCGCGATGATGCGCACCCAAATCGATCGCATCATCAACGGCGAAAAGATGGAAATCCCAAGCCCACTCTTCGGAAAGCTCACGCACGAGCAGTGGACCAACCTGCATCTCAACCACTGCCGGATGCACTTTGGGTATCTGGTGTACGGCTAAATCTGACCGCTCAGCACATCGTCATGCCACCATCGACCGCGATGGTCTGACCTGTCAGGTATCCCGCGTCATCGCTGGTCACGTACGCAACCGCGGCCGCGATATCGTCTGGTTTCCCAAGATCGCGCGTTGAGATAACCCCCTTGATGTGATCGGTCACCGCCGCGGGGAGGTCCTTGGTCATGTCGGTCTCGATGAATCCCGGCGCGATGCAGTTGGCGGTGATGTTCTTCTTCCCAAGCTCACGCGCGACGGTCTTGGTGAATCCCGTCAGTCCTGATTTGGCAGCCGCGTAGTTCGCTTGTCCGGAGTTACCAACGAGTCCCGAGGTTGAAGCGATGTTACAGATGCGTCCGAACTTCCCGCGCATCATCGGACGAGCCGCGGCTCGGCACGCGACGAACACGCTCTTGAGATTCGTCCCGATCACATCGTCCCATTCCTCGTCGCTCATCCGCAGGATCAGGTTGTCCTTGGTGATCCCCGCGTTGTTGACGAGGATGTCCAGCCGTCCCTGCTCGTCGGCGACCTCTTCGATCATCTTCGCGACCGCATCAAAGTCCGACATGTCGCAGGTCTTGACGCTCGCGCTGCCCCCGGCAGCTTGGATCTCTTGAGCGAGCTCATCGAGCGGTCCCTGCGAGCGCGACACGCACACCACATGGCGGCCGTCGGCGGCAAGACGCGTCGCGATCGCGCGTCCGATCCCTCTTGATGCTCCGGTGACAATAGCGACTCGTTGATCGGTCATGATTGATTCTCGTTTCGTATGCAAACGCCGACTCAGGAGACGGCTTCGGGTTCGTTGTGTGCTTGGACCTTGGTCCCTTTGCTGATCCGGCGCATCATGCCGCCGAGTGTCTTCCCTGGCGCCAGCTCGTGGAACGACGCCTCGCTGTGATGCTCGACGAGGTACTCACAGCACGCCGCCCAACGCACAGGGGAGGTCAACTGATCGACCAGACGCTGACGGATCGAGTCCGCATCGCTGTCGTGCGGCTGGAAAGTGACATTGGACATCACCGTGCTACTTGGGGCATTGATCGTGGTCGCCGCGAGCGCTTCAGCAAGCTGATCCGCGGCGGGTTTCATGAACGGCGAGTGGAACGCGCCAGCAACGCTCAGTCGCGTCGCGCGGAGTTTCATCTCGCTTGCAACAGTCTCCGCACGATCACACGCCGCGGATGATCCGGAGATGACGACCTGTCCCGGCGCGTTGAAGTTCGCCGCGACGAGGATGTCGCCCTCGCGTGCTTTGTCACAGACCTCGTTCGCTTGCGCTTCGTCCGCCCCGATCAGCGCGACCATCGATGAATCCGCCGCTTCCGCGGCTTCCTGCATCGCCTTCCCACGCAGCGCGACGAGCTTCAGTCCGTCCTCGAAGCTGAACGCCTCAGCAATATGCAGCGCTGTGTATTCTCCGAGCGAGAGTCCAGCGGTCGCGGCGATGTTGAGCTCGTTCTTGGTCAGGTTTTCGCCGTCGAGCCAACCCATGAGACACGCGATCGACGCGGTGTAGATCGCCGGCTGCGAAACATCGGTGCGATTCAGTGAATCCACGGGCCCCTCGAAGCACAGCGTCGAGAGCGGAGCGCCCAGCGAATCACCGAGCACGGCATCCGCTTGCTGGAAGATCGCGCGAGCCGCTTCGGAGGTCTCGCTCCAGAGCTTGCCCATCCCAACAACCTGAGCACCCTGACCTGGACAAAGAATGATGTTGTTCATTGCTATTACCCCTATAGAAAGTTGAGATCGCCGCTCAGAGCTGCCAGAGCGAGGAGCCCCAGGTCAATCCCGCGCCGAACGCAAGGAACATGACCTTCTGACCCGGCTTGATTTTACCCGCCTGCACAAGCTCATCAAACACCAGTGGCACCGACGCCCCCACCGTGTTTCCGAGCCGATCGATGTTCACCAGCAGCTTCTCCGCAGGGATCCCGAACCGCTCGCGAGCAGAATCCAGAATCCGCGAGTTCGCTTGGTGACAGATGTAATGATCCACATCGTCTGCATCGATCCCGGCGTCTTCAAGAGTGTCCGCGATGACCTCCTGGAACTTGCTGACCGCGAACTTGAAGACCGCTTGCCCGTTCATCTGGACCTTGTCGAGCTTGCGCTCGTCGAACAGCTCCTGCTCCACAAAGTCGTGCTTGCACGACGGGATGAACAGCTGCTTCGCCCCCTCGCCATCGGCGTGCATGCGATGCGCGATCATGCCCTTATTCGCATCCTCGCTCGCGCGGAGCACCATCGCCGCGGCGCCATCACCAAACAGGATCGCGGCCCCGCGCCCGTAATCCGAATAATCCAGGTGACGCGTCACCGTGTCCGCACCGATCACCCCGATGGTTTTGTACATCCCCGAGCGGATGAGCGCATCAGCGATCGACATGGTGTAGACATATCCTGAACACGCCGCGTTGATGTCCATCGCGCCGATCTGGTTGCATCCCAAATCACGAGCGACCACACACCCTACTGAAGGTGTCGGAGAATCGGGAGTCATGGTCGCGACAAGCAGCAGATCCAACTCTTTCGGTTCCACACCAGCGTTTTTGAGTGCTTTCCCCATCGCGCCAGTCGCGAGATCGGTAGTCTTCTCGCCGTTGGCCATATCCGCACGACGACGTGTATGAATCCCAGTCCGCTTGGTGATCCACTCATCGGAAGTGGTCATGAGCTTCTCGAGGTCTTGGTTGGTGAGTTTCCCTTCTGGGAGATGGGTCGCGGATCCAATGATCTCAACGCCGACCCGATTGGGCCCGCCTGCTTGTGTGTCCATGCGGGGTTCCCTTACTCAAAAACCGCTTTAGGCAGGCTCGCCTTGAAGCGCTCGTTCTGCTTGCGCCAGACGCTCAACGATCGCGTCATTGATGTGACCATTGACATACTCAACAGTCTTGAGAATCGCGTTCTTGATTGTACGAGGCTCAGACGAGCCGTGCGCGATCATCATCACGCCATTGACTCCAAGAAGCGGCGCCCCGCCGTGCTCGTGGTAATCGTTCTTCGCATAGATGGTCTTGACGACCGGCTCAAACTTGAGCGCCAGCTGAGGGTCCTGCTCGTAGATCTCCGTCGCGATCGCTTGGAACAAGCTCTTCGCCATACCTTCAGCCATCTTGAGCAGCGTGTTTCCGAGGAAGCCGTCCGTCACGATGACATCCGCTTTGCCCGCGAAAAAGTCTCGACCCTCCACAAATCCCACGAAATTGATGCCCGGAGAGTTCCGCAACAGTTCCGCGGCTCCCTTTGCGAGTCCCGACCCCTTGGATTCTTCCGATCCGATGTTCATCACGCCGACACGAGGAGACTCGACACCATGGATCTTGTTCGCGTAAACCTCAGCCATCAAGCCGTACTGCCAGAGGTGGGTCGCGCGTGGTTCAGGATTCGCTCCCGCGTCACACAGTGTGACCGGTCCATGGAACGACGGGATCGTCACCGCGATCCCTGGACGATGCACGCCAGGAAGACGACGCATGTTCATCTGCCCCGCTGCGACGCACGCGCCGGTGTTGCCCGCAGAGATCACGGCATCACAACGAACATCCGCCTTCTTCGATCCGAGCATCGACATGCGGACAATCGACGAGTCCTTCTGGTTGCGCACCGCTTCCATCGGAGACGCATCCATCGCGATCGCGTCCGTCGTGTGCTCGATCACAAGACGATCGTCATCAATGTTGTTTTCTTTGAGATACTGCTCGATGCGATCCTGTGGTCCGATCAGCACAAGCGTGACATCATCACCCATCACAGGGAGTGCTTCGATACAACCACGCAACACCGCATCCGGTGCATGGTCCCCACCCATGACATCGATCCCAACTCGAACCGCCACGGCTTACCTCGATGAATCTGGTTTACGCGTTGACGCCGATGCCGAGCTTGCGGACCTTGATGCGGAGACCTGGACGAACATACCCAGACTCAGTGCATGCACGGTGATGCAGCTTCGGCATACCAGACAATGGGCAAATGGTTGGCTTCACACCAGTGATCGCATCGTGCGAACGGCGACGCTTGCTTCGTCCTCGGCTCTGTCGTTGTGCTGGAAGCATGTCGCTCTCCTAAACCGGGTTCAGAACCCGTGATAGACCTTTTTAATGACCAACTCAGGAACCATCCCGAGAGGTCGCATTTGGACGGGAACAATAGCCCCCTCCCCCTCCAGCGTCAATCAATCCGCTCCCCCCATGCTGGACAAATCAGATGAAGGCGGTCTATCATCTGCTCGGTCAATAGACCAATGCCTCCCTAGCTCAATCGGTAGAGCAGCTGACTCTTAATCAGCGGGTTTCAGGTTCGAGTCCTGAGGGGGGTACTTCCCTTTTTAGCTGTATAACCGCCTTTTTGTTCAGAAAAGCGTTTTCACGCCCATACTCTTGTGAACTTCGAAAACTCCACTAGACACCCGTTCACAACCCGATCTTCCTGATCGTATTGATAAGGCGTGACCACCCTGGGCTGGTCCGGATTGGTACGCTTATTCAACAGATCTTCTTCGTTGGCATTTCATCGCACATCCACATGCCGTATCGGCTTCTTTTGATTTACATTTAGCTTGGCGGCCGGGAAATAACCAGCCAATCTAGGATCCACGGCTTGTCCCCCGAAAATTCGACTTTATTCAGCGATATGTTATCAACTACTTGAAAAGAAATAACATTGTTGTGTATTGGGTGAGCATAACCCTATAATCTACAAAATAAAGCTGATCGAAACCCCCAGTGAGTGGACTTAATCTCGCCATAGTCATCTAGAAGATACAAAATGACATTATCATCTTCGGAAATCACAAACCGGACGCTTGACACTGCCGTCGCCTCTATGTCGAGATGTCGAGTGCTTCTATTTGCAATCAACATACTGTGCGCAATGTGCTTTATCATAATTTACATTGAACGATACAGTATTGATGAGTGGATTGCGAAAAATCATTTGTCGTACATTGTCGTCGCACAAACGTTGACCAACGATTGCGGACTTGATGTGGAAATTGGCGATTATCTGGATAAGCCGGAGGAACTGGCTCAGATCTTTCTCGACCACGCAGTCCCCCTCTGTCCACACAAGAAAAAAACCACAGAGAAGCCAAGCAAAGATCTTACCGAAGCTCAAGAATCAATTTCTGACAAAAGCAGCATTGATCCAAAGATACTCCAACAAGATGTTGATGCAAACACAATTAATCAAGACCGGAACTATTCATGCAAACAATGCAGTGTGAACACAAGTATCCTCAGAACCGGAAGCCGTGTGCTTCGAACAGTTCATATGATTCAGAATGAAATGAACTCTATACGCCTACCGAGAGACCAAACTCTACCGTTTGGACTTGATATTCCACAAAATGAGTTTGCACCTGTGGCCTCTGTTTTAATCACAGTTATGTACTCATGGTTGTTTTTTTCATTCCGGCATCTTCGCAATGCGGTATCTTCGCTTCGGCATGCCGTACACGATAATACCGATTCTGCTAGCGAATCTGGAAAACTGTTAAGTAGCATGCTCGGCGTCTACTTCATGTTTTCTACAACTGGACGAGGCATAGTCTCATGGGCCGTATTCGGCCTGTACTACCTTGCCCCAATCACAGTCGCATTTGTGCTTCTGAATGAAATAGCATCCGTCAGGAGTCATGCTTCTAGTATGGTCAGCAGCTTGGCAGTCGCATCGATTCCACGCTTCATGGTACTAATCGCTACCCAAATCATTTTGCTGGTGATCGCATATCACATACACAAAGAAGATAGCAATATCAATTCCGAAGTACAACTACTGAATGAAAAATCCAATGGGTAGATTTTTCACAGCCTCATCAGCAGCATTGTTAAACTAGTACGATCGCTGATCAAATATTTACCCCGATCTACATATGACAACATACTGCTTTGAAATCAAATGACCTTGAGCTACCAATGCGATCTAAGGCGAGCTCTTGAAGACGAACTCAGAAAGCATTGTAATTACATACTGCACCATTATCATTTGCATGACATCATTCTCTATACATGCTGATTTACTACAGTTGCCATTCTCAAGCGCCTGACTCTAGTTCAACAGCTTTAGGTCCGAGTCCTGAATGGGCTCATTCCTCTACAAGATTGATTACTGCACATGCAATAACCTGTAGACGCATCATATGTTGCCCCACAAGCACCACCTACCCCCGCTAGTCACTAACATTTCTAGCAACATCGGGGTCGCGATTTCAAACCGATGATGTCTCTTTGCGTTCTAGATATCGTTTCGAGAAATCAATCTTGAGCTCGACCCACATCGGTAAGTGATCGGACATTTGGTGAGTGCGCCAATGGGTCTTGTAGTATGTGGTCTTCTGCTTTGCAGAGCGAGCCTTACCCTTAGAGGTCTTCTTGTAGCGTTCACCCATTTCGCTGATGTAGGTTTTTTCTTCATCGACCCGATACACATGCTCAAAGAAATCAAAGACTCCGCAGTTACCCGTCCAGTCGAGTCGGTCTTTCTGAATCTTAAATGCGATCTGATCGTAATGACGGTTGCGTCCAGCGTTCGTGGCAAAGGTCCGGAGCTCCTGAGGGATATCGAATCCCGCATCAAGGAGTTCATTGAACGCGGTGCCGTCTTCCTCTGTTGTAAAGATATTGAAATCCCCAAGCAAGATCAGATTGCGTGACCAAGCCGTCTTGTCTTTCGTCCGTTTTTTCAAAAACTGAGCAACCTTCCGGATCTCAGCCACACGATCTTCTGGTTCAGTCCCCCCATTCTTCTTTCCGGATCCCCAAAGGATGTGCACAGATGAGAGCATGAATCTTGACCATCCACATTTAAATCCACAGATAAACGGAGTGCGCCACACCTGCTCAGCAGGCACCTTTGTCCCGTCTTCCGCCTTGACCGGTGGCAGCACCATCTCACCTGCCAATCCACCAAACTTCACCTTTCGAGAGTCATACAAAAATGTCATCCGCTCGTTATTTCCACGAGTACCTCCTGTGACATCAGTTGTGATGTACTTCCAATACCCTCCCATAACTTTGCAAAGTCTTTTGAGCCCACGAAGATCTTTGTACACCTCTTGGATCGCGATAATATCAAAGCGGGAAGCAATCTCAGCGAGATAGAAGATCGCCTCGTCTGATCGTTCGCCATAAGCAGGCTTGTCAAAGTCACGGATGTTCCATGTCGCAAGCAGGAGCGTCTCGTCGAGCGTCTTTTTGGGGATCTCGTTGAGCGCTTCTTTGAGAAGGAGCAGTTTTTCGATCGTGCGCTTGCCGCTGGGAGTGTTTTCTTTGATGGATTGGTAAAAAGGCATGATTCATTACTCCCTTTATGCTGTTTGAACAACCACTGAGGAAAGGCCATAGCCGTTGGACTGAGTGGTCAATCAATTTCTTGACCGCATCAATATAAATCTTTCTATGCTGAAAATCATTCTTTACCGTATCACGCAATACTAATTTGTATAAACACAATGATCATGTTAACAACTTGTGAATATTTGTGGGTATAGCAAAAATCCACACAATGGGATCCATATCAGATTATTGTGCACTTTATCAATTGCCAAGATTGCTAAGGAGACACATTCGCTATGGTCAAACACTCCGGAATCACCGTCCTTCTGCTCATGCTTTCCGCAGTGCTCAGCGCTTGTAAATCTGTGCCAAACACCGGAGAGGTCTTCATCTCTCCAGTCTCCACAACTCGATGGGACCAATACCAAGATCAGTTCCAACCGACATACACACTCACCGAAGAGCAAGCACTCAAGCTGGCAGTGCCTACAACGATTCAGCTTGAGCAGTCGATTCTGGACTCAGTCGCTGCAGCCGCGAAGATCAAACTCATCGGAGGCGAGTTCCCAGAAGCTGACCAGATTTCCGATGTCACTCCCTCAGATACTTCAGATCCACAGCAACCCGCATCCACACCCAGCGCAAAGGAGGTGCTCGATACGGACAAACTCGATGTCGACCCACGTCTGCAGTACTTACTCGCAACAGCGCTGTGGCAAGAGATTCAGATTCTGAACCGTTATGTGAGCGACGCCGCGTTTAAGCACAAGATTCAGAGTCGAGAGTTTGTCCCCTATGTCGTCAGGATGCAGGTCTCGAATCTCCCGAGCAGCGTCAAATCGTCATATGTCGCGGATATCGATCTCAACTTCAGTAGCGATCAGGATGAACAACCAATCGTGGTCCCCCTCTTGATCAACGACCATATCGAGGCGGCCCTTGCTTCTCGACGAAATGAGGAAGTCCGCCGAGTCGCACTCTCACTCGCGGCGATGTTCAAAGGAATCGGCGCGGATCTGAGTCTTGAAACGCTCAACGCGGAACTCAATCGATCGCTTTCACGCGAGATGAACTCCTTGCTGACGGTAACGAACACAAGCCAATCTTCACTAAGAATCCGGCTTGGCCCACGCAGATATGCGGAAAACGATTACCGCGCCTCAAGCGAACCGCGCTTTGTCACCGTGTTGCTGCTGATCCCATCAACCGAGCTAACTGAAAAAGATCGAGCAGGTTTAAACTACGACCGGGGAATGGTTGCTGATCCCATCTCGGCAACTGCACAGTACACCTACAAGTTGCACGATCCGATTTCGGGCCTGAAAACTATTGACCCAAACGAAGCGAAGGCGCAGAAATTTGTTGTCGAGGGGAGACGCCCGCGATACCCGTGGTTGCGTGAGGTACAGACAGCTCTCGCATACGATGACGGCAACACCACAGTTGTCACCCTCAACGATGCGGTCAATATCATCCCAGACAATGTAGTCGCAACATGGTTCTTTAAAGATGGAACTTCAGAAACTGTGCATGCGATCTCGTCTGGAGAAACCAAATACAATGGAAACGACAAGCAACTGGTCTTCAAGTTCCCATCACTCAAACGGATGGGCATCACTCCACACAATACAGACAAGATCCCGGATCGATACCGGAGGTATCAGCTCTCAAGACTTGTTAGTGATGTCACAATCGAAAAAGATACTGGAAGATTCGAGGACATAATTGCAAGCCTTGAGAACGACAAGAGAACAGACAGCTTTCCAACGGATATAAACCAAAGGACAGCTCGCCACGCAACTCCGGAACGATCATTTATGGTCAAGTTACTCGATCGAAAGATCACAATTGTCGACTCCGATAGAGAAAACAACAAACAGACACAAAACGACAACAACAGATCTCAAAGATGTCAATGTCAGAAAGAACGCTGCAAAAAGAAAGCAATCAAATGCAAGAATAAATCTGAGGAAGACTCAGTCGAGAAGAATGTCTACCTCTTCTATCCATGGATATACAAATCGAAAGACGCCCCGACACTCAAGCCAGCAGCGAAGCTTGTGGTGAATCGCACCAAGGTAGTGCCAGACAAAGGCACCGATACCATCAAGGTGCACATCATTCTGCCAACAGATAAAGACAAGAACCCGATCAAAGGGTTCAAACTCATGGTCGAGGGTGCAGACGCAACAATACTTAGCGTTGTGCCCAAAGGTGGAGCAGCACCTCCTGCAAAGGGACCCCATACACACTTCGAACTGACGAACTCTTGCACAGTGGATCTCAAACTCACTGGTCTGGTCAAAGGGAGCAATGTCTCACTGAATATCATCCCTCCAAAGGGGCATGCTACAACGACGACTAAAAAACTCAGTGTTGCGGAGTAAGCTCAACAACTGCTCAAGACCGGTCCATCATTTGCCAATGCCAACGAGTTTCTCATCCTGAGGAGCCCGACCCCTCTTTCATCCTTCAAGGCACCGATCCCGTCAGGCACCCATTCTGTTTTGACCCTATCATCGGTTTCTGAGATACAGATCGGATCCAAGAAGCAAGTACCAGTAATTCCAAAGCGAGCATCATCATGGCCGGCGGTCGAGAATATTCCAGCTACCAACGCAAGGTCATCAATCGCTACTACGACAACCAGGACACCATCCTCGCGACCCGATTGGGGGAGATCGTGACGGACATCGCGCTCGCGCAGGACGATCAGAAAAAGCTCGATCGGCTCTGGAAACGAGCCGAGCAGGCGCTCTCCAAGACCAATCTCAAACCAGAATCCTGGAAAAATATTGTCCAGAACCGCGATCCCAAGCAGCTAGCGCAGCTTCTTGCCAAGCTCGCGTGATCCGCGTTTGCTCTGGTCGCGTGCAACTGGTACAGTCTTGTCGTTGAAGGTGCCGAGCGTGATGTATCAAGCTCGGTGAATAGGGAAGTGTGGTGAGACTCCACCGCGGACGCGCCGCCGTAACGGGCAACGATGACCGCTCCGCCGATCAGATCGGCAGCCACTGGTAACTGATTTACCGGGAAGGCACGAGCGACTCAGAGCCCCAAGCCGGAAGACCTGCCTCAACAGATGTGCCGGACCTCGCGATATGGGTCGGCGGATCGGTTGTGCGCTCTCCCTGCTCGCAGCTCCCGCCCCCACTCCACACTCGCAGCTCCGGATGTTGATCCCAGGGAGTGTCCTGCGCGAAACAGGGCAACACACAGGAGCCCACGCAGTTTTGGGCAGAGAGTTTACGAGTTCTATGAACATCATCACCACCGGAGCGCTTGCGCTCACCACAACCGCCACCAGCATGGCTGTTCACGCATCGCCGTTCGCGTCATCCGTCCTGTCCTACGACCAAGGCTCAAACGCCGTCGCAGGATTCACCACCGCATCGACGGCGCTGGGAAGCGCCGAGCGATTCACAGGTGAAGGCATCTTCCCGTCCGGCGTCACGCCATTCAATCCCGCGTTCGGGACCGACGAGATCGTGTCCGTCGGATCGGGTGGTCACCTCGCGCTGGGATTCGATACCGCGATCACCAACAGCGCCAGCCACGCTTTCGGTGTTGACCTGATCGTCTTCTCCAACGCCGGATTCGCCGACACCACGTGGACCGACGCCGATCCAAACAACGACGGCACGGGATTCACCGGCGCCAATCCATTCATCTTCGGCGCCGGAGGAGCCGCGACCATCCAAGTCTCCAGCGACGGCGTTAACTGGATCACCGCGACCACGATCACCCTCGACCTCTTCCCAACACTCGGATACGCGGACTACACCACACCATCCCCCGCCATTGCTGGATCGGTCGAGACCGACTTCACCCAAGCGCTCGACCCCACACTGACCGCCGCGGACTTTGCCAACATGACATTCGATCAAGTCCGCGACGCGTACAACGGCTCAGGTGGAGGCATCGGGATCGACATCGCCTCGACCGGACTCAGCTCCGCGAGCTTCGTCCGCTTCCTCAACGAATCCGGAAGCGCCTTCGAGATCGACGCCGTCGCTGTCGTCCCCGCTCCGGGAGCGATCGCGATGCTCTGTGTTTCTGGATTGGTCGCATCGCGCCGCCGCAGAAGCTAACGGACCACATTCCACCCCACTGGTGGAGAGAGACCCGTCTCGTTGTGGAAACACAGCGAGGCGGATTCAAATCATGAACAAAGCCGCTCCCATCCTGTGTGCCCTGCTGACCTGCACGATATCCAGTGCGCAGCCGATCGCGTTCCCCAAGGGACCCGTGCTGATCGAACAGCCGTGGTGGTCGCAGCTCGGAGGTTCGAGCACACACTCATCGATACCGTTCACGCAAGGCCAGCAGCTCGACACCCCAAGCTGGACGAGCATCGGTGACGATTCCATCGAGCTGAGCTTCGTCCCGCAAGCGGGAGTCGTCGCCGACGAAGTGCATGTATACGCGATCGGACTCGACCAGAGCTTCGCGCGCCACCTCGCCGCGTTTGATCAAGAATCAGGAGAACTCATCTGGTCCAGCGTAATCTCGTTCGCGATCCTCGATTCGTGGTCCTCGCCTTCGATCGATCCCAATAACCACAGCGTGATCGTCGCGTCGGGATTCACGATCGCCGCCTACGACCGAATCACTGGCGACGAACTCTGGTGCACGCCAACAAGCTTGCCCATCGTCAACGCGTCGCCTTGCGTGACCGATGATCTCGACGGAACCAACCGCGTCTTCATCACCGACTACACCTTCGCCGCGGGCGCGACCGGCTCGCTCATCTGCATCAACCTCGATCCTTCCTCGCCAACCAACCCCTACGAACCAGGCGAAGCCGTCTGGACCGCATCGCTCCCAGGGGACTGCTCAGGGAATACCCCGGCTTATCACGAAGGCGTCGTCTACGTCGCGACCGCCGACAACGGATCGGGAGGCGCTGGTCACGTCCTCGCATACGATGCAACGAGCACATCAACCCCTTCGCCAATTTGGGACACCCCCAACCCCGAACCACTCGGATTCTTCGGAGGCGTGACCTACCACAACGGCTTCATCTACGCATCGAGCTACAACTTCCAAGGCGGACAACGCAGCGCCAACACCATCAAACTCGACGCAACTACAGGCGCCCTCCAATGGTCCGTCCCCACCGTCCGCACCAACGCGACCCCGATCATTCTCAGCAACAACAGGATCATTGTCTCCGGCGGCGTGCCCACCTCGCCATCCACCATCTTCACAGGATCACTCCCATCGATCGAGCTCATCCAGGACCTTGGCAACTCAGCAAGCGTCCTCTGGGACACCTTCGAAGCAACCCACCAAGACCTCAACAAGTCCGGCTCATGGGACCAAGGCGAACCCTACCTCTCCATCGGAGGCTGGGGACACCACCCCATCGCGATGATCGCGAGCGGCAACACCAGACTCATCGCCGGGACCATGTCGCCACCCACCGCGTTTGATCCGTTCACGCACGCCGAGTCCCTGCACACGATCGACCTCTCGAAACACCCCAGCGATCCCGCGTTCATCATCTCCACACAAAGCTTCACCGGCACCTCCCCCGCGCTCTTCAACGGCCGCGTCTTCTCAACCTCAAGCGAAGGACTCAGCGCCCTCAATCTCATCAATAACACACCACCACAGCCGATCACACAACAGCTCCGCGCGATCATCGACGACCGCAAACCAGTCTCATCACTCAAACCAACCCCATGACCACCAATCGCGCCCATCATGGTTTCACGCTCATCGAGCTCCTGGTCGTCGTCGCGATCATCGCCCTGCTCATCGGGATCATGCTCCCGTCGCTCAGTGCCGCTCGAGGGAGCGCCCGCGCGATCAAGTGCGAGTCCAATCTACGTCAGCTGACTTTGGGATGGACGATGTACACCGACGAAAACCGAGGCAGCGCGATGCCTCACCTGCAAACCCAAACCCAAAACCATAACCAATCCGCAAGCCGCACCTACTGGTACGGCACCGAGCACGCCTCATCCCACACGCTCGACCACTCCACCGGCACACTCTCGCCATACCTCGCCGCGGCGCTCGGAGATCGCTCTGTGTTCGAATGCCCCAACCAACCCGAAGGCACATACAAACACCAAGGACAGTTCAACACCTTCACCTCAACCTACGGCTACAACGCGTACGGACTCGCACCAAACACCACCGGATACCACACACTCATCAACCAACGAACAGTGAAGATCCATCAGATCCAGCACCCAACCAAGCTCGTCGTCTTCGCCGATGCACTGATCTCTTTCTTTGGTGACCTCCCCTCCAGCAGCGCCCTGCTCGACCCCCCCAACCTGTACGCCGGGAACGGATTCTGGTACGAGAACTACTCCCCCACCACCGCGTTCAGACACGGCATCGACCGCTCGACCTCATTCGGACAAGCGATCAACGCACGCGTGGATGGTTCAGTCCAACGAAGCTCGCACGATCCAAGCAGCCGAAGTCTTCCAGAGCACGCGATCGGATCGATCAGCTCAGAGAACAACCCGCACTACATCGAGGCTCCAGAACGCTGGAAGTAACTCTTTCAGCACAGCATCAATAGTCCCGACCATGCACGCCGTCGGCGGTGTTGTGCAGCTTCGTGGATTCGCCGTTCATGGAGTTCTCCACACCTTCGCTCGCATCGCTCGGGAGCAGCGCATCCGCATGACCGTCCGCGAAGACCATCGGGGTCTTCGCATCAAGCAACCCATCAACACGCTCAGGGAGCTTCTTGCCGGTCAGGTACGACAGGTCGTCATCCCACAGCATCACTTTCCCCGAAGCAAACTTCACATCATGCGGCCGCGTCGATCGCAGCAACGACAGATCACCAGCATGTGACTCCCCATCCCAGTACTCTGGACGAGCGACGAACGAGTTGGAGTACGCGAGCGAGATCATCTCCCGCTCGTTGATCCCCTGCTGAAAGTCAAAGTCCTCGAGCTTCGGGAGATCCTGATCCTTGCGTGGCGAGATCCACGTCTCCCAGTAGGTTGGCCAATCATCAATCGGCGCGACCATCGCAGGCCACATCCAGCTGTGACTGAAGTAATCCGTCGTCGCGATGACCATCCCGCCGGGATACCACTCGATGATGACCTCATCGCCGCGAGGTTCGTATCCATCACCTAGATTCAAACTCGAAGGCACCTCCCCAGGATTCTGCTGAGGATACTTCCCCTTCTCATCCGCGAAGACCTGGAACTGCGTCCCGACAGATCGCACATTGCTCAGCGCCACCGTCTGCAGCGCCGATCCACGCGCCCCGGAAAGGGCTGGGAGCAGGATCCCGATCAGGATGCCAATGACCCCGATGACGACCAAGAGCTCGATGAGTGTAAATCCGCGTGATGGATTCGTGCGCGTGTCCATTTATCCGTCCTCCATCAATCGGTTCTTGATGACTTGGTACGCCGCGGGCTGCCAGAGCTTCGAGTCTTTGTTCCATGTGAGGATCAGCGCGAAGATCGATTCGTTCTTGTCACCCTTAGGTTGGACCGGGATCTTGATCTGCACCGCTGTTGGATCCTGCTTGGGTGGCGCATCGGGGAACAATGACGCGGGCTGCATCTCCATCACCTGCGTGCTCACCCCACCGCGCCCTCCCTCACCCGGCTCGACATCGACATCATCCGTCTCCGCCTCGCGGCGCATCTGCATCCGCCCGCCTTCAGGAACCACATACCGCTCGACCGTAATCCGCGAGAGGTCCACCTTCGCGTCCTTGAACACTTTGGTCAAATGCGTGAACATCGGATGATCGTCTTCGAGCTCGCCAGGGACCTTGCCACCCATCGCGATGATCGCGTCGATGAACGAATCGTGATCGCCGCTCAAGACAGGGATAAACGCGTTGAGCGTCGCGTCGCTCAGTCCATCAGAAAGCCCCTTCGGAGCGTTGATCTGCGCCAGTGCGGCTTGTGCTTGCTGCTGGATCGCTCGTTCGATCTCGCCTTTGACAGCATCGATCTGCTTGTCGCTGCTCGCTTTGGTGTAGTTCGCATCGATCTCGTTGCCCTCGTCATCGATCACCGCATCCACAATCCGAGGCCCGGTCGGCTCGGCTTTTTGCTTGCCGCTGCTCATGAACGACACCGCCGCCCATGACAATCCACCGATCGCAAAGAGCAGCGCGATAATCAGTTTCACATCCGCGCCCCCGCGTGCGTGCTTCGTCCAGTCCATCCTGTATCTCCTGCTTGAGTCCCGTGCATCAGCGGCATGCCGCCGTCTATGAGAGTACTGGATGCGCCCCGCCGCTCTACCCGTCACAATCTTGGGAACTATCCTTTCACATGAATACCCAGTCACCATCGACCAATCCGACCACTCCCACAATCGACACCATGCTCGCGCATCGATCGATCCGCAAGTACACCCCCGATCCGATCCCGCAGGAGCACATCAACGCCGCGATGATCGCCGGCCAAGCCGCCGCGACCTCCTCCGCCGTCCAGCCCTACTGCATCCTCCACATCACCGACAACGACAAACGACAACAGATCGCCGACCTCGCCGGACCGCAGCAAAAAGTCCGCGACTGCGGCTCCTTCTTCGTCATCTGCGCCGACCTCCGCAAACACATGCTCATCACACAGCGAGCAGGCAACGACTACAAGACTGGTCTCGAAGCCTTCCTCGTCGGCGCGGTCGACGCGTCGCTCTTCGCCCAAAACTTCACCCTCGCCCTCGAATCCCTCGGATACGGCACCTGCTACATCGGAGGCATCCGCAACGACCTCCCCAAACTCAACAACATCCTCAACCTCCCGCAAGGCGTCCTCCCCCTCTACGGCCTCTGCTCTGGAACTCCAGACGAATCCCCAAGCCATCGCCCACGTCTCGCGCCCCAAGCGATGCTCTTCGAGAACGAGTACCCAGACGACGAACAGAACCTCGCGCACATCGATCAGTACGACGAACTCTACAAGCAATACCTCACCGACCGCGGCGCCCCGCCCGCGACTTGGTCCGAGTCGATCGCAAAGAAATACAGCTACGCCGCACGCGAAGGACTCGCAGACTTCTACGAATCCAAAGGTGCGAAGCTCTGCTAACCACCCAAGCCGCCAATCTCCAGCCTGCTCATGAACTCACTCAGTCACAGATCTCTCGCGCACATCAAGGGATGATGTAGAGTCTCGTGCTGCTCTGCTCTGTGCCGTAGTCTTTCCATCGCTCGTACTCTTCTGCGAGCCGGAGCACAGCGGGGTCACCACCCATCTCACTCCCGTAGACCACAAAGTGGAAGTACGCCCGCTGCGGCGGATTCTCAGGCTTGTAAACCGTCACGAATGCCGAGAGCGCCCCCTGCTCGCCGCAGCGTGAATCACCACCCGCGTCGTGCCCCGCTTTCAACGCAAGCACCAAACGCTCGCTCAGCGGCAGCCCCTCGCTCTCCTCGAACGCCTTGAGCGCATCGACCACCACATCCTCGCTCGCGAGGATATTGCCCTGTACCGAGACACCATCCCCAGTCGCTGACCCCTTCCATCCCGAAGTCTCAGTCCCCGTATACGTCGCCGGCTCCTCGCCGTCTTTGAGCAGCACAACCGCGTACTGCTGGTTTTCCGGATCAAACTCAGGATCGCGCATCGCTTCCACAATCTCCGCAGCACTCGCGCCCTCGCTCAACAACGCAAGCCCACGCTCGCGTGCTTCGTTACTGCTCATCGCCTGCACCGCCACCGCCCCTACCCCAGGCTCCACCTTCGCGATCCCGAGCACATTAAACGTACACGATGCCCCCGCGATCCCGACCTCCCCAGTCTCACGATCAACCGCGATGATCGACCACGTCGCGTGAGCCGACCCAGCACACAGCATCCCACAAACAAGCCCAACCAACGCTCGACGAATCCCATTCATCCCGATCTCCCGCTCAATGTGACAGAGTTCATACGCATGTATGACAATTAGACACAGAGTATCAGATATTCACTGTGGATGCGAAACTTGAACTCTCAACATGACAGAGCCAGCGGTTTGCTATCGCACAACCCCGTCGCCCTGCAGCAAGTTGAAATCTAATCAGAAGCCGACGGATTAAGCAGCTCGAGGAACTCGGCTTTGCCCATCCCCCCCGCTTTCCATCGGAGTGCATTCCCATCCGCATCACTCACGATGATGACCGGCGGGCCGACGATGCCGTAGCGCTCCATGAGTGCCGCATTCTCAGGATCATCGACATCCAGCGCCACCGGGACGAACTGCTCATTGACCAACGCGGTCACCTCTTCATCCGCCCACACCTGCCGCTTCATGATGCGGCAAGGAGCACACCACACCCCAGTGAAATAGAGAATGATCGGCTTGTCCGTTTCGACCGCTCTCTGCTGAGCCAAAGTGAAGTTTCCAGCCCAAGCGACATCATTCGATGGGACATAAAAGCTGTACCACGCAAAGGCGAGCGAGAGAACGAGGAAAGACAGCCAGAAACCTCTCCATATATTGCGCTTCGTTTTGCCCACGGCCTTTGAGTCAGAGTCGTTGGTGGATGGTGATGTGGAAGGAGAGTCATTCATCGTGTAACCCCGTATCAGTTCAAATCTTCACTCCCGGATTCTAGGGTTCTGGATCGTGGAGGAATCGAAGACAACACCTCCACCCCACCCGTCTGCATCATATGTCATTCCCAGATGGCTTAATGGAGGACTGGTGAGTCTCTACAATGAACGAAACTAGCGTTTTGGCTGCATTAACAACTAAACGCGCGTGACGAGTTTCCAATCCAGCCACCTGATTTTTGCCATGCCCGGTTCCATATGAATTCCGCACTACGGACATTCCGTCAACTATCTGAGCAAAGTTCATTAGAATCGTCTTGATCGTATTTGAAGCCTTTGCCTTATCAGGTATTGATTCAGGTACTAAATCTAATTGCTTGAGCGCCAAACGCACTAATCGCGGGAGGTCGGTTTTTGAAGAGTACTCTACCCCGAACTTGTCTAACAAAGATTTACATACAGTTTCAACAAACTCTTTCGCTGTTCCAATTGCCAACTCTGGATCATCATTGATCGAAGATTCCATCCTTGTAATTTGCTTTGTAATGTAGTCGGGGTTTTCAACAGGAACGCACTCGACAACTTCATTCAATTCGATAGAGCCAACAAATTCACGGTGCTGAGCCGTGTATACATAACCTGTAGAAACTTTCTGAGATGGAGTTATTTCGTAATCAGATTTCGACAAATATCCGTTAAAAACAGCGACCAACTCCTGTGCTTCATCACCATCAGGCCGAACCAACGGGTGCAGCATGGTACACAAAAACTCAAGGAATCTTTCGTCATCACAACTTAGAAGATTAAACCTGCGATCACTGTAAACCCAGTCATCATCCCAATCGTATGGGTTATTCTCTCGGTGCTGCCAAATATCGCCTGCAGCATCCGAAAACCGATTATCAGTCGATGGCAACACTGATAGATCCCATATCCGCGACAAAAATTCTGCGTCACTAAGTCTGCCAAACCAATCTATTTGATTCATCCGCAAATGATCGAATATGTCTTGGCGTATATGTTTTTCGATTGGCATTCACTCCCCCGTATCCAGCACCGCCATGAACGCCTTCTGCGGGATGTTGACCGAGCCGATGGATTTCATCTTGCTCTTGCCCTTCTTCTGTGCTTCGAGGAGTTTGCGTTTACGCGAGACATCGCCGCCGTAGCATTTCGCCGTGACATCCTTGCGGAATCCCTTGATCGTCTCGCGTGCGATGATCTTCCCACCGATCGCGGCTTGCAACGGGATCTCGAACTGGTGACGATCGATCTGCTTCTTGAGCTTGCTCAGCAGTAGCTTTCCACGCGCCACGGCTCGATCCCTGTGACAGATCAATGACAACGCCTCGACCGGATCGCCGTTGATCAGGATGCTGACCTTGACGAGCTCGTTCTTGTCGTAGCGAGTGACCTCGTAGTCCATCGTCGCGTAGCCCTGACTGATCCCCTTGAGCTTGTCGTAGAAGTCGAAAATAATCTCCGCGAGCGGGATCTCGAACGTCAGCATGTCGCGTCCCTGACTCACGAACGTCTGGTTCTTGAAGATGCCGCGTCGATCCAGACACAGCTTCATCGTCTCTCCGATGTACCGCTCCGGAGTCATGATCTCAACCTTGCAGATCGGTTCAGAAAACTCAGTAATCAATCCCGCGTCGGGAAGATCCGCAGGGTTGTGGATCTCTTTCTCGAAGATCTCATTGCCCTTGCCGCGCATTTTGATCTTGTAGGATACCGTCGGCGCCGTCTGGACGACCTCGACCCCCGCTTCACGCTCAAGACGCTCCTGGATGATGTCCATGTGCAACAGACCAAGGAATCCACAGCGGAACCCGAATCCGAGTGCTTCTGAGTGGACCGCTTGGTAGGAAAACGACGAGTCATTGAGCGCGAGCTTCTCCATCCCCTCGCGGAGTTCCTCGAAGTCGTTGCCCTTCTTCTCTGTTGTCGATGGATAGAAGTCACAGAACACCATCTGCGCCGGAGGTTCATATCCCGCGAGCGGCTCGTCGGCGCGATCGTGGTCAATCGTGATCGTATCACCCACACGCACATCGCCGAGCGTCTTGATCGCCGCGACGAGATAGCACGTCTCTCCCGCACCGATCTCCTTGTACTTCTCCGGCTTCGGATTGTACTTCCCGAGCTCAGTAATCGTAAAGGTCCGCTCAAGACCCATCATCAGAATTTTGTCACCCACCCTGAGCTTCCCATCAAACACTCTGCAGTACACGATCACGCCGCGGTAGTCGTCGTAGACCGCATCAAAGATCAGCGCCCGCGTCTTCTCCGTTGTCGGAGGCGCGGGAGCCGGGAAACGATCGCAGATCGCATCAAGCAGAGCCGGGATCCCCTCGCCCGTCTTCGCGGAAACAGGGATGCAGTCCATCGCGTCGATCCCGAGCACCTGCTCGACCTCATCCGCGATCTCATCGGGACGCGCACCTGGGAGATCGATCTTGTTGAGGACAGGCACAATCTCCAGGTCTTGCTCAACCGCGAGGTATGTATTGACCACTGTCTGCGCTTCGACCCCTTGGGACGCATCGACGATCAGCAGTGCCCCCTCACACGCCTTGAGCGCGCGGGACACCTCGTACCCGAAGTCCACATGCCCCGGCGTATCGATGAAGTTGAGCATGTAGTCTTCGCCGTTATGATGGTGCATGACCGTCACGGCGGACGCCTTGATCGTGATCCCGCGCTCGCGCTCAAGATCCATCGAATCCAGCAGCTGCGCCTTCGCTTCGCGGTCGCTCACCGCGTTGGTCGCTTGGAGCAGACGATCCGCAAGCGTGGACTTGCCGTGGTCGATATGGGCGATGATAGAAAAATTGCGTATCTGCACAGGAATCAGCCTTTCAAAGGGGCCGTGCATGATACGCAAAGCGTTTGACGGAATGGGATTTGAGGTCGATCAGAACCCCCGAATCAATCGCACCAGTCCTCTTCCCACCACGGATCGTTGTAGTGACCGTGCCGATGGGAGTGCGAGCGATGACGACGATCGTATCGGGAGTCATACCGATGGTCCGATCCGCGATAGCGTGCGTTCTCACGCTCGCGCTCGTTGATGTCTCCGAGGATCGCGCCGCCCGCGGCTCCGATGATCGTTCCAGCAACCGCGCCTTCACCGGCGTTGCCGTCCAGAGACCCCAGAGCAAGGCCGGTCAGTGCACCCAACGCCGCACCAGAGAACATCCCCTGACCCGCGTTGTCGCACCCGCCGAGTGTGACGACACCAAGCGCCAGAGCACCTGTAATCGCGAGCTTGTTTCGTTTCGAGTTTCGAGCTTTCATCGTGAACCTCCTTCAAGAGACCGTCTCACCCACGAACCGCGCCCAATCCCAGACCCTGACACCAAATCCGCCAGAATCCCGAAGTTTGCCCGGCTCACTAAGTAAGCACTCACTTACTATAATGCCGAATCCTCGCTTCGGTTGCAACACAATTCCCCATTCCGTGCGTATTTTTGTGTAATGCGCCACTTTCCACACTTTTTTCGGTCCCTCATCCCCCTCCTGGCGCTCCTGAGCACGATTTCCCACGCTCAGAATGTGACCCCGCTCAGTGATCGCGTGGACGCGATCGTCGCGCACCCCCTCGTCCTCCCTATCAAAGTCGAGGACCCCAAACAGCTCAGATCCGGACTCCGCGTCCGCATCGACGACGGCCGACCCGTCGAGTCCAGCGCCTACTTCGTCTACGCGAGCTTCACCAGCATCACCACCAACTGGACGAGAGGCACCCCAAACTGGACGAGCATCACCCCGAGCGAGTACCTCAGATCCAAACCCAACTCCCCAGGCACTTGGATCGCGCTCATCGACCTCCCGATCGACGCCGTCGGACAAGGCCTGTGGATCGACGAGACACGCTACGAACCCAACTGGCTCCCCTCCCCGCTCCGCGTGATCCTCGAATCCAGCGCTCGCAGCAACGATGGATTCTGGGATGCCGCGTTGACACCCGAGCAGCAATCATCCCCTTACATCCGCGATGCGCTCACCAGTCTCCGCGCCGATCCCTTCAATCGCTGGCGCGCTCGGCTCATGAGCGATGGATTCAATCCAAACTCCAATGAGCGCACCGGACCCTCCACCACCGATCGCGACTTCACAGCGATCCATACCGAACTCCTCCAAACCGACAGCGTCTCAGTCCTCGACCAGATCGCTGATCACTTCACCGCACGCTGGCAGATCATCCTCGGACGCATCTGGCTCATCGATCCGAGCGTCGCGCATCGACTCAAGCACCAGCTCACCCGAAGCGCGACCGCTGACAACTTGCTGATCCCGATGTGGACCAACGATACCACGCAACTCTCCGCGCTAGCGCACGACCTGCTCTCGCCGTTTGTCAACGACGAACTCCGCGTCGAGCGCGTCACGGGCTGGCTCGCGATCCAACCCGCCGCCATGTCGTGGATCATCGACGACGCGGGACACCCCTCGCGTCATCCGCTCATGACCTCCCCCACTGTTGGGGTCTTAAGTATCAATCACGATGAGACCACTCAGCTCCTGCGCATCCAGAGCAGAGGGATCGAGCCGCTCGTCGATCAACTCCCGCACGCGCAGATGACTACACGAACCATCGCCGTGTCGACACCAATCGACACCAAAGCGGGACAGGTCACACAACCCCGCACGATCCGCACGCAGATCGGACACGACCGGATCGAACTCCAATCGCTCGGGAGCATCCCCCTCGGATCACCGCCTGGGATTATCGTGGGACCGATGCTCAACGACTGGACTCTCAACGCGCTGAGCTCACGCAACTCCGGACTCAAACTCCTCCCTCCCAACGACAAGCAAATCGCCGGCTTGATCATGCGCGACGCGCCGATCATCTCATCCAACACCAACGAGGGTTGGCGCCTCTACCTCGAGTGCGCCATCGACCCCAAGTCTGACATCGACACGCAGATCAGAGTCTGGACCGGACCGATGGACGACTCGCGTGCTTTGTGGACCATCTCACGCGAGCTTGGGATGGTCGAGTTCCGTTCCGACCACGATGTCCCTGAAGAAACACGCATCATCTCCACCACCGACAAAGACCGCTGGATCGTCCAGATCGATCTGCCCCCTCAAGTCCTCACGATCGACGGCTTCCTGCTCATCGGACTCGAACGCATCGACCAGAACACCCGAACCGCTTGGCCGCGGCGCATGATGCCTTGGCAATCCGAGCCGGGACGATTCGTCATCGACACGACCAACTGGACCGGAACCAATCCGAATCCTTAGTCACGCAACGCGCCGGCGCGACAAGTCGATCACCCATTCGAGCATCAGCACGCCGAGCCCCGCGAGCACGAACCACCTCCAGAGTTCCACACGCCCGCTGGATTGATTCGCCGATACTTGTCGTGTCATGTCTCCCTCCCCCACTATGAACTCTTGACCAGCACGGATCGACTGCTCGCGATCCAACAACGACACGCCGATCTGTTCACCATCGACTTCCGTCACCCCCACCTGTTCGACGACTGTATTGGATTCCCCAATCGGATCACCAGTCTTGTACACGCGTCCTGAGCCGCTCGTTCCAGGAAGCAAATACGCAATCGTGTTGGACATGAACATTGGCATCGAGATCTGCACGCCCCAGTTCGAATCCTCGAGCGCGAACCCGATCTGCAGATGACGGACACCACGATCGGCAGATTCCGTGATCAGCGCCCCGCGAGTTCCCGTCGCGAGCACATCCCCTTCGAGTCCATCAACTCCGATATATCTGAGCGAACCAAGATCCACATCACGCATCGCCGGATGCCCACGCTCCCAGCTCAGCACACGATCAAGAGTTGCTCGCTGCTCCTCGGATTGAACAAACGCGATCGAAGAAATCTGCACCAACGCGTCCCGTTCGATCCGGTCATACACCATCAACCCAGTCATTCCAGACACCGAGTCCCCAGACGCGACGACATCCACTCGACCACCAGTCGACGCACCAAGCACATCAACCAGCAGCGGATCCGCGATCCCATCAGGAGCGATCACCGTCGTCACGATCGGGGATGGATCAGGGAGCGACACCCATCCGATCTGATCACTCGACAGCGCGTCGTTGCGTGCAAACCCCACCTCAATCATCGATGCTCGATCGAGGTCAAACACGAGCGTCGCCGTGGACTCCGCGACTCCCCACTCATCCGGAACAAGCTCCATCGCCCGACTCGCGAGCACGGCTTCCCCATCACGCGCCTGCACGACCACCCCAGTCTTCACACCAATCATCCCGGCGATCGTCACGAACACTCGACAGATATCGGGATCCGCTTGATCCCGCTGCGCCGAGAGCACCACCAATCCGAGATTCCCGAGCGTTTCAGGATTGTCTGAAATCGGAACACGAAGCTCCGCACCCGCCCAAGCAATCTCTTGGTCATCGCTGAACACATACACTGAGGCGCTCTCAGTTGAAGTATCTTCATGGCTGATGTCGTCAGACTGCATCGAATCGACCAGCTCCATCGCGCTGACAAGATTAGACGGCGCTTCGGACTGTTCGATGCTGTTGATCGCCGCGATCGCTTGTCGCCAGGTCCCAGCGCGTCCGCTCACGAGCCGAGCTTGCGATCCGGCTCTCACCACTCGAAATCGCGTAGATGATGATCGGCCCCCAAGCTGTCGAACAAGTCCACTCGCATCACGCTTCGCGATGTCCAGACGCGTCGAACCATCCAGATCCCCGATCGCCCCCATCGAAGCACCCGCATCTATCACAACAATCACCTCGCTGCTCACCACCAACCCCGCATCGCGCACAGGACGCGCGATCGCAAGAGACAGCAGCAGCACCGCAAGCAGCTGCAGAAACAGCAAGAACGAGGGACGCACGCGCTGCCAGGGGATGTTCCCTTCAAGATCACGCACCGATTTCTTCCACAGCAGCGTCGAGGACACACGCACCGGACGTCTGCGGAGCTTGAGCATCCAGAACAGGACCACGAGCGTCGAGCCGATCCCGCCCGCGATCAGTCCCGCGATGGGCGCTAAAAAACTCACTCGCCCCAACCCGGCGGCGCTTGCAGCCCCTTCGGTCCCTGATCCCCGCGCACGCGAACCTTCGATGGATTGAATCCGATCCCGAAGATATAAGTCTCACGCGACACGTCTCGGCACGCGTCGGGTTTGATCGCCCCCGCCGTGCGGAACGCTTTTTTCACGCGATTCAGGAGATCGGGGAACGTCTCGCCCTCAAGCACCTTCATCGTGCAGTTGCCGTTCTTCTTGAGCAGGTTCGGGAGCTCGTCCACGATCACCTGACACAAACGCTCAGAGAAGAAGTGGTCGCCGTGCCCTGTCGTCGAGGGCGCCATGTCCGACATCACCACATCGAACAACGGCTGCACCAGCTCAGGTTCCGGCTGCTCATTATCAGGTTTATCAAACACCTTCTTCTGCTGCATCACCTTGGGAGGCAGCAGCTCCGCGATGTCCACCTTCGTAAAGTCACCCTGCACGATCCGCACGTTCTCACCAAACGGCGTTGAGACTCTTTGCAGATCAATCCCCACCACCAATCCATCCGGACCCACAAGCTTCTCCGCGACCTGCATCCACGATCCCGGCGCGCACCCCAGATCGAGCACGCGATCCCCCTTGCGGATGAGCTTTCGCCGCTGCTGAATCTCCAGCAGCTTGTACGCGGAGCGCGCGACGTACCCCTCGCGTTTCGCTTGCTTGAAGTACTTGTCGTGGAGTTTGCGTTGTGCCATATGAATCTCGATTACTTGTAGAAGACCACCACCGCATCAGTCCAGTGGTGCGGCGCCCAGGTCTCGCCTCGCCCCTCGTTGAGGTACTCGTCGAGATCGTACTCAATCGTAATCGTCTCGCCGAACATGAACTCGGATTGCACATCCACTTTCCAAGCTTCCACCTTATCCCCCGGAGCCCATCCCGCACGATCGAACTTCCACGTCCCCCCCTGAGGACGGCACGGATTCAGATACACATCCGTCTTCCACAGATGATTCCGCTCAGACTTACTGATGAAGTCCTGCTCAAGCACATCACCCTCGTTCGCCTCACTGCTGATCGTCAGGGTTCTCCAGATCGGCATGAACTCCCCCGCGTTCTTGGAGTTGGGGAACATGCCGTGCCCGGTGACCGTCGCGCGAACGCGTGCGTGCGTGGTGCCCTCCGGAACCTCGACCACACGATCGACATAAAAATCTTCGACTGGTTTCTCAGGATCACCAATATCCGCGTTCCCGTTCCACAGGTTCACAACCTTGATGGGCTCAAGCTCAAGCTCCCCAGGATAGAAATCCAGATCAAAGCTCACCAGCCAACCCTTCATGTACGTCCCGATGTGCGCATCAAACTCGCGAGCATCCTCAAACAACGGCAGCAAGTCCGTCACATCCATATACCACGTCCACCCCCTCCGATACGGCGTAATAAACCGGAACACCTCAAACCGCTCCGCTTCCTCTTCACCCTCTGAAGGTACTCGTATCCCGATCGTCCCCTTCTTGTCCCAGTGGTCGTACCCCACCTCCGGCTCACTCAGCGTCAGCGTCGCGATCACGCGCCCGACACTCTCTGGGATTTCTGAAAAATCAACATCCGACTTGAGCCAAGCCGCGTTGGTCAGCAGTTCCTTCTCAAACACCGACACACGCACTGGCTCCTGATAGTCCCCCTTCTTGAACTCGTGATCCATGATCCGCGCGGACTTGATCTTGATCGAATCCCCGATCGTCCCGCTCGTCAGCGAGCACAACCCGGCACGCACCCCCCAGAGCATGTCGTCGATCACCACCTCGCCGTTGATCAGTACGACGATGTGCGCCCCGCCCGTGACGTAGTTGAGCTGGACCGCGATATCGACCTGCTCACCAGTCCGGAACTCCACAGGAGACAGCACATTGATCCGCTCCTGACCATCCACATGCACAGACACCTCCCGCTGCGGACGATCGTACCAGTTGCCGAACTCATCGAACCACCCCATCACGCGCCCGTTCTCATCCGGCTCGATCTCCGTCGGAGGCGGATTGTGCACATCAAAACCGACCCCGATCGCGTTGGGATGGTTCGGTTCATCCCACGCGAAGCCCTCTCCCGGATCGTCAAAGTCCGAGTTGGTGATGACCAAACCAAACCCCTTCGCGCCATCAAGGTGCTCAGGCTTAGGAACCTCGACACGCATAAACGCCCACACAGGATTCATGATCCAGTTGTGCTTCTTCTTTCCCTCATCACCCGCATCAGCAGACGCGGCACACGGGACAGCAAACAGCATCGCAAGCAAAGCGATCGCGGTGATCTGAAATAAAGACAGTTTCTTCATACCGATAGGATAGAGCATTGATCCCATCAGCACACCGGAATGACCCTAGTGAGGCACTTCCTTGATCGCGTTGCGGTTCCACGCCGGGACACGCACCACGATCGGGCCCTCACCCTCGATCTCGCACTGACACGCAAGACGCGAGTTGATCTGCAGTCCAGGCGCTTCCTCGACGCGATCATCCTCTTCCTCTTCCGCTTCAGTCAGCGAGTCCATCCCCTGCTCGACATACACGTGACAGGTCGAGCACGCGCAGACCCCGCCGCAGGAATGCTCGATGTTGATGTGGTTGCGCAGCGCCAGATTCAGCAGGTGCTCACCCTTCGCCGCCATCAACTCATGCTCCGCTTTGTCAGAGCCGTCCTCGTTGAGTTCCTCCGGATTCTCAAGGATAATCCGGACCGGAACAGTCTGAGGGCCAACATTCTCTTCTTCGTGGAAGTGCATATCGAGGAGTCTCCGTGTTTTTCCTGCCAAATCGGGGAAGAGACTCTAGGATAGACGGCCCGCTCAGGAACCTCAATGGACACGCATTCTCCCTCCACCAATCAAGACCTTCCCGTCTCGAATATCGAGCTCACTGTCCTTGCGCCGGCGCACAACGAAGAAGACAACATCGATAAGCTCGTCGAGGAGATCGAAGCCGCGTGCGAGCCCCTCTCGATCACCTACGAGTTCATCGTCGTCGATGACGGTTCCACGGACTCAACACGCGACAAAGCGATCGCGCACCAACCACATCGCCCGTGGGTCCGCTGCGTTTCCATGACCAACACCCCCAAGGGTTCAGGCAACGGCCAATCCGCCGCGTTCCACGCCGGATTCCGCGCCGCGCGCGGCCGACTCATCGCGACCCTCGATGCGGACCTCCAGAACGACCCCGCCGACATCCCCGCGATGCTCGAACTCCTCGTATCAAGCGACGCCGATTTCGTGCAAGGCGATCGCTCCGCCGTCCGCAAGCAAGGCGACGCAATGATCCGTCAGTTCGGATCGTGGGTCGGACGCAAGTTTCGCTTGTGGGTCCTCGGAGACTCGATCACCGATACCGGATGCTCGCTCCGCATCATGAAACGCGAGATCGCGCTCCAGCTCCCGCTCGAGTTCAAAGGGGCGCACAGATTCATCCCCGTCACGGCGCGTCATCTCGGATACACCGTCGTCGAGATGCCCGTCAACCATCGCAACCGACACGCCGGCGAGCCCAAATACGGCATGGGGATCACCAAACGCGCCCTCCCAGGTCTCGTCGATCTCTTCGCGATGCGATGGATGCGCAACCGCCGTCGTCCAGTGACTTCTGTGGAAGCAACCATCGAGCCGATAGCAGAGATACACACGACAGACCCCAAGAACACCACAAACACCGAGAGCTCAGAAACCATCAACGCATGAAAGCCGGCCCAATCATCGCGATGATCCTCCTTGTGTTTCTCGGGATGTGGTTGGTCCTCCAACCAGCGCTCTCGCGCTCCGCGACCGACCTCACAGTCTCCGTCGGCGCCCACGAGATCATGCTCATGCGCTCGCACTCCGGAGAGCAGGTCCAGTACAAAATCATCGCGCCAGCATCGCTGCGTTCCGACGAGATGCTCTCCCCTGCGGAGCTCGACGCGTTTATCTCATCGCAGGTCGAGCACTGGAACGCACGTCCCGCGCTCGAACGGCACCTCCTTGGTTTCTTCAACATCACCAGCTGGAGTACCTTCGGATTCGTCGCCGTAGGACTCATCGGACAGACCGCGTTCTTCGGACGCATGTTCATCCAGTGGATCGTCTCCGAACGCTCACAAGTCTCAACAGTCCCTGAAATCTTCTGGTGGTTCAGTTTCATCGGAGGCATCTGCCTCTTCACCTACTTCGTCTGGCGCGTCGACATCGTCGGCGTCATGGGACAATCCACAGGGATCGTGATCTACGCACGAAACCTAAGACTCCTTCACAAGGAACGCGCTCGTTGTGCTCCAGTTCCTGAATCAGACTCAAACACGCAATCGACGACACAACCCACGACCTGAACGGAAAAAATATGAACATCTGGATCGATGACACACAACTCGAATCTGCAGCAGACCTGGACACCGCGCTGGAACAAGCACGGCTGCACGCTGAATCACAAGGCCGACTGATCGTGGACATCCTCGTCGATGGTCAGCCAGCGACTGATGCACTTTTCGACGAGGACGCGAGCGACCTCCCACCAATCTCCGAACTCCGCTTCACCACCGCGAACACCGCGGCTCTGGTGAACGACACCATCGACACCGCAATCGAATCCATCGACCTGCTCAAAGCCGACCAACAAGCCGGCGCTCAGCAGATCCGCGAAGGAGACATGGATAACGCGATGCAATCGCTCCGAGCAATCATGGAAGGCTGGCAAGCGATGCGCGACATTGTTGACCAGATTACCCAAGTTACCGATCTTGACATCAAAACCCTCTCTGTGAATCAACAACCCGCGACTGAGATTGTCAATAAACTGTCAAAGTCGCTCGAGGATGTCCGAGAAACGCTCAAAAACGAAGATTGGTCTTTGCTTGGAGACACGATCGAGTATGATCTCAATGAACTCGCTGATCAGTGGTCAACGCTGCTGTCATCGATGAAATCGAGCACCAACCCCGCCTAATCTGCTCGGCAAGCCGTTGTAGATGGGCTTTTTTGAGGACATCTCCCCCGTGTCTCAGACGCAGGCAGCCGCCGAGTCCAATCAGATCGACACCATGATGGGTCATGCAAGCGATGCGCTCGCATCGGGGATGTCACTCCACGCCGCGATGCTCTGCCGTGATGCGCTCCAACTCGCTCGCGCGCGAGGCGATTTCAACCGCATGGCACGCATCTGCATGCCGCTGCTCGAAGCGCAGCGTGCGATCCGATTCGATGCACTCGAACAAGGTCCGGCACAAGTCATCTCGAAAGGCTCAGACATCCAGGGACTTCCAGAGATGGGGTGCTATCTGTTCGCGCCCAACCTTGTCGGCGCTGATGCTCGTCAGTTCCGCACGGCTGCCAACGCCGCAGGCGTGGCTGTGTTCGTACTCACGCGCGAACCACAGATGTCCAACGGCCTTTGGCCAATCGTCGGCGTCGGAGAACGCGTCGTCCGCATCCGCATCGAACCTCCAAACAACCCCGACACCATCGATCCCCAGTGGTTCAACTACGCAAGCGAACAGCTCGGAGATCAAGCGATCGAGGACGCGATGAAAGCCGGAGAACCCGATGATCCCGCCGCGTGGCGTGTCGATGACTTCCTCGATCGCATCGATGCGTGTCCTGAGCACGAGAAGTTCATGATGGCGCTCGCTCAAGCATGCGAAGAAGCAACGAAAATGCCCGTCCCCACAGTTGTGCGAAGACGGGCACTGGTCAACGATCCGTACTCGTTTTAACGAGCCGATCAGCGTCTGCGTCGTGTGCTGATAAATGCACCGCCAACGAGCCCCATCATCGAAGCGGGACTTGGGACATAACCGATGTTATCGATGGTCGCCATATTCCCGATGGTTCCGATGTTGTTGCCGTACTCACCATCGTTGACAGTGATGTGATCGTATTGACCAAACGCGCTGTTCCAGTTGTTGTAAGTCCGTGTTGCATCCACCAGGATCTCTCCAGTCTCCTGATTGATGATCGAGACCTCAAACTGACCAGTCAGCGTGTCTGCTTCGAGGACGACTCGATACCAAGTATCGAACTCCCATGTATGCAATCCCAGACCGAAGTCACGATTCGCACCACCTCGCCCGTCCGCGTTCTGCACGAACAAACGGAATCGGTTCGAGTTCCGCGTCGCGTACACAAACGCCTGAGGCATCCAGTTGAAGTCATCCTGCACAGTCTGCTGGAACAACCCAGCCGCAGAAATCCAGTTCGGACTGCTCCCGTTCCCGGCTTGATCCAAACGCAGATCGGTCTCAAAGCGTTGAATCCGATCATGCCCAACATGGGCAATCAGACCACCTGAAGTCCCGAGTCCATCCTGGATCTGCATCGCGTTGGTCGCGTTGCCGTTCGCATCAGTCGTCCCGATGACCTGCACCGTTGGTGACGCATTCGTCGGATTCGTAATAAAGTCCGCGGCGTCTTGCCAAATACCCGCGGGAGAATCCCCGATGCTGTATCCCTCAAAGTCCTCAGTCACACCCGCAATCGCGAGAGACGAGCACACTGAGAGAAATGCTACACTCCATCCTGCTTTCATAAAATTCCTCCTCTAAATCAGCGTCGGCGCTGCACGCACAGCGCTCCAAGTCCAAGAAGACCAACCCCTGCGGGAGCTGGTACATAGGTGACATTATCGATTGTGGTGATGTTCCCGAGAGTACCGGGACGCGAGCCGTACTCGCCGTCGTTGACCGAGATCATGTTGTACTGACCAAAGTCGCTGTTCCAGTTTGTGACTGAATGGGTGTGATCGACAACCTGCTCCCCAGTTTCCAGATTGATGATGGAAGTCTCAAAATCTCCAGTCGCCGTGTCCACCTCGATCGCGATGCGATACCAGGTATCGAGCTCATACAGCGCCCCATCGAGCGCGACATCACTGGTCAACCCACCATTGCCGTCCGCGTTGTGGATGTACAAACGGAACGCACGCGAAGTGTTGATCGAGTACACCAGCGCCTGAGGCATGCGAATCGGATCGGTCTGATCCGTCACCTGAAAGAAGCCCGCGGCATATGTCCAGTTGGGATAGTTCCCGTTCCCGCGCTGATCAATGCGGATGTCCGCTTCAAAGCGCTGGACACGCGAGTGCTCAACAAGCGCACCGATCCCTCCCGAAGTCCCGATCCCGTCCCCATCAATCTGCACGGCTTGCGTCTGATTCCCATGCGCATCAGTCGTCTGAATCACCGTCGCGCTGGGACTCGGGATCGTTGGATTGGCAACCCAATCCGAGAAATCCTGCCAATCCCCTCCCGGCAGTTCCCCAACGTCATAGCTCTCAAAGTCGTCCGTCACGGCGCCCCATGCTGATGTCCCCGCCAGCATGACCGCAACGATCGCGCACATATTTTTCATGTTCTTCTCCAGTTGAGTGCGGCTTTGTCCCTAAATCAGCCTTCTGTGCGCAAGACTGCTGATGTCACACATCTCGCCGTCGGCGACCACACAATCACACCGATCGACGCGAGCTATCCGATCGAACGAGACACATGTTCCAGAGAAAATATGATTTCAAATCACAACTGGTCTTCCTGCCCAATTGCTAGGCAAAAAAACCCAGAAAACGCTATTGAGCGTCGCGAGGGAGTGTTTCCACGATATTCCGCACCACGGCGTCCGCATCCACTTGCTCCGCGGATGCTTCGAAGTTGAGCATGATCCGATGCCGAAGCGCTGGGAGTGCCGCTCGCTGGATGTCCTCGATCGAGACCGCCGCGCGTCCGTCGAGCAGCGCTCGGCACTTGCCCGCGAGCATCAGCGACTGAGCAGCGCGAGGAGACGCGCCGAGCTGCACGAAGCGTGACACCATCGGAGTCGCAAAGCGTCCATCGGAGAGCTCACCACTCGGATGCGTCGCAAGCACACAGCGGATCGCGTAGTCCTGTACATGCGCCGACACTGGAACCCTCCGCACGAGCTGCTGATGAGCGAGCAACTGCTCGCCATCAAGGACCTTCTCGATCTTCGCTTCCTCCGATCCAGTCGTCAGCTCCACGATTCGTCCCATCTCCTCGCGCGATGCGTACCCCACGCGTAGCTTAAAGAAGAACCGATCGAGCTGCGCCTCAGGGAGCGGATAGGTCCCCTCCTGCTCGACAGGGTTCTGCGTCGCGAGCACGAAGAACGGCTTCGGAAGCTCGTGCGTCGCGCCAGTCACGCCGCCGATTGTGACAGAATGCTCCTGCATCGCTTCGAGCAGCGCCGACTGCGTTTTGGGAGTCGCGCGATTGATCTCGTCCGCAAGCACGATGTTCGCGAAGATCGGTCCAGGCTGGAACCTGAATCCTCTACGCACATGCCCCGACTCATCCTCGATCTCGTCGACGATTGTCGTCCCAGTGATATCCGCCGGCATCAGGTCCGGAGTGAACTGCACGCGACCAAAGCTCAGATCCACCGCTTGCGAGATCGTCCGCACCAGCAGCGTCTTCCCGATCCCAGGCACACCCTCGAGCAGCGCGTGACCACCCGCGAACAAACAAGTCAGTAGATCCTCCACAGTCTCGCGCTGCCCCACCACCGCTCGTCCGACCTGTTCCTGGACTCCCAAGAAATCACGACGGAACGCGTCCGCGGCTTGCTTGGTCTGCTCGATACTCGCCTGGGATGCTTCACTCATACCCCGATCCTAGTGGATCACCGACTCTGAGGCATGAAAAAACCGACCCCTAACAGAGGTCGGTCATTCAAAGAGGCCGCGGTGGGATTCGAACCCACGATTGGCTTTCGCACAGCGGATTTGCAATCCGCTCCCTTAGTCCACTCGGGCACACGGCCAAAATGTGCTCCTCGACACCAAGTGCCGGGGGTGACGCTAGAACGCCCCCCTCCAAAGGTCAACAACTCGACCCCGAAAGCACGATAGGATACAGGTATCAGCACGCAATTCTCACACATCAGGACCACAATGCGATTCATACCCTCCGCAATGCTTCTTGTATTCCTCGCCGGCGCAACCGCTGGAGCACAGACTCTGGACACTGATACCCCAGAGTCTGAGGAAAAGAACCAACACCAACGCATCGAGATCCTCAAGGATTCGATGCCGCGTGTAGGGACTGATGAGACCCCGATCGAACCGACCGAACCTCGGACCTCCGAACCTCACGAGACGGGATTGACCAAAGGCCAGGACTGGATGCAGGTCGTCAACAACTCGATCGGATCGATCGACAAACCATCCACCCTCGCAGAGGGTTCCTTCATTCTCTCGCGTAAAGGCCGACTCGTTCCGGCGCCGAATGATCGCTTGATCTTCGTCCCTGATCCTGAGCAGCGACTCCCTGGGGAGGGTCCAGTCCTCCTGCTCCCATGCGCCGCGCTCGAGCGACTCGAAAACATTTGGGCAAACCAGCCAGTCACTGTCTCAGGAGAAATTCTCACTTACCACGGCCGTAACCACCTGCTGATCTCTGACTTTACCCTTGGACTCTCCGACATCATCGAAGCGCCGACTGAAACCACCGAAGAACCGCAAGTGCAGCCCGAGATTCCGCCGGCAGAACTCGACGAGGACCCCGATGTGCTCGATCTGCTTCGAGAACTTGACGAGGAGAGCGGAGTACATTCAGGCGCGTCGCTGAACAACCCAATCGATGATCGATTCGCGAGCACACAACGACCACGCTCCCAATCGACGCAACTCCAAGTAGCGGCTCCTGAACTCGCGCCTGGTATCCGCGAAGGCGATCTGATGATCCGCAGGCCAGCACGCATCGACCGCGCCCCTGATGGGTCGTGGAGAGTCATATTCGACAACGATGACGAGGACGCTCCGCTCGGGATAGAGCTGACACTACAGCCTTGTTCGTTGCTGATGACGATGGAGAACCAAGCGCTCGCGTTCGGAGACTCTGCAAGATTCGTCGTCTCAGGACGCGTGTATGTCCACAACAATCGCGGCTACCTGCTCCCGACCTTCTATCAGCGTTTGCGTCAATCCGACATCAAACCTTGGCAGTAAATCAGATCACGCCGGAGCGTCTTGACGCGCCATCGGATGAGAAGGTCCAGTGATGACAGTCTCACCCTCAACAGGTGAGTATCGCGATCCATAGAGCGGGACCTTGTGGTTCACCACAGCACGACCAAACATCTTCGCGAGCACGGCACGACCAAGCATGATCACCACAAGCATCAACGCGTTGGCGCCGAGCATCGGACCCAGACTGGTCCATCCCATGTAGACCATGATCGAGGTCACCACGATCATGAGCATCCCAGCAGGGATCATCGCGCCCCATCCAAGCATCATGACCTGATCGTAACGCACGCGAGGGATCGTCCAACGCAGCGCAATCGTGAAGCACACGAGCAGCATGGTTTTGCCAACAAACACACCGAGTTTCAGAAGAACCGCGAGCGTTCCTGTTGCGTCAGTCGCAAGAGCCCCAACGAGCGGGAGATCGTATCCGCCGAGGAACAGAAGCACGAAAAACGCGCTGCCCGTGACCATGTGCAGGTATTCAGCGAGCGGGAAGAGGAGGAATCGCATCGAGGAATACTCAGTGTGATATCCGCCGACCAGTTCCTGTTCGGCTTCCGCGTTATCAAAGGGCGCGCGTCCCGCTTCTGCGAGCACACAGATGTAATACAGGATCGCCGGCAGAGGCAGCGACCAGATCAACCAGCCGTGCTCGCGTTGGTGCATGATGATGTCGTTGGGCATGAATGATCCCGCGATCAGCAAGCAGCAAAGCAGCGCCAATCCCATCGGGATTTCATACGAGATCATCTGAGCCGTAGCGCGAAGACCGCCGAGCATGGAGTACTTGTTGTTGGAAGCCCAACCACCGATGGTGATGCCGTACGCTCCGACCGATGCGATCGCGAGTAGATAGATAATCCCGATCGAGACCTCCGCACCAGCGACGGAAACAACCTCTCCTCCGACTGTACCGATCACAGGAAGGGTTATCTCAGGCATCAACCAGTATCCACCCAATGGGAGGATCAGGAACGCCATGAGCGCGGGAATCACAGAGAGCATCGGCGCGAGTGTGAACAGGATCTTGTCCACATTGGGAGGGGTGTAGTCTTCTTTGGTCACTGCTTTTATGCCGTCAGCGAGCACCTGACCCAGACCAAGCATCCCCTTGAGGAACGACAGGAACGGGAGACCAAAGTCAAACCCCGCACGATTGGGACCGATGCGGTCCTGGATATACGAGGACAGTTTCCGCTCGATCCAGATGGAGAGCGCGGCACATCCAAGGATGATGTGGACGCCGATCGCCATCGCAAGCGCCGAAACAATGAACTGACTGGTGATAAGGTCGCTGAAGAACTCGCTCATGATGCCACTACTGTAGCATCCCCGCCCCGATCGGGTCGTGCTTGGGGTCATTCTCCGCAAGCTCTTCGTAGGTCATTTCAGGGATAGACGAGCCTTCACCGACTCCCCCCACTTCAATGGTGGTGATGCTGACTGTACGAGCGTCCTTCCGGGACATCAGCACAGAATATTCAGGCCGATCGTCCCATCGATGCCAGGTAAATGCGTCCTGAGATTCTGGGGTCGGATCTGAAGCAACCATCTCTTCAAACAACGGCACACGCACCTGCACAAGCTCATCGCCCAAACCCGATGAAGCAACGATCACAGGCGTAAATGGTTGATCCGGAGTCCGTACGACCGTCAGCTTGCTCGCATCCCATTCCACGATCAGCACATCAATCCCCGAATCTGTTGGCTTGATCGCAAACGCTGTAAATGTCGCGTACGCAGACAGATCCATTCCCCGAAGCAGCTCAAGCATCAAATCGAGACCCGAGTGCTCAATCATCATGAGCGGGATTTCACCCCTCGACTGTGTCGGATTCGGATTGCTCCGCTCCGAGTCGTTGAAGTTCAGCACCCCCGCCGTGACACCGTGTTCATCACACACGACCCAGGTCCCGCCCGCGTCGCTGTCTGTTGGATACCAGACCCGCTTGCCGTGGATCATCCGCTGAGCCGGCGGATACGCACTACCACGAGTCCGCTGCTCATCGCGGCTATGGACAACCCTGTACCCGTTCCCGGGCAGCTGTATCACGCTGAGAGTGCACATATCAGTTGGATGCCAATCCGGATTCGTAGTTGAGCGTCGATGGTGCCGTCCCGAAAGCGGCATCCAGCTCAATGTCAAACTCCGCCGCGATCGCCTTCAGGATCGCGTTGTGGTGGATCGCGTGATGAAGCGCGAAGAAGATCTCTCTGCCTCGAGTGGATTGCAGTTCCGCACAACACCCATCGCCGGCACACATGACCTGAGCGGTAACCGACTCATTGAGTCCATCGGCATCGAATCCACTCAACGCGCTGCGGAGTTGTGAAATCTCAGTCAATGCGGCTTGACGATCAGTCTCCACACTCACGCCGCGAGCTCGATGGTCGTAATCAATCTTCTCGCATGAAGGCGTGTTGATCGAGCATCGGAAATGATCGAGCGTGTGACGGATGTGCTTCCCGATCGTCCCGGCTGGGAAGATCGTTGAAGCTTTGGTGTACTTCTCGTCATCCATCAGTCCGATGTAGTCGCTGAGTTGTTCAAGAATCGCGTCCGCGGCATGGACGACATTGAGTACTGACATTCTTTTCTCCCGCTTATGTCTAAGTTCCCCGCTCTAGACACTATAGAGGACGTACCGATCGCTTTCTATGGACTTGTCAAACAGTCTCTCGATGCGCCGCTTGAAGCACTTCAGACAGGATGTCTCGATGATTCGCACAACGTGGACATTTGTGCTGACCACCAAGCTTGCCCTTCATATCCATCCAGCGATGGAATGTCCCGTCCGGCAGGATCGTGATCGTCGGATCGCTCATCCCCACTGAATCAGAGCGTTTCGTGTTGTAATCCACATTGATCGATCGAACATGCGCATCAAACGCATCTCGGAAACGGATCAGCTGATCTGTGCTCGGCGCAATCGGGAACTCCACAGCAATCTCAAGTCCAGCGCGTGTAGATTGCGAGGGATAGACCGGCGCCGCCGTGAACTCACCGATCGTCGCGCCGATCGCGCGTGATGCCGCGCTCACACCTTCTTCGATGTGCTCGCCGATCAGATTCTCTCCGAACGCGTTGATGAAGTGTCGATGCCGGCCCACGATCCGCAGCCGTGCAGGACCATCGCCACCCTTCCCATTAAAACCATCTGGGATCGTATCGAACTCGACGACATCGCCGATGATGTAGCGCCAGAGTCCCGCGTTGGTGCTCATGACCACCACATACTGCTGCCCCTTCTCGACCTCCCAGCACGAGAACACCTCAGGATTGTCATCATCAATCTGCTCTCGTGGGACAAACTCGAAGAAGATCCCGTTATCACTCAGCAGCCTCATCCCCAGATCGTCATCCCGATCCTGCATCGCGAGGAACCCCTCCGAAGCGGGGTACAACTCATGTCGGCACGGGAAGTCGATCTGCGCATCACCTGAAAAAGCGACACTCATCCGCTCGATGAATGGACGATAGTTCACCCCTCCGTGGACGAAGACCTCAAGGTTTGGCCAAACATCTCTCGCGCACTTCGCATTCATCCCTCGCTCATTCGCGAGTTCGATCACACGATCAATGAGCACCAAAGCCCAGCTCGGCATTCCAGAGATAAAGCGGATGTCCTGATCGATCGCGAGCTGCGCCATCGCTTCGATCTTGTCGGGCCAATGACTCATCAACGCCACCGCAGGTCCCGGCGAATAGATCATCGACAACGGCCACTTAATCAAAGGCGTCACCAATCCCGACAAATCCCCCGTCGCGATGCCGTGCTCGTTGTACTCCAGATCCGTCGATCCGCCAAGGAACAAACAACGCCCACCCATCATCCGCTCCGGATGCACACCCCGATTGATCAGATGAGCGAAGATATCCAGCGATGCGAGGTAGTTCGATCGGAACATCTCCTTCGTGACCGGGATGTACTTATCCCCCGCCGTCGTTCCAGAGGTCTGCGCGAAGTGATCTACGCGTCCCGGCCAAAGCACATCGGACTCACCACCATCCCGCATGCGCCCAATCGAATCCTGGAATACATACCAATCATTGATCGGAAGTGCATCTCGATACGCTCTGATCATCTGAGCATCGTCTTCGATCTCGACGATTGATCCAAATCCGTGCTTCTTCCCAAAGTCTGTGCGAACACAGAGACTCAGGTTCTTGCGGAGCTGCGCCGCTTGGATCGTGCAGGTCGATCGCTTCCAATAGTCCAAGTCATTGAGCTTGCGCCGACGCATCTCCACGCGAGCACGCAGCGCCGCACCAACAAGACTCGTCATGGAATACCCGGCATTGGGGGTGGGTGCACGCATGAGTATGGTCCGCTTTATGAGTTGCTGTCTGAACTGAAGCCGTGCTTATCGAAAAACGCGTGCATCGCTTCTGCGAATGGCCCAGGCGCTTCGATCATCGGCGCGTGACCACAATCGTTGATCCAAAAGAGTTCCGCGTTCGGCATCAACTCACTGAATCCCTGTCCCGCACTCGGAGGGGTCACCACATCTTCCTTCCCCCAAATCAGGAGCGTCGGATGCTCGATCTCTCCGAGATCATCCGTCATGTTGTCACGACGAGCACTCTTGGAGAGCTTGACCATCGCCCGCGCCCCGCCGCGTTCATTGAGCAGCTTGTGCGCACGCTCGACATCCGCTTCAGCCATGAACGACTTGTCGTAGAAAAGCTCACCGATCTTCTCGACGAGCCACTCGCGAGTCGGACGAACAGGCGCGCCCTTGACCACAGTCCGTTCAATCAACCCACTCGATCCCGCAAGGATCAGCGAGCGGACCAGTTCAGGACGCTCGTGTGTGACGCGCAACGCGACATGTCCACCAAACGAGTTGCCCACCAAAACTACTGGCTCATCGAAGTGCTTATCGATGAACTGCATCGTCATCGCCGACACCGCTTGGATGCAGCAGTCCGATTTCCGAAGCGAGAGCAGCGGCAGCTCCAGAGTCACACAGCGCGCACGATCCGAGATCGAGCGAACAACATGCTCCCAGTGCTCGTTGAGACCCACCAACCCGTGCAAGAACACCACAGGCATTCCCGATCCGCACTCGACAACATCCGCCGCGATCTGCTTCCCGCTCATCCCAGTCAGCGTCACCTGCGATTTGGCAAACTCCGTCTTGGGAGTCGCTCCCGATGGATTGACATGTGCGGTGCTCAAAGTGTGTTCTCCACTGACACTGAGATCAATCCGCTTCGACGGACGACCACGCTCATGATTCTTGTTAGGAAACACTTGCTTTGTCATGCAATCGTAGAACCCTGACCCTCTCAAACCAAACAAAAAAGCAGAATCAGCGATTTCAAGCCGTATTTAAACACTCTGGGACAGGGATTGTTCCTCAACGCGCCCATCGACCAGTCGGATCACACGATCCGCACGAGCCGCGATCCGCTCATCGTGCGTGACCATGACCATTGTCAGACCCGAATCTTGCTGGAGTTCAGCAAGGACTTCCAGGATCGATTCACCTGTTTTGAGATCCAAATTCCCGGTCGGCTCATCCGCGAGCAACATCGCGGGTTGATTAATCAGCGCACGAGCAATCGCCACACGCTGGCGCTCGCCGCCGGAGAGTTCCGCCGGACGATGCTTGATCCGTTCGCTGAGCCCGAATCGCTCAAGCAACTCCTTGGCGCGCGATTCAACAGATTTGCGATTGGAGACATAACCCAACCGCCCATGCCGGATCATTGCGCCGATGCACACATTCCCGAGCACATCGAGTTCAGGAAGCAGGTGATAGAACTGGAACACGAAACCGACTTCAGTCGATCGGTACCGATCCAGTGCTTTCGATCCAAGGCTCGTGATCACTCGATCGCCGTAGACAATCGATGCAGGATCTTCTGGATACCGATCGGGACGATCGAGACCACCGATCAGATGCATCAGCGTGCTCTTTCCCGATCCCGAAGCGCCGAGGATCGTGATCCATTCTTTGTGATGGACCGTGAGGTCCACGCCGTGAAGCACAGGGACCTTGACGCGCCCGAGCTTGTAAGTCTTACGGACACTTTTGACTTCAAGAATCGAGGATTGAGTGCTTTGATCGCTCATTTACTCGAACCTCAACGCTTTCACTGGATCCATGCGAGCGGATCGGAACGCCGGGATGAGCGAACCAAGCACGCAGGTCAGCACGCCGACGACAAAGACGATGACCGCTTTGGGTATCTCCACTTCGTGCGGGATCTCGATGAAGTAGTAAGTCCGCGGATCCCAAATCACGAGGTTGAAGGTTTCTCCCAACCAATCATGAATTCCATTGATATTCCGAACCACGGCGATCCCAACAATCGTCCCCACTGTTGCGCCGATGAGTCCGATCGCTGTGCCGTAACGGATCCACAACCACGCAACGCCTGGTGTCGAAGCGCCCAGCGCCCGCAAGATCCCGATGTCCTTCGTCTTCTCGCTCACCATCGACCAGAAGATCGCGAGCACAAGGAACACGCTCGTGAATGACACGATCCCGAAGATGAACAGCACCAACCCCGTCTCCTTCTTCACGGCGTTGATCATCGTCGCGTTCATCTCTTCCCAGGTACGGACCTGGTTATCCATCGAGAACGAACTGGGAACCTCACCCTTGTGCTTGTCCTCGAACAACTGATAGATCGCGTACACACGATCGCGGACCTGCTGAAGATCCGCACCGTCCTTCGCTTTCACAAGCACCGTGGTCACTCGAGCCGGATCGATCCCGATGACCTCGCTCCGCTTCGGACGCCGATTCCCAGTCTCCGGATCGATCTCCGTCGCGAACGGATTCTCGACCACCTCGACCTTTCGCGCCTCATCAAGCCGGAGCATCTCCTGCATCACATCCAAAGGCACGAAGATCGTTGAAGTGTCAATCTCATAGATCCCGCTCTGAAACTCGTTGGCAATCGGGATGGTTCGAGTCACCGGATCGACAGGCTTGCCTGTTGAATCCAGCGACAGCACCGTCAAGCCAACCGAACCACCAGCAGGCATAAACCCAGGAACCCGCTCGACGCCTCCATCTGGGAGCGCGCGGAATCCGAAACTGCGTGGATCGTAAATCCCGTCGTGTGTGCGAACATTGAGTCCAGTCACCTCGACACCGAGCACCCCCGATTGCTCCGTGATCCCTGACTCAGGATTCCGGCGAGTCAGCGTCATCGCGTTGGACCTGAACATCTCCATCGCTTGCGTGAAGTCAGGTTCAAGTCTCACATCAGAAGCGTCCTTGTCCTTCGCCGTGGGTTCATCGATCGGCTTCCACCAGATCGTGTCCTCGTAGTTCGTGACCCTGTTGTAGCTCTCAACATCGATCCCCTTGATCGTGATCAGCTCAATCCGATCGTCAGGAAGCTGAATCAACCCAAAGGTCTCGATAATCGGCGTCGCACCCTCGACCAGTTCATCCTCTTCAAGCATCGCGATCAGTTCGTCGTAATGCGCAAACCCGACATTGGGCCATGACACAGTCACATCGCCGATCAGCGATCTCCCCGAGTTCACCAGCGTTTTGAGGAACCCCCCCATCACCGACCATGTGATCAGGATCGTCGCTACCGACAGCATCACCGCGAGCATCGCGAGGATCGGCATCAGTTTGCTTGTCAGATACTTCTTGGTCAGCAGCGCTTGGTACACAGAGCGAGTGTAGACAATCACGCGCCCTCAGGTTGCACCCAATCCAATGGTTCTTAACGCTCCCAGCGATTGTTCTCGCGATCGACATCAGGAAGCATCTCATCCGGATCGATCGTGACCGAATCAATCTCCCGCCCGCCCGTCTGGATCCCGGCATTCCATCGCGTGCTTGTGTGCCAGATCTCCACCGGAAGCGTTCGGCTCTCCGCCGTGCCGTCCGTATAAATAATCTGCATCGGGACCGGCATCACCATATCCCCAAGCGAATCGAGCACCACGATCGCGGTATCGCCTTCCTCCTGTGCGACTTTAACAACCGCAAGATCCAATGAAGTTGGCTCGAGGAACCATCCGCGCCAGAACCACGAGAGATCAGTCCCCGCTGCATCCTCGATCGTGCGGAAGAAATCAGTCGGCTGCGGATGCTTGAACGACCACCACTCGATGTACTGCGCAAACGCATCATCGAACCGCTCGCGTCCCAAGATGAACTCACGCAGCAGATACAACCCGTACCCCGTCTTGCGATACATCAAGCGACCAACCCAGCGAGGCCACGCTCGATCCGGAGCGGTCACGATCGGCTGCTGATGAATCGCCGAGCAGATCTCAGTCGTTTGCTCCATGTGCCGCTTGATATCAGGACGCTTCCCGTACCACGCGGCTTTCGAGTAAATGTTGATGAAAGTATTGAACCCCTCGTCCTGCCACATGTAGCGGCGCTCATCGGAGTTGACAATCATCGGGAACCAGATGTGCCCGATCTCGTGGTCCGTGACGCCAAACAACCCCTCCGGATTCGTCCGCGCGCCGCAGAAGATAATCCCCGGATACTCCATCCCGCCCTCAGGACCATTGATGTTGCTCATCACCGGATACGGATACGGCGACAACCACTCAGAGTAATACTCGATCGAGTGCTTGATGTACCGAGTCGATCCGCCGTCCTCGTGGTCATTGCCCCAGACCTCCGCCTCGACCGGGAACAACGACTGACAACGCACGGCTGTCTCCATGCCGTTCTCGTCCGTGATCGTCGCTCGACACGCGTCCCACATAAACGCATCGCTCGCGGCCCACGCGAATGTCCGCGCGTTCTGGATCTCAAACTCCCACGTCATCGGACCATCACCAGCAGGACGGATCGCATCACTCCCGATCTCGTCTTTCGTCACGATCCAGATCGGCTCATCGCTCACGTCCGCTTGCGCTAAACGATCGCGCTGCGTCTGCGTAAGGACCTCCGATTCATTGGTGTGCAATCCCGATGCGGAAACTAGGTAGCTGCGAGGGACTGTGATCGAAACCTGGTAATCCCCGAAGTCCGTGTAGAACTCGCCGGACCCTAAGTACGGCAGCGTGTTCCAACCGTTCACATCGTCGTACTTGCACACCTGCGGGAACCACTGCGCCAGCTCATAAATCTTCCCGTCCTCAACAGTCTCCATCCCCATCCGCCGCAGCGCCGGAGGAACCTTGAACTCAAAGTCAAACGAGAACACGAACACCTGCCCCGGCATGATCGGCTGATCCAGATCTATCTTCCCGAGCGTGTCGTAAACCTTCATCTCCAGTGCCTGACCCGAAGCCGCGAGATTGCTGATCGAGTACCCACCATCGAAGTCGTACTCGAGCATCTTCATCACCGAACCAGGGGTGCGCGACTGCGAACCCGTTGAGTCGAGCTGGAACAGGTTCTGCTCCAAGTTCATCCAGATATACTCAAGCTCATGAGGCGAGTTGTTGGTGTAGCGGATCGTCATCGACGCACGCACCGAATCGCTCTCCGTATCGAGCGTCGCGTCGATGTTGTAGTCGCAGCGCTGCTGCCAATAGTCTGGTCCTGGTGCTCCGGAACCGAGTCTTTGATCGTTTGGTGTTGGGAGATCAATCTCTTTGAAGATGTTGATGCCGTCTTCGCCGCCTTCACGCCGATAGCGTTCGTCAATCGCGCCGACTGATTCGGTCATCACATCCGAACCGCGATCCATGCGCAGGAAGTCATCACCACTGCACCCACTCAACAGCGAACCCCACAGCACCGCAATGATGAAAGAAACAACTCGGACCCAAGCAGGAAGAACCATCGACGCGCTCCTTAATATGTTTACACAGATCCGCTCCCCTCAAAGCAGACCATCAGAAGAGCAACACAATAGCAGCACATTCTCCACCCGTCCGAGCAAATCAGACGCGCCGATCCAGCAATCGGTACTGCACCGCTTCGCCGATGTGTTCTGGGAGCACTTGATTACTCCCCGAGACATCCGCAATCGTGCGTGCGACGCGCCGGACCTTGTCGTATCCTCTCGCGCTCAGACCAAGCTGCGTCATCGCTTGCTCGAGCAGGATCTGCGCCGACTCACTCAGCGACATCATCTCGTCGAGCTCTCGTCCACGCAGGACCGAGTTCACCGTCGCGCCCTGCCTGCTCCGCATCATCAATCGAGCCCCGAGCACCTGCTCCGCCATCTGCGCCGTCGTCGATCCCGTCGCCTTCCCGCTCAGTTCCTTCCAAGGCACCGCCGGCGCTTCCACATGCAGATCGATCCGATCCATCAACGGCCCGCTGATCCGCGACAAGTACCGATCCATCTCCTGCTGCCCCACTTCTCCCGGCGCGACATCGCCACGCGGGGTCGGATTCATCGCCGCGACGAGCATGAACGATGCCGGGAACTTCACCGATCCGTGCGCCCGCGCGATCGTCACCACACGATCCTCCAATGGCTGTCGCATCGTCTCCAACACTCTTCGCGGGAACTCTGGGAGCTCATCCAAAAACAGCACCCCATGATGCGCCAGCGAGATCTCTCCCGCTCTTGGCACAATCCCACCACCCACAATCGCGGGACTGCTCGCCGTGTGATGCGGCGTGCGCACCGGACGACTCGAAATCAAACCGCGCCCCGCCTCAAGCTCGCCCGCGGACGAATAGATCCGCGTCACCTCAATCGCTTCCTCCGGAGTCAAAGGCGGCAATATCCCAGGCAGCGCCTTGGCCATCATCGTCTTCCCAGTGCCCGCAGGTCCGAGCATCACAATGTTGTGCTGACCCGCCGCCGCAATGACAAGTGCCCGCTTGACCGACTCCTGCCCCTTGATCTCCCCAAAGTCCACGCTCGCGCGCGACGACTCAAGCATCGACGCGACATCCACCGCCGGCGTCGGTTCAAGCTCAAGACCACCATTGAACAACCCCACCACCTGTGCCAGCGACGACACCCCGAACACACGCACCCCATCAACCACCGCTGCTTCCGGCGCATTCGCATCGGGAACGATCACCGCATCGAGTCCGAGTGACTTGGCAAGCGAGGTCATCGCGATCACCCCTCGGATCGGACGCACGCGCCCATCGAGCGCCAGCTCCCCCGCGATCAATACCGACCTCGGATCCAATCCAAACAATTCCTCCGACGACTCACCAACCCCGCCACTCCAGTTGCTACCAACCCCAACCCCCCCAACACCCGCCGGCACGCGCTGCTGGATCACCCCCTGCGCGATCAGCACCCCCACCGCGATCGGGAGGTCATACGCCGGACCTTCCTTCCGCACATGCGCCGGCGCGAGATTAATCAGCGTCCTCCCGCGAGGCATCGGATATCCAGAGTTCCCCATCGCGGATCGCACGCGTTCAAGTGACTCACGAACCGCCGCATCGGGGAGACCCACCACAGTCTCCTTCTGGAGTTGCGTGTCGTCGAGATCGATCTCAATCTCGCACACCTGAGCGTCAATACCCGACAAGATGAAGCTGCGTACTTTGGGAACCATACTCGCATGCTACCAAACACAACCCTCACTGTCAATCGATTTGTAAGGAATCTGATTGTGCCATAAATATCCCGAATACATGCACACAATCAGCGATTAAACCCTACAAATGAGGATTTCACCCAAGCAGATACACACATTCGACACACGCCATATACCTGGGAGTCTCAGGAGATTCACACTCTTCGATCTTCTTGAAGCCGCACTTCTCCAGCACTCGGCACGATCCAATATTGCTCTTCGCTGCTCGCGCGAGCAGTGGGCGCTGATCAATCGTCTCTAGGAACAAACGCAGAGCAGTTGACATAACACCCTTGCCCCAATGCGCTCTGCAAATCATGAATCCAACATTGGTCTCGCCCTCTGCATCGAAACAACTCACGCGACCGACTGTTTCCCCATCGAGCAGGATCGTCCTGACGAGTCCATCGGGATTTTCTTCCCGGAAGTCCCATCGCGCACGAAACTCCTCGCGTGATCTTGGGTAAACCTTCGACATCTCATTTGCGATTGGATCCTGCGTCATCGCGAAGATGATCTCAAAGTCTTCTTCAATCGGCTCGCGCAGTTCAACTAGCCCCGCTGCATCGCTCACGCCGCAGACACCACGTTTGTGGATTTGACATCCATCGTCGGGATCATCGACGCGATCGCGCGGATTACTTCCTGACGCGAGGTCGAGGTCCTCGCTTCATCAAGCCGAGCGATCAGCTCGTCCATCGAATCGATAAACCACGCATCGTCCTCGTTGAACCGCGCAATCCCAGGATGCGCCGTCTTGGTCAGTTCTTCCGCGTCGTAGCTCAGCTGCTCGTGGAGCTTCTCGCCCGGACGCGATCCCGTCAGGATAATCGGGACCTCCGCGGGACCCACACCCCCCGCCGGCTCGCCGATCACCGGCGAGTACCCGCACGCGCGCACGAACCGCTGCGCCAGCGTAAAGATATTGATCGGCTCTCCCATATCAAGCACAAACACCTCGCCCCCACCAAACGTGTCAAACCCGCTCATCGATCCCGCTTGCAGCACCAGCGTCGCCGCTTCCGGGATCGTCATGAAGTACCGCGTCATTCGCTCATCGGTCACCGTGATCGGTCGTCCCGCGCTGATCTGATCCGCCCAGATCTCAAGCACGCTGCACGCGGATCCGAGCACATTCCCGAACCGCACCATGCTCAGCTTCGTGTCGCTCCCTGGGATCGATTCGACCTGTGCCGCGAGCGACTGCGTGTACATCTCCGCGATCCGCTTCGTTGCGCCCATCACATTCACCGGATTCACGGCCTTATCCGAAGAAATCAGCACAAACCGATCCACACCAGTCGCCACACACGCGTCCGCGATCGATTTGGTCCCAAACACATTGTTCGTCACCGCGTGCGACGGATGATCCTCCATCAAAGGCACATGCTTGTGCGCCGCCGCGTGCAACACCACCTCCGGACCCCACCGCTCCAGATGCGAGAGCGTCGTCGACGCATCGACCACATCATGCAGAATCGCGACGCGCTCGATCTCCGGATGGATCTCCTTGAGCCAGCGATCGACCCCAAACAGCGCGTTCTCCGCACGCTCCATGAGCACGATCCTTCTCGGCCCAAAGCTCGCGATCTGCTTGACCAGCTCCGAACCGATCGACCCACCCGCGCCAGTCACCAGCACGCACTGATCAGTAACATTCTCACCCACCAGATCGCGATCGATGCTGTGCGCTTGTCGTCCGACCAGCTTCCCCAGATCGATCTTCGTGTTACTCAGCTGCACGCTCGCTTGCTCACCCACCGCCGGAGCGCTGTTGAGCAGCTCGTCCATCGGAGTCACGAACCGCTCGATGACCCCCGACCTCCGCAGCTCCGTGCTGATCGAGCGCCATTGGTCGCGATACGCCGCCGGGAGCGACACGATCCCCTGCGCGACCCCCGCCGCGCTGCAAACCGCGCCGATCGCCTCGATCGGTCCCAGCACGCTCAATCCGTTGATGGACTTGATCCCAGGATCACCATCGACCAAGACCACCCCGATCAACTCCGGAGGATCCGCGACCATCGCGACCTGTCTGGACAGTAAATCAGCGCTCTCGGGCGTCCCGATGATCAAGGTGCGTGGTGCCATGGATCATCTATCGACCAACTCGCGTCCGCTCAGCCACCAAATCATCCGATCCGCCCACGAACACGCCCGATCGCGTGTATGCTCAGGTCATGATCACCCGTTTGTCCGCAACACTTGAATCCATCAGCCGCCAGTCGATCCCCATCGCCACCCTCCTCCCAGGATCAGGGATGATCGAAGGCCTCGCGATCGAAGCACTCATCCCCGTCTATCTCGCCGACACCCTCGAACCCAAGCTCGGCACCACCATCACCCTCCACACCCGCACGCTCCTAGAAGCACAAGGACAAGGCACCAGCTTCATCCCGCGCCTCATCGGATTCGGATCCGCCGACGAACGCGCCTTCTTCGAAACCTTCACCTCCGTCAAAGGCGTCGGGACCAAAAAAGCACTCCGAGCCCTCACCGAGCCCCCCTCCACCATCGCGTCCTTCATCATCACCAAGGACGCCAAATCCCTCACCAAGCTCCCAGAGATCGGCAAACGCACCGCCGAGACCATCATCGCCGAGCTCACCGGGAAGGTCGAGCAGTTCGCCGGAGACGCGATCATCCAAGGCACCACCCAATCCCGATCGCTCATCGAGCCCACCTTCAGCTCCGGTCCCGCCGCCGAAGCCGTCGCGGCCCTCATGTCACTGGGAGAAACACGCCCAGAAGCCGCGAGAAAGGTCGAGATCGCGCTGTCCCGCACAGGTCAGGACGCCGATACAGATACCATTGTCCAAGCCGTCTTCGCGGGCGGGTAATCCATCCGATCGTCCTCCCAAGGAATCCCCACTATGCGTTACGCGATGATCATGGCCGGCGGCTCCGGCACCAGACTCTGGCCGATGTCCCGCGACGGACAACCCAAGCAACTCATCGACTTCATCCACCAGCCCGACGGCTCCCGCGCCTCGCTGCTCAAGCTCGCCGCGGATCGACTCGAAGGACTCGTCCCGCAGGACAGACAATACATCTGCACCGGCGCGCGCTACACCGATCAGATCCTCGCATCGCTCACCACCTTCACCAAGGACCGCATCCTCGGAGAGCCCCAACCACGCGATACTGTCAACGCCGTCGCGTTCGCGGCCGCCGTGTTCTCCAAAGAAGACCCCGACGCCGTGTTCTCCGTCCTCACCGCCGATCAACTCATCGAGCCCGCGGACGTGTTCAACCAATCCATGGACCTCGGATACAAGCTCGTCGAGGAAGACCCCTCGCGACTCGTCACCTTCGGGATCAAACCAGACCACCCCGCCACAGGATACGGCTACATCGAGCAAGGCAGAGCAATCGAAGGCACTGAAGGACAAGCCTTCGAGGTCTCCCGCTTCGTCGAAAAACCACCCCTCGAAAAAGCCGAGGCGTACCTCGCCTCAGGTCGCTACGACTGGAACGCCGGGATGTTTGTCTTCCACGCCAAAACCTTTCTCGATCTCTACCGCCGCTACATGCCCACCAACGCCGAACACATCGACGCGCTGATCGACGCGTGGGGAACGGACCACCAGCAGCAGGTCCTCGACGACATCTATCCGCGCCTCGAAAAAACCTCCGTGGACTTCGGGATCATGGAACCCGCCAACTCCGCCAAAGACGTCACCATCGTCGGCGTCAAGATGGACATCACCTGGCTCGATGTCGGGTCCTGGCCGAGCTACGCCGAGACCATCAAGCCGGACGCGGACGACAACCGCACCATCGGGATCAACCTCGCGTCTCATGATTCGTCTGGCAACATCGTCATCGGAGAAGGCGCCAGCGACAAGGATCACACCATCGCGCTCGTCGGATGCGATGATCTCATCATCGTCCGCACCGACCGCGCCACGCTCGTGATCCCCAAGGACCGCGCCCAGGACATCAAGAAGCTCCACCAAGAACTGCAGACCGAGCTCAAGTAAGCCATAGACTGACACATGCGCATCCTCGCGATCGATCTTGGTGACCAACGAACGGGACTCGCACGCGCCGATCGGATCACCAGCATCGCCTCCCCCGCCGGATTGATTGAAGTCCCCATCGACCACGATGAAGGGAAGCGCCTGCTCGAAGCACTCGCCAAAGAAATCGCATCAGAACCAAGCGACTGCGAGATCCTCATCGGACTCCCCCTCAACATGGACGACAGCGTGGGTCCTCGCGCCAAGCTGGTCAAAGACTTCGCCCGGCGCCTCGCGGCCCACACCAATCGATCCATCATCCTCGTCGATGAGCGCCGGACCTCTGTCGCCGCAGATTCCAAGATGTCCCAGACCGGACTGACGCACAAGCAGAAGAAGAAACGCCGCGACGCGATCGCCGCCGCCGCGATCGCGGAGCTGTACCTGAGCGACCCCGATGCGACCATCGACACGCTGAATCCGTCATAATGGTCATACATCGTCAGTAATGCAACAATTCAGCGGTTCAGCCGTTGAATACCATGTAGGAACTCTTGCCCAACACCGAGGTCTGCCTTGCTCCACGCCCTGCTCATCGCAACCGCACTCGCGTTCCAGCCCGCCGCCGATTCGACCCCTCAGGTCGATCCCGCGCGAGCGTTCATGGACAAACTCGCATACCAGGACACCAAGATCAACTCCCTCACCGGCGATGTGCAGTACACCGTCATCCAGGCACTCGAGTCCGATCTCCAGAAGCGCCTCGGCGAACTGTACCTCCGCACGCTCCGCGATGATCAGTACAACGAGGAGCACCGTGACTACGCCGTGCGATTCAACCTACTCGAGATCGATGACCGCCAAGAAGACATCCGTGAGCACTACATATTCGATGGACGCTGGTTCGTCGAGCGTCTCCCAGATCAGATGCAGTTCAACAAGCGCGAGCTCGTCGCCGCGGATCAGGAGCTCGATCCGATGGAGCTCATGCGCGAAGCGCCGTTCTGGGTCTCGCTGGGACGCAACACCGATCGCGTCTTCGAGTCCTACAACATCGAGCTCCACGATCACGAAGCGGGACTCATGGACCACCCCGACTTCCCCGAGCTCTCGTTCCTCGCGCCCACCGTCGAAGGCGCTCAGCAGATCAAGCTCACACCGAAACCAGGCACCAATGTCGAAGACGACTGGGAATGGGTCCGCATCTGGTTCGATAAGGACACCCTGCTCCCCATGCTCTATGTCAAATCCGACTGGACAGGAGACCTGCAGATCGTTCAACTCTTCGATGTCAAAACAAACATCACGCTCGACAAAAAGCTCTTCGACACCACGACTCCACCTGAAGAATCCGGCTGGCGCACGCACATCTCCGAATGGAGAGGCGAAGCACAGGCTCAACAAGAACAACAGCAACTCGAACAAAGCACACAAGTTCTCCAAGAAAAGCTCAACGAGCAATCCCCATGAATCCACGATTCTCTCTGGCGCTACTCTCGCTCATCGCTGGGACATCGTTCGCCCAGCCGATCGAGCCAGTTGATCCCAAAGACCGCGCGGTCAGACTCCCCGAGCCCAACGAACAATCACGCGAGCAAACAATCCGAGCCGTGCTTGAGCGCATCAACGCGGACTTCCTGACCGAAGACGAACGCGCCACCCTCCGCGTCCTCCACGGCCAATGGATCCTCGAAGACCTCAACAACCCAGCGCTCAAATCCCAAATCGCGTTGGATCTTCACGACTACAGCAACCCAATCTTCGATGACCCAAACACTTCACCGCTCCACCGCGCAATCGCACTACTGAACCAAGGCAAAGCGCAGAACGCACTCGATCTCATCGAACAGGTCGAGACCACAACCATCGAAAGCAACTTCATCCGCGCCTCAGCCTACGAACTGCTCGGACGCGTTGATGAAGCGATCGAGATGCTCGAAGGCATCGAGAATACGCTCGCCTCAGAGACCATCGAAGACGCAGGACAACTCGCGATCGGTAGCGAAGCATTGATCAAGCTCACGCGCCTCCGCGCCCCAGCCGTCAGCGCCAGAGCGGACTACGAAGCGATCCAAGCACTCCTCGGGATCGCACGCGATCGTATTGATCGTCTGGACTGGCGCATCCGCAGCACCGAAGCCCAACTCCTCTACGAGCACCACAACCTCGGAGAAGCGCACACCGCCGCGATCGAAGCGTTGCGTCTCAATCCGCGAGCCGCTGATCCCATGCTCCTGCTGGGACACATCGCCGTGGATGGATTCGACTTCGACAACGCAGAGCGTCTCGCAAACACCCTCGACGAAGTCGCGTCGAGCACCGAGCAAAACGCAGAAGGCGAAACTCCAGGAGTTTCCATCGGCGGCGCCATCATCCGCGCCCGAATCGCGCTGCGCCGCAAGGACCCCCAAGGCGCAGAGATGGCGCTCGATCCAGCACTCGCCAAGTACCCAAACCACCCCACACTCCTCGCACTCGAAGCATCCGCGGCTGCCGCCGGATACAGAATCTCCTCAACCAACAGACTGCTCAACAAATACAACGAACAGTTCCCCGACTCCCCCACCGCCGCCGTGTGGGTCGGAAAGACCCTCTCCGAGTACCGCCAATACACCTACGCCGCGGAAATCCTGCGACGAGCAATCCAACTCGCGCCCAACTGGGGTGAACCACGACTGCAACTCGGACTCATGCTCGTGCAAGCCGGGAAAGATATAGCCGCCCGCGAAGCGCTGACCGAAGCGATCAAGCTCGACCCCTTCAACCTCCGCGCCCAGAACTCGCTGCGGCTCCTCACCGAGCTCGCGACCTACGAGACCATCGAGTCCGAACATTTCATCATCCGCTACAAAGCGGGACCTGATGAGCTGCTCGCGCGCGAGATGCCCGAGATCCTCGAAGCGATCCACGAGCGTGTCTGCTCCGATCTTCCAGGCGGGATGAACCACGAACCAGTGGACAAAACCATCATCGAGCTCATGCCCAACCACGAGTGGTTCGCCGTGCGCATCGGAGGCATGCCGCACATCCACACCATGGCCGCGTCAACAGGACCAGTCATCGCGTTCGAGTCCCCACGCGAAGGACCCAAGTCCAAAGTCGGACACTACGACTGGGCGCGTGTCCTCCAGCACGAGTACACCCACACCGTCAACCTCTCGCGCACGCGCAACCGCGTCATCCACTGGATGACCGAAGCCAACGCCGTGTTCAACGAGGATGCGCCGCGTGATCAATCGCAATGGTCGCTCTTAACCAACGCCGTCCGAAACGACGAACTCTTCGATCTCGATTCGATCAACATCGCGTTCGTGCGTCCCAAGAAACCCACCGACCGCTCGCTCGCCTATGCACAAGGCGCGTGGATGTTCGAGTTCATCGTCGAGCGCTTCGGACCCACCGCCCCCCGCGACATCATGGACAGCTCCGCGACCGGACGCTCAGCGCCCGAAGCATTCCAGCAGGTCCTCAACCTCTCGCAATCCGAGTTCATGGACCAGTTCACGCAATGGGCGCACAAGGACCTCCGCTCGCGTGGACTCCTTCGTCCCGATGATCTCCCGCCCCTCGAAGACTTGCTGGGTGACCCCTCCAATGGACTCCCGAAACTCGACGAGCTCGACGACCTGCTCGAGCAATTCCCCGACCACCCAGATCTACTCAACCTCCGACTCGGGATCGCGCTCGCGATCGAAGGCGATCAACTCAGCGACGAACAACTCCAGCTCCTCAAAACCACCATCCTCGTGCGCCCAGAAGACGAGATGCCTCACAAACGGCTCGCGCGTCACTACCTCGCCTCCGAAACTCCCGACGAGCAAGCCCTCGCAATCCCCCACCTCGAATACCTCGACTCACGCGAAGTCCACACCACGGCGTACGCAAACCAACTCGCCGAGCTCTACGCAATGATCGGAGAGCACGAACGCGCATTCGACAAAGCGATCCGCGCCACACGCATCGCGCCCTTCGACGCACCAACAAGAGAACAAGCCGCACGCATGGCGCTGCTCATCGAGAACTACGACAACGCACAACACCAACTCGAAGCGCTTATCGAAATCGAACCCGATCGCGACATACACAAACAGCGGCTCGAAGCGCTGCTCAAGTTAACAGATAGTTGAAGTTTCGTTCACGCGATCGCGCGTGAGTCGTCATCACTGAACTGATGAATGATCCCCGCATCCGCCTGCGTGTCCGAACTCTCGTGCTGCTTGCGTGAACCAAGCTCCCACCCAGTCCAGTCCTGGAAACGCTTCTCCAGATCGTGCGCGATCTCCGCGTTCCCCAGCCCCATCTCTTTGTAATCGATCGGCTTCATCACACGCACGCGAGCGTTGGACCCAGTCCAGAGCGATTCCCACGCCGTCGATGTATAAGGCGTCCCCGAGATCACCACAGGGAGCACCTTCGCATTCGTCCGCTTGACCAGCACACCAACCCCCGGCGCAAACGGCAGCAGCCGTCCCACAGGGCGCTCGATCTTCCCTTCCGGGAAGATCCCGATCATGCCGTCTTCAAGCAGGTGCGCCTTGGCGCGACGCATGCCCGATCGCCCGTGCCGATTCCGCGCCACAAAGATAATCCCGGCCCAGTTCCAGAACGGCGCGAGCCAACGCACGCGCATGTCCTCAGCCATCAACCAACGAACCCGCCGCGGAACCACCGCAGAGACCAAGAATGGATCGACCCCCGCCGTGTGATTGCAAACCACGATAAAGGGCCCGTCCAGATCATCGAACGCGCCCTCCTCCACCTCGAACTCCACACGATGCACAATCCGCGAGTACAGGTATCCGATTAAGTACATAAGTCCATCGAAGACACCAACTTGCGGACGCTTCGATCGCCCATGCTGACCGCCCGCGATCATCAATCCAACCACGAGACAACCCGCGGCGATCAGAACTAGAAAGAGTGGAGACATCAGGATTATGTTAGCAAATGCAAAGCTAGTGATCCTTCCTGTTTCACAAAATATTCAAAAATCACCACCCAGCGGACAGAATAGCGATCATTCTTTACTCTCCTGACCCGTACACTTCCCGTATGAACGATCTCTGGAAAGCGAACCGAGACGAGGCACTCAAAGCCGTCGAACCCCTCGCGGTCCGTGTCCGACCCGCATCCCTCGATCAGATCGTCGGACAAACCCACCTCCTCGATCCCGGCAAACTCCTCCGCCGAATGATCGACGCCGACACCCTCACCTCCGTCATCCTCCACGGCCCCCCCGGCACTGGAAAGACCACCCTCGCCGAAGTCATCGCCAAAGCAACCTCGCGTAGATTCGTCCGCGAGAACGCCGCGTCCGTCGGAGTGAAGCGAATCCGCGAGATCATCGACGACGCGTCACGCATCCTCTCCGACCAGGACAAACGCACGATCCTGTTCCTCGACGAGATCCATCGCTTCTCCAAATCCCAGCAGGACGTCCTGCTCGCCGACGTCGAGCGCGGACTCATCACTCTTATTGGCGCGACCACAGAGAACCCACTCTTCGCCGTCAACTCGGCGCTGATCTCGCGCTCCACCCTCTTCCGCCTCGAATCACTCAACGAAGAAGAAACCAAACAACTCATCCGCAACGCGATCGAGAACCCCCGCGCCTTCCCGGATCACACGATCACCATCACCGACGACGCGCTCCGAGTCTGGGCGCTCAAATCCGAAGGCGACGCGCGCCGTGCCCTCACCGCTTTGGAAGTCGCCGTGCTCTCAAGCTCGCCAGGTGAAGTCCACATCGATCAGCAACTCGCCGAGGACTCCATCCAACAAAAAGTCGCGACCTACGGCGACGACGGCCACTACGACACCATCTCCGCGATGATCAAATCCGTGCGAGGTTCCGACCCCGACGCCGCGATCTACTGGATCGCGCGGATGCTAGACGCCGGAGAAGACCCCCGATTCATCGCGCGCCGGCTCGCGATCCTCGCGTCCGAAGACATCGGCAACGCCGACCCACGCGGGATCATGATCGCCCAAGCCGCGTGGGACCTCGTCGAACGCATCGGTATGCCCGAAGCACGCATCACGCTCGCGCAGTGCGCCACCTACCTCGCGTGCGCCCCCAAATCCAACGCCGCGTACGTCGCGATCGACGCCGCGCTCGATGATGTCCGCAAAGACCGCGTCATCCCCGTCCCCATCTACCTCCGCGACGGGAACACCTCACCACGCTCAGACATCGACGGCTCAGGAAAGCGCGTCCGCGACCTCGAAACCGAAAAATACCAATACTCCCACAACGCCGACAACCAACTCACCGGCCAAGACTATCTCGGAGTCCCCAAACGCTACTACGAACCCAAAGACATCGGCTCCGAAAAGATCCTCAAACAGTTCCTCGAACAAGCCCGCGCCTCAAAGTCCACTCAATAACTCGACTCGATTCCTCAGGGACACCCCGCACTGAATGCCGCGAGGTATGCGCTGACATCCAAGAAGTTAAACATCCCGTCATTCACGAAATCCGCGATGGGATCATTGGCCGAGAACGCCGCGAGGAACGCGGAGATATCGAGAAAGTTCAGCATCCCATCACCGTTAAGATCCGCCGGACATCCCGGCCCAACCGAAAACACATACCCCGCGCCCGCGTTGGTTCCCCCCGTGTCTTCCAGATACGAACCCACAAAGAGCGCATCTCCATCGATAGCGACGGATGAACCAAAGTTGTCGTTATCCTGTGAATCATCACCTACAAGCTTGCACATGTACTGTCCTGTTGCCGTGTCAAACAGGTACGCCGACCCAGTGTCATCAGTCCCCGCATGGTTCGTGTCCTGAAGAGCCCCGATCGCACTGACCCCTCCAGAAACATCAACCCCCCACCCAAACGACATCGGCGCCCCTGAAGGCGGCGTGAGTTTATGCAACTGCACAGGATTCATCGCATCAGATACATCGAACAGATACGCTGCGCCGGACGAGCCCGCGCCGTGCGCCCCCACGATGAGCGTCGTCCCATCCATCCCGACGAACCGACCAAACAGATCCGATACCGAGCCGTCGTTTGGAAGGATCTTGCTTAGCTGCTGACCAGTCGTCGCATCGAAGAGGTACGCGCTGCCGGAAAAATTACCGTTGTCATCATCCTGCCATGACCCCACAACGATCAGGTTCCCATCAATCGCGACACTGATCCCGAAGTCGTCACTGATATCCCCATCATTGGGGAGCAGCTTGTGCAACTGCATCCCGCTTGTCGCGTCAAACACATACGCCGAACCCGACTCAGGGCCGTTGTCCTGGTCCTCCGGAGCGCCGACCACGATCAGGTTCCCTGAGATCGCTACAGATGCACCGAAGCGATCACCCGAAGCACCATCAGTCGCATTCAACTTCAACGTTTGCAAACCAGTCTGCGCATCAAACACATACGCAGACCCTGAGCTGTTGCCGAGATCATCATCGAGCAACGCTCCAACCACAGCAAGATCTCCATCGATCGAGACTGCAATCCCAAACACATCTCCCGAGTCGCCATCATTTGCCAGCAGCTTGTGGAGCTGAACCCCGCTGCTCATGTCGAAGATGTACGCCGCGCCCGCGCCAGAGCCATTACTCGAATCACCCTCCGCGCCCGCGATCCCGAGCTCCCCGCTGACATCCACCTGACCCCCAAGCGCATCGAAGCGATCAGCCGTCGTTGACATCACCTTGTGTGTCTGCACAGCGTCATCAGCACTGGATGTTCCACCAACGATACTTGTTGCGAAAACAACAACTCCTACATATCCCATATTCATGTTGATCACGTCTCCCTCAAAACGAGCCCGCACCCTTTGTGCTCTGTGAACTGCCGTCAATCCTCGTCGGATGTCTACCCAAACACGATAACACAAAACGGACACATACTAGAACACAATTCCAAATTCAGTACCACCCGCGCCCAGCCCCTACCATCCTCAGATGGATAACCACTCCTCAAAGCCCGCACTCCGCGCGACTCTCAAGTCCAATCTCTCCGAGATCACGGCAGACCGCAATGCCTCAGACAGCAAACTCCTCGCTCAGAACATCATCAGCTCGAAACTGTATGAGACCGCCAAAGCCATCCTCGCGTACGCCTCTCTCCCCACAGAACTCTCACTGGATCCATTCATCAATCGCGCCATCGAAGCGCAGAAAACCGTCTGCGTTCCCGCCGTCGATTGGGACACAAAGACCATGCGACCGGTGCAAATTGATTCGCTGGACAACAATTTACAAATTGGCCGATACGACCTCCGATCACCCCGCATCGACTGCAAACCGATCCCCGACGACCAGATCACCCTCGCGCTGATCCCAGGACTGGGTTTCGATCCAGACGGACGTCGGCTCGGACGCGGCGCGGGGTTCTATGATCGATGGATCGAAGCACGCCGGCGCCTTGATGCCCCCATCACACTCGTTGGTGTCTGTTTCGATGAACAAATCGTCGAGCGCATCCCAACCGATCCGCACGACCAGCGAATGGACATGGTCATCACACCCTCGGCCACATACACGAACGCATAAAGAGAACCACGGATGAGTCTACCAAGCCAATCGTCACGCTCCGCACGCTCCTCCGCAGTCCACTACCGCCGGAGCAGCAACTCTCCATTCCGTAAACTTCTCCCAGCGATCCTCGTCGTCGGAGCTCTATCGCTGATCCTCTGGTTCGCGCTCATCAAACCAAAGAGCACCAACGCAACTGAACCAAGCGCCGAACAAGCAAGCAGCGAACAGACCGAGCAACCAATCGAGATCTCCAACGCATCTCCAAACAGATCACTCCCAGGATCAGGTGAGCGACCCAACGCACAGGAAGAAGTCCAGAACACCATCTCCAACCAGAGCACGCAACCCATCACGCGCCCGCTCAATCAACCCGAAACCGGCACATCGCTCTCGACGAACACGCCAGCAAACAATCCCCAGTCCGACCCAAGCTCGCTCCTCGATGCGACACGCAACCAGACCAACCAACCGGCCCAGCAGCCAGCCAACCAACCATCAAGCACCGCCAACGGTGCTGACCGCCTCCGACTCCAACTCGACACCGCGCAGCGCATGATCGACCAGAACGACCGCGTCGCCGCGCGTCGTTTGCTCTCCCAGACCCTTAACACACGCGACCTCTCGCAGCGCGACGCACAGCGTCTGCGCAGCGAGCTCACCGCAATCAACGATGTCCTCCTCTTCGGACCAGTCGTCGCACCAAATGATCCGATGTGCGAAGAATACAAAGTCCAGTCCGGAGACTCGCTCTCCCGCATCGCGTCTCGCCGAGAACTCGCGACCCACTGGAAACTCATCCAGCGCGTCAACAACATCGCCAACCCCTCACGCATCCGTCTCGGACAAACACTTAAACTCGTCCGAGGCCCATTCCACGCGATCGTCCACAAACGCGACCACCGCATGGACCTCTACCACGGCTCACCAAACGACCCCGCCGGTTGGGTCTACATCCGCTCCTTCAACGTCGGACTCGGAGAAGACAACGGCACACCAGTCGGACTCTTCACCATCTCCACAAACAAACTCGAAAACCCAGGCTGGGTCAACCCAAGAGATGCCTCCGAACGCTACTCCCCAGACGACCCACGCAACCCCATCGGTGAGTACTGGCTCGGACTCGACGGCGTGGGCGAATACGCCTCACTCACCGGCTATGGCATCCACGGCACCATCGACCCCGATTCCATCGGAGGCGACCAATCCATGGGCTGCGTCCGCCTCGCCGATGACGACATCGCGATGGTCTACGAACTCCTCGCCGAGCGCGTCTCCGTCGTCGAGATCCGCCCGTAACTCGCCCGCTAAAGACCCCAATTTCAGGCCTTTAGAACCCCTCTCCTGACGCAAGTTGTCCACGCAACACGCGGGATTTTTCGTGCCTTTCGACCTACCATAACTGTCCCAGATTCGAGCCCATGAAGCTCCGATTCCGGGCTCTCAATTCTGATGATTCTCAGCGCTCACCAAAGCGTTCACAGGGACACCCCATCAACATCATGACCGACCAGAACACACCATCGACCCCGCCTAAGAACGGCGCGTATTCCTCGGACCAGATCAAGGTCCTCGAAGGTCTCGAAGCCGTCCGCAAACGCCCCGGCATGTACATCGGTGGTACAGGCATCGGCGCCCTCCACCACCTCGTCTACGAAGTCGTCGATAACTCCATCGACGAAGCGATGGCCGGATTCGCGACCTACGTCTCCGTCGTCATCCAGCCCGATGGTTCCATCAAAGTCTCCGACGACGGACGCGGGATCCCAACCGATCCCGTCAAGAACGACGACCCCACCCTCGACGGCAAACCCGCCGTCGAAGTCGTGCTCACCAAGCTCCACGCCGGAGGCAAGTTCCAGCAAGAGGGCTCCGCGTACAAAGTCTCCGGCGGTCTCCACGGCGTGGGTGTCTCCTGTGTCAACGCGCTCTCCTCACTCTTGGAAGTCGAAGTCTGGCGCGACGGACAGATCAAAGGCATCGCCTTTGAACGCGGCGTCGTCACCAAACCAATCCACGACATCGGACCGATCCCCGCAAACGCGGACCGCGAAACGGGAACGATCGTCACGTTCATGCCCGACACGGAGATCTTCGAGGACGTCAACTTCGTCTACCAGACCCTCGCGACGCGCCTCCGCGAGCTCGCGTTCCTCAACCCTGGTGTCACCATCAAGCTCACCGACGAACGCGTCGGCGCCGACGGCAAGCTCAAGCACGAGGTCTTCAAAGCCGAGAACGGATTGCTCGAGTACGTCACCCACCTGATGAAAGGCAAGAACACCGTCTCCGCCCCCGTCTACCTCCGCAAGGAACTCGAAGAAGAGTCCATGATCGCCGAGATCGCGCTCCAGTACCACGACGGATACAACGAAACACTCCTCACCTTCGCCAACAACATCAACAACGTCGACGGCGGGACACACGCGCAAGGTTTCAAAACCGCGCTCACCCGCACGCTCAACGGCTACGCGAAGCGCACCGGGATCCTCAAAGAAAAAGACCCCAACCCATCGGGTGACGACCTCCGCGAAGGACTCATCGCGATCATCTCCGTCAAGCTCCCCGATCCGCAGTTCAACAACCAGCCCAAAGAAAAACTCCTCAACCCAGAGATCGAGTCCTTCGTCTCCGGCGCGCTCCAAGAAGCCCTCAACAACTGGCTCGAAGAACACCCCGCCGACGCGAAGAAGCTCTGCCTCAAAGGCATCGTCGCCGCACAAGCTCGAGAAGCGGCGCGCAAAGCACGCGAACTCACACGCCGCAAGACCGCGCTCGATTCAGGGTCCATGCCGCACAAACTCCGCGACTGCAAAACCAAAGACCTCGATCGCGCCGAACTCTTCATCGTGGAAGGTGATTCTGCAGGTGGTTCAGCGACCCAAGGCCGTGATGTTGAAACCCAAGCAATCCTCCCCCTCAAAGGGAAGATCCTCAATGTCGAGCGTGCACGCATCGACAAGGTTCTCGGATTCGAGGAAATCCGCACGCTCATCGCCGCGCTCAAATGCGGGATCGGCGCCGACTTCGACATCACCAAACTCCGCTACGGCAAGGTCATCATCATGACCGACGCGGATGTGGACGGATCGCACATCCGCACGCTCCTGCTCACCTTCTTCTTCCGCCAAATGCCCGAGCTCATCCGGCGCGGACATGTCTACATCGCTCAGCCCCCGCTCTACCAAATCACGCGTGGAAAGAAGTCCCAGTTCGTCCTGAACGAACGTACCCTCGACAACGCGCTCACCGATCTCGGACTCGACGGCTCGGTCCTCCAAGTCCGCGACATCGAATCCGCACAGCCTGGCATTGAACCCAATGTCATCACCTCGATCTCAGGACAGGACGCCCGGAGAGCAATCCAACTGCTCACACGTCTGGGTGATCTCGTCACCATTGCTGAGCGCCGTGGGGTCAAGTTCATCGACCTACTCGAAGCTCGCAAAGACGGCGTGCTCCCAACTCACAAACTCACATCCCAAGCCGAGGACCTCTACGCGTGGTCTGAATCCGAAGCGCTCCAGCTCCTTGAATCCAAAGGATGGCGCCTCACCCAAGACGCCAGGATCGAGGAGGAAGACGACGACACACCGGCACTTGATCCCGATTCTCCAGAGTACGCCGCGAAGTTCAAGCAGGACAATGCGCCACAAGCAACGCTCCGCGAACTCCACGAGAACCGCGAGCTCGATTCAATCTTCAAAAACCTCGCCGAACTCGGATTGGACATCAACGACTACGGCTTGGTCCAAGAAGAATCCGTCACAGGCGAAAACCTCCCAGCACGATTCGCGTGGGTTACCGAAAAAAACTCCGCCACCAAGAACGAAGACGGCGAAACAGTCTCACAATCCCGCACAGTCGAAGCCGCGAACATCCCATCGATCCTCGAAGCGCTCCACCAGATCGGTCGACGCGGGATGGAGATCAAGCGATTCAAAGGTCTGGGTGAGATGGACGCCGAGCAACTGTGGGAAACCACGATGGATGACACCAAGCGGACGCTCTACCGCGTCCAGTGGGAGCACGCTTCTGAAGAAGCGAGCATGCTGTTCTCGCTGCTGATGGGTGAACAAGTCGAGCCGCGCCGCAAGTACATCGAGGACCACGCGCTCGAAGTCAAGAACCTCGATGTATAACCCGTTGAAGGTCGTCAAAATGACCACCATTACAGGGTGATCGCTCACTCAATTCCGCGCCCCTCACACCCCACATTCCCGGAGTAATCGTGCGCGCCAAGTGAGGGTATCGGACCACAATTTGATGACTTTTTGGTGCAAATTCGACTGGATTAACTCGTCCAACACAATGCCCCGATGATCCATCAGTGCGATCACGACTCTCGCAAGAGTCAATCTTCCTCGCTTGTCGGATTCATCGAATGGACGATAACCAAATCAACACTCTCCGGCTTGGAATCCGGGAACTCCACGCGTTGCTCGACAGAGTCGAACGCGATCGTCCATTCAAGAAACACGCGGCACGCGAGTTCGTCAGATGGAAGTTCCGCCTTGTTCGAGTTGATTTGACGATCGAACACGCATCGGGATCCAAGGTCACACTTCCCGTTGCAACTCGAAATATTTCACGGGGCGGAATCTCAATCCTCCACTCTTCATTCATCTATCCTGATTCGGTCTGTAACATCGCCGCCCAGTTTGACAATGGTGAAGTGCTTGACATTAACGGGATGGTCAAGCGCTGCGACCACCTAGGTGGCAAGGTCCATGAAATCGGGATCGAGTTCGACGAGCAGATCTCTACAAAGGAACTCCTCGGACTCGATCCGATGGAGGAGGCGTACTCACTGGAGTACATTGACCCCACAGGACTCCACGGGACCGTCTTAATTATCACAGGATCAGATCTTGATCAACAGCTCATCGTTAAACTGCTCGAAGCGAGTAGTCTCTCTATCTCTGTTGCCAACTCTCCAGACTTAGCAGTTACTCGAGCGAAGAAGGGATGCGAACTCATCCTCACAGACTATGCGATTGATGGACACTGCGCATCGGACATCCTCGTATCACTCAGAGGTGAGGGCATAGATGTCCCAGTGCTTGTGATGACATCCGACACATCCAAAACCAGCCGTGATGAAATGCGAATGGCCGGCGCTTCAGGACTCATTACAAAGCCATTCACTCAAGAGCGCTTATATCAAGCTCTTGCTGAGTTCCTGCTGGATGACGGCGACACTGGACCACTCTACTCCACGCTTTCTGTGAACGATCCCGCGTACGAGATCCTCTCGAAGTTTCTCAGCGATCTATCGAGAATGATTCTCACACTCGAACGCTCTTTGCATGACTCGGATTATGAGAACTGCCTCAAAATTTGCAGGTCGCTCGCGTGCTCCGCAGCTCCGCTTGGATTTGAGAGTATCGGACACCTCGCCGTCCAGACCGAAATTGCCCTCATGCAAGGGAGAGCCGTTCGCGACGCCGCAGCTGACATACGACAACTCATCATCGCATGCAGGAGGGTCAAAGCAAAGCCTAAAGCCGCCGCATAAACCATTTGAACGCACAAACCACACCACTCACCCGATAGCACAAACACCACACCCAGGTCTACGGACTGCTTGAGAGAAAATATCATGGCTTACGACTTCATGGACAAACCGCGCGTCGCGACCAACACACGCAATACCCTCTCTGTTGATGGCTTGCTGTACCAGCGCCTCATCGAAAAACTCGATGAAAGCTCTAGCAAAGGCAAGCCGAGCGCCAAAAGAATCTATCGACGCCTCGGATACGCCCACCCCAAGATCAATCTGCATATCGAATCCGAGGGACACAACGCACGGACCCTTGTCGTCGCAACTAGAAACCTATCGCAAGGCGGCGTCTCGATCCTCCACTCAAGCTTCATGTACAACGGCACGCTCGTTACCGTCGACCTGCTCGATGCACAAGGAATGGTCGTCCCACGCCATGGAACGGTCACCAGATGCGAACACCGAGGTGGACGAGTCCATGAGGTCGGAATCAAGTTCGACGAAGAGGTCAAACTCCGCAACTTCCTCATCCAAGACGAGGACCTCCTGCTCCATGCAAGAGAGCGAGTCGACCCAGAACAGATGAACATCAAACTCCTGGTCTATTCAACAGAGACCGAGTTCTCCTCACTGCTCCGTCAATACCTCCTCCCCTCAAACCTCTGCTACACATTCGCAAAGACCAAGGAAGAAGCGGTTGAGAAATCAAAGGACCAGGACATGCTCATGTTCCGTGTCAGCGATGATCCAACAAACCTCGCTGAACTCGTCCGGAGCATCCGCGAAGACGGTTACTTGAATCCAATCATCCTTGTAGGACAACCCAAAAACCCACTGGATCTGCATGTGATCAACGCCTGCGGCGGAGACATGGTCCTCCCTTGGCCCGTCGACGATCAAACACTCCTCTGCTCGATCGGAGAGTTTGTATTCAACGAATGGACACCAGAATCCCTTGAGAATATCCGCTCGTGTATCTCGCCAGAAACACGACAGGTCCTCACTATGGAGATCGCTAAGCTCGGGATCACACTCGATCAACAAGTCCGCGTCGACAACCAGCAGGATGTCCACCAATCCTGTCAACGCATCAAACTGCTCGCACCGCTCCTCGGACTCAACTCCATGAAAACCGCGATCGACAACATGACCGAACAGACCGCGGCAGAAGGATCTATCAAACACCTCGCCGATGAACTGAGTGAAATCACATCAATCTGTAAAGCCCTCAACAGTATCGCTGCGTAATCAACATGCCCACCCCACCACAAATCAAGCTCTTGCGAACCAAGCTGCACACGCTCGTGTCAACGATCGGTATCGCTACAAGCGTCTCGATCACAGGCATTTTTATGCTTGCTCTGATCGTCACGATCGAACTCGGATCAATCCACAGCCCACACAATCAGAAACTCGTTGACCTCTCCAGCGATCAAGCTGTGCTCAGCATCCAGTTCGTAAGCACGATCGACGACATCGATCTTGCGCTGCGTACAGAGAGCTGGGACATGATCGACCCCTCCATTACCAAATTTACCGAGCAATACAACCAGTGGAATACCACCCACCAAGAACTCAGCGCCAATCGGACCAACCGAAATATCAAAGGCGAATCTGGACTCAGCGTTGCTGATCACTTTGATCGAATCGCGTACAACAAATCCCAGATCACGCAGTCTTTCAACGAGCTTAAGCTGGTCACCGACAGCATTGTCCGCCGAGCGCCGTACATCAGCCACAGCACCCAAACCAGGGTCTTCGCTTCCGCTCAATCCATCCGCGAGCAGTTCCCGGCGTATATCGATTCAATCACGCAGATCAACACACTCTACAAATCGCACGAACTCCACAACAGAAAGCAATCGATCGCAAGCATCCAGCGCCTGTGCTTCTTGCTCCTGATCACACTGTTCGCGCTCCCAGTGTTTGTGATCGCCCCCAAGATCCGCTCGATGCAAGCAACCCAACTATCCCTCAAGTCCCAGCTTGTTGACGCTCAAGCAGAAGCGTCGCACCGCTGGAGCCTGCTCGCTTCACTCGCACAAGAGATCCGTAAGCCGATGAACACCATCATGGGAGTTGCATCCAAGCTCTTGATCGCACAGCAAAACGAAGAAACCAAAGCAGAACACGAACTAGACATTGAGACCGCAAGCAATGGACTCAACACGCTCGTCGATGACATCCTCCAGATCTCCTCGATCAATGCGGACACCTTCAGCATCAACCCCCAACGCACCGATCTCCGAGCACTCTTCGACTCAATCGAGAATCGCTACCAAACCCTTGCGTCCAACAAGGGGCTCACGCTCAAAGTCCAACTCGACGAGTCGTGCCCCACTGCTATCACCACCGATGAACTCCACCTCAATCGCATACTCGAAAAACTCATCGACAACGCGATCGAGTACACCAAATCCGGATCGGTAAACATCCAGGCGTCCTTGGAGCAAACCAATCACCAAGAGACAACACAGGATCAACTCATCATCCGGATCGTCGATACCGGGATCGGGATCAACCACGAGCACATCCCACGGATCTTCGATGCATTCCATCGCATCGACGAAAGCGAAAGCAACACCCAAGATCATCACGGCTTCGGACTCACCATCGCACGCGCCCTGGCAAAGCAACTCGGAGGAGACATCGCGATCGAATCCGCATCAGGCGCTGGATGCTACGCGACCCTCACGATCGATCCAGGAGAATACTCCTTCGCAGCGACCTCGAACCCGATCGATCAATCGTCCGATCCCGACCATGTCATACTCGTATCCAAGCGTGTGCTCATTGCCGATGATCACGATGACATCCACCAACTGTTCACGCGTCACCTCACCAAAGCAGGATGCAGCGTAGAACTCGCAGCCGACGGCCAACAAGCCGTTGACAAAGTGCTCAGCGCCAGCCAATCGGACGCCCCGTTCAATCTCATCCTCATGGACATGCAGATGCCTGTCGTCGACGGATTCGATGCCACCGCGATCCTCAGAGAAGATGGGATCACCACTCCAATCATTGCCGTCACCGCTTACAACACCGCCGATGACCGCACGCGATGCCTACAAGCCGGATGCGATGCGTACCTCGCCAAACCCGCCGACAAGTCAGACCTGCTCGATTTGTGCGCGGAACAGTTACGAAAAGCCCAATCCCAGTTCAATGAGGCCGCTTAAACCTCAAATCATCACAAAAACAAACAAACGCGAGTGCCAATGCACACGCGTTTTGAAGATTCTGCAATACAAGATTGGAAAGGGTGAACGACGGGGCTCGAACCCGCGACATCCTGGACCACAACCAGGTGCTCTACCAACTGAGCTACGTCCACCAACTCAAAGACCCGCTAAGCAAGTCCCGGCTCCAAGGATAGCCGACAATCACACCGAAAGTCACCCCCCATTGACCACCTTTTCAACCACTTTTACCCCTTCAGTGTCTACGATTCATACCCAAATTTCGTGACGCGACGCCGCTGCGACGGATCCCCCGGCACAGGCGCCACACAAACTTGGAGCACCCAAAAGTGCCCTTGCTAGACGCAGGAAACGATTCATGAGCACCATCAGTATCCCTGGACTCGACCTCGGCGCCAAAACCACACACACCAATCTCTCCACGGCCCAACTCGTCGAG